TTTGATTAAAAGTTGTTTCAGGTTATTGAATTAATTAACCAGTCGATACGAATGAAACCATAATTATTCTAAAGTAACCAACTGTTAAATGATTATAGTAAAATAGTCTTATCAACAAGATAATTACCCAAACGATATGATCACGTAATGTAACAAGGTACGAAAATTTCATTGCGAAACAGAACGAGCAACGTGGGGGCGTTTAGAGTATTTCCTGACTGGCAACCGCAGTTATTATGAACGAACGCTCGCGCGTTGTTCACGCGGTCACGCTCCACATCAGCTGATGGTGACAGTTCAATTCAAACTTTAGTGTTCGGCGGTTAGAAATGTTAGCCGCAAAACCGCACGCGTGATTTCTGTCCATCGCTTTATCGTCCTCTTCTCTCCTCAGAAATTCGTTTATTATTTCAGCACTTCCTAAATTTTACCGCTCGACAACATATTGTCGATTAGAGATAATATTAAATTAACAATAGATGGCAATTAATATTCGGCAAGAGGTTGTGACAATGGTACTACGAAATGAAGCGAATGAGTTTATTCGGTGCACGAAGGATGTCGTACAGGAAGAGTTAGAGGAGAATAGAGGAAGAGGTGATAGATCTGGCCAGTTGCTTCAATACGAGCACGTTTCTCATGACAATTGCAGCATGTACAGACGACCAACATATTCACATTGGTTCGCGAAGCAGATTTACCAATTTGCTCGTGGCGTTATGTACGTAGTCTACCCACTAGGGGCCAGAGAATGGCCAGTAAGATAAAGAGAGCAAGAGAGAAGTGCGTATACGAATGAGAAATTTGGGTGAGGTGCGATGGAGGTTGATGTGCGGTTGAAGAGATTAATATGCACGTGAGGTGCACACCTCTACTACCACCCTACCAACATCACTACTACTTCCTCTTCAACCCTCATCTCGCTAACTCGCGTCCACTCTCCCTCTCATATTCAAGCTCTCCCTTCAACCACCCCGTTAGCTCCCTTCGCGATTGCCCATTCCACACTACATTGGCCATTTCATCCTCTCGCTCTTCCACTTGGCCGCGTGACCATTTAGTAATTTCTGTCACGAGTCAAGCCACCCAACGTTTACTATAAAACGGAATACATTCACATATACACGACGTCGTTCATATTCTCCAACATCAGCAGCCAGACGCCAACCTGTGTGTTCACTTCCGCAGCTTGGCCAATTAAAAAAATGCATGCATCTCGTTGATGCAAACCCAAAGGACCAATCTCCTATACTTTTGCTGCTGCTGCTGTTTATTGTTTATTGGAAAAATGTCAGCTTGGTATAAAACGACTCTGAGAAATTACCAGAGGACGCCTCCTCTTTCATACCACGCCCAGACCAGCTATTTCCGGGCAAGTCTAGCAAAAAGGATAAAACGAAAGAGGAAGAGGTAGAGCAAGAGAAACGCCAGCCACCCTCTTGAGTGGGTGGTGAACCAGCCAGATTTCTAGGAGGCGGAGCCTCTATTTCTAGCCAACTCTACCTCCAATGGCTTTTCTTTACTGAGAAGAAGAACCAGCAGATAAAGTGAGGTTGCGACATCAGAAAAACGGTTCAACCGTTATAAAGAGGGGAGTGTGGATATTGATAGCGTCCGATATGCTGCCAAGAAATGTCTTATAAATTATACAGTAAATGTAAACTCAAGCTGCTCTCAACTAGGATAGCTTGATGTCAAGGGGGTGAAACGTCTTCAAGACAATGTTCGTACTTGCGCGAACTCAACTGCTCCGCCCCAAACTCAACAGTACTTTACCTTGGCATAATATATAGAATGTCAAGGGAGGAGATGCGACGCGAGACTGTCTCACTACTTGCGCGGACAAACTCGACCTAGACATGATTATCATCACCACATTGATGAATATTAAAAGCGGAAACCCCAAGCAGATTTATTTGCCTACGGCTGACGTGGATATAGATATGTGGTCATGAAAATACAGACATTTTAAGGTCCTTTCAATGACAGAGCTCAATTTTAGCTACTATTAAAACTCATCATTTAAATGGTTTTTAAAATAAAAAATTCATACTTTTAAAAATGGCCTCAAAAAATTTTCTAAAAGATAAAAAAATAATTTCACTGATCTGATGATTACTTTGAACTGTTAAAAAATGATGATAACACATTTATTTAAATATTTTTAATAAAATATTCAGGATGAGATACCAAGCTTCTTTAAATAAAATTAATAAACATACATATGTCTAAAAGAATACTTTCCCTTCAATGGCAATATTTTTCAAAAATAGATAACAAAGAAAAATGTCCCTTTCATTGCCCTAGCTTTTCTCTATTTATACAGCGATATGTAATTCAATAATTTCATTCTGTTTGTCGTAGCGGTAATTCAAACGTAGCTCGTTACCGCCCAGCAGATATAATAATGAGTCTCGTGTTACGTATCTCTCAGGTCTACAAGAGGAGTGGAGCATAAAGAGGGAAAAATTGATGTACAGATGTGAGAAAAAAGATCAAGGTAGAATTGTGAACAAGACATCATATAATGAAATGAAAAATAAATGAATGTACTGTCGTGGAATCTTCAAAAAAAATTTGGATATGTTTTCAACACTGAAATCGATTTATGTAAAACACATACACATAGCCAGACAAATGTATTATGAAAAAAAAACTCGATGATGGAAAATAAATGATTATGCAAGAATAAATTAAAAATAGAGTTATGGTGAAGAGAATAATTTGTCGATTGCTTTGGAATTTGAGTGATATTTTACCGCGGAAAAGGAAGAGAAACCAAATGAACCGCTACGAATGATATGAAGGCAAATTCTCGAGAGGGTGAGAAATTGGTGCTCAACAATGCGTGTAAACAAGAAGGGTATGAACTACAAATATGTAATAGAGATATATTTTTTTTTTAATGTTAAAAAATATAACCAATCAATAAGAGTTTAAATACTGTTAAAATATTTATTAAACCTAAAAGTACATTTAAGAATCAATTTTATTAATGAAATGGAGACTTTTGATGAACCGTCGATAAGTAATTAAAAGACTTGAATCAAATTTGAATGAAGAAATAAAAAAAGAAGGCAGGAAATAGACAAAAAAAATAGGGAGTATTTTAAAAACCTATATTAATATTAAAAATGAAAAATATTAGAAAAAAAAGTATCTATTGTTTTCCAATAGATTAAAATTTTATTCTCTCTTTATATGAACTCAACTAATTAGTGGAATAATTGAAGAATAATCCAATAAGTATCATAGATATTAATTTTTGTTTATTTTCGTATCAATTTCCAAACATATAGAGAAAAAAAGAATTGTTTTTAAAGTTCAATTAACCGCAGAAATTAACTTCACGTTCAAATATCAAAATAATACCGCAATCAATTTTAAAATATTATCACTAATCAACGTAATTGAAGATAAAAAAATTTTTTTTTAAAATAAATATTCCATTACTTCAATCATTTAATTACTTTTGAAAATACCTATATGATACTTTACTTCAATTACAAAATTTTTTCTGTTAATATGAAGAAAAAAAAATTCTTTTCAACAGCAAAAAGGTATCAGTTTTGATTAGGTTTTTAATAAAAGTATTCAGCCGTGATAATAAATAGATAATATTGAAGGAAAGCATAATGAATAAATGTATATTTGCATGGAAATAAAGCATTTATCCATGGAAATATTTAGTCAAGTTTTAACTCACGAGCATCACACGACATCAAGAGGAAAAGTTAGGGGAGAGTGTGGGTTTATTCACGTTATCAATTTCCTGACAAATATCTATGTGTCCACAAGTACACACGTTTCGTTCAATCACTGCATGTGTACTGTATATACGTATGTAGATACCATTGCACCGAGTACTGCGTTCACCTCGATTTGTTGGCCGCAGAGGTATCGACTAGTTTGCTCGACACGTTTCATTTCGACATCATATTACGTCCGTTCAACCCCGCGAGCTTGAAATATTGCGGACTGTATCGTTAAGCGTGGTTCAAAACCTGCTATAGTACATCAACTAAACTATCCGTTCAACCAACTGCCAGTATGTTACTGATATCTATTTATAATCCAATCACTGGAGAAAGGTGCAAGACCAAATTATTTAACGAGAGTTTGAGTACCTACATGTCAATCATGGTATTTATTTCTTATATAAATTCTGATATTGATTATTCTTTATTGAATGGGAAAGATAAATTATTTTTTTTCATTTGGAGAAAACTTTCATTTGCTTTTGCTGAATGCTTGATTCAGTAAAAATGAAGAATCTGTTAGAATTCTTCTAGTTGACGTTTTGGAGCATGATATTGAAATAGGGTATTACTTATAGAATAGAATAATTCTTGAGTAATCATCAAGTATGTTCAATTTTAGTTGAAGGTTTTGAATAATGAATAATTATTTTGTCTTAATAAATACTCTATTACTTCTAGAATTTGATGGAGTAATTGATGTTAATGATCAATAGTCATTGAAGAATGTGACTTTCCATTGTTGAAGTTATTAAGAGAAAATGTTGATGATGCATAAAAGAATTATTTTTAACAGATAGTGCTGGGTTATGATAAAATGTTTTCAAATAACTGGAGTTTTCACTAATGTCCTGTCTGATGTTATTATAGGACATATATAATATGCATTAAAAGGAACAGATTTTTTCAACAAAACACAACGGGTAGAAGATGTTTTGTAATCAAAGAGAAATTAGTCCAGTGGTTTTTGTGAATATTTTTCGAAAATAGAATATAAAAAGGAATACCCTGAAAAAAATAAAAAAACAAATAAAACATGTGGACACTGGTGTTTGCAAACCGCGAACAAAACGAGAATGTGTAGAGCAGAAAAAATGGTTGCTACACGCCACAAAGATGAGGGAGAAATGAATGGTTTCATCATTTGGCAATTAAGGTATGCGGATTCACCCGAATAAGAACCACAGAAAAATTATTAAACTTTGCTATCTTAGTTTTTGTTAACAAAATTCAAGTACTCACGTCTATATGGTCGTCCTTCCTCGGGTGTAGACCTCTCGGTGTTTTCAGAACCAGGCGTCGCATTGTTGTCACGATCCTCATCATCTGGACTTGGTCCTCGATTCGAAAGATTCGTTGATCCTGGAACATTTCCAAGGGGCGAACGACTCGCTGATCCAGCTGGACTTTGTGGTGCTACTTCTTGGCTTCCAGGCCCTCCGGGTATACCTCCAGTTACACCACCCGACGACGGTAACGAAGGTGAAAATATATTCGACATGTTAGATAACGGTCCAATGCTTGCCAATCCTGATGGAACACTTGCACTTCCGGTTTCCACTTTGAGGCACTTACTCGGCGGTGCAAAAGCCGAGGGCCCAAGTGGCCTGAATGCACCAAATGGAAGACGAGGATCCAATGGATGAAGAAATTGATGTGGCAAGTGAAGCATATGATGAAGACCGTATCCAAGTGATGCTGCTGTGCTGAATGGCACTTGAAGCTCTTTTGTGTCTGTTACCTTGTGTAAAAAAAATTTTATCTGATTAATATTTTGAAGTATTTTCTATAGTATAGAGTTTGAAGGTTTATGAATTTTTTTATCATGCAACATGCAGTTTTTTAAATAAATCTTTTCTATTTGCACAAAAGAAACAATCAATTTCTATTTAATAAACTTTATTTTTATAAATAAAACTGTTCATAAATCATTTTGAAAATTATTTAAAAAGTTTTATAGGCTTTAAATAAAAAGCACCTCTATACGATTGTGATGTTTGAACAATTGAATTGAAATAATTGTTAGAGAATTTTATTTTTATAAAAAAAAAAAAAATGTACTGATCACTCAACTTCAATAACTTCATTCTTAATGAAATTGATCAGTTCTCTCACTAAATTAATATTTTAGAGATATATTAAAATAATTTAAAAATAAAATTGAAATCCAATGTAATTTCAGAACTGTCAGTTTTAAAATACAGTGAAAATGAAATAATTTTTTTTGCAATTTCTCTTTTAATTTTTATCGTTAAAATATGAAAAAAAAATATATAAAAAGCAAAGGATAAACTCAAAGAACTTTGAAACTTTAGAATAAATATTTTCACAAAAAAAAAAAAAATATTTTATAGTCATAATTGTATAAAACTTTGCAATTAAATTACATAGTTGACTTAAATGATGTAATACTATTTAGTATTCTTCTTCAACACCTATTTAAATAAATGATAGTATAATTAATTTATGTTAATTTATTTTTTTAAGTAAAACATACACTTTTCAATTTTAAAAACATAACTTAAGATATGTTTCTCTTAACAATTATTCAGTAAAAACTTTTTACTTCAATCTTCTTTACAACAATTCTCCTGTTCATTCAATCAACTTTTTCCATTATTATTAAATTGAAATAAAATATAAACATTTGATTAAAATTGTTTGAAAGAATTTAGGTTTTATTGATTGATTAAAACACTTTGGTATAAGCATGAACAATCTTTCAAGCTTGTAAAAAAAGCTGATGAATTGAAAAGATACTTAATGAAATCAACATAAAAATCCAATGTAGTTTAATATCTTCTTTACAACTATTAATCTGAAATAATGAAAATTACATAGGATTGGAGTGTTTCATTGCTGCAAATTGAAAGTAAACAGTGTTTAAGAGAGAAAAAAGCGAGTGTAACTGAATGACTTTAAATGCTAAAAAGTGAGTTTTCATGCAATTAAATGATGAAAGCACGGCAAGGAAAAGGACACTAACTTGTGGATTGAAGGGTCTCGGCATTCGCAAGGCATCAGAGAGACCCCCGGCCTGTGAAAATACAACCAGGGGCGATGGCGGGAGATGATTCGGCAAGTATGAAGAATTATCCATCTAAAACAGACCGGCGATTTCCTCTTTTGTTTTTGTTCATCTTATCTTTCTCAGTTTCATTAACAATAGTAAATTAATCAAATACCAGCTTAATAGTGTATTGATATTTTTGTCAAAAAATCGAGAACAATTAGGATGATTATAAATACAAAATAAATTAATCGAGCAATTGATCATAAAGAGTTAAACCGAGTGTTAATCAGACATCGAGATAGAAAAGCGAAATCCGAACAATCAATCGTGTTCGGCATTAACCAGCCACGCAAAACCAAATTGCGTGGACAAATGCGTAACCTCAATGGTCACAACACCCGCATCGTGGTACGATCGGCATGCAATGTATTACGCCGGAATCAAAATCGAATTGGTTTTATATTACGTCCGTTGTCGAGTGTGTCCACGGTGGTTTGGCATAATTGTCGAGTCGGTCGACAAATCGTTTCGGTTCTTGCATACGCTCATCAATCATCCTGTTTAATCGATAGTCAAACTCTCGATAAACTACTTTACAATTTTTTATCACACTATTGAACCGATCGTATATATTATTCCAATAAAACATATCAATTAATAATGAAAACACAAATTCCTTGACAAAAATACATTTACGAATGTCACTAGAAAAAAAAATACTTAAAATGATAGTTACAGTTGGGCCGCTGTCTTTCCACATGATTGATTGATGTTGTCAATTATCTCGTCGATTGTTCAAATTTTTTTTTTTTTGAATGATGAGTAATAACGTTTCTAATAATCACAAGTCAAGTGACTATTGGATCCCATCCACAAGCTCATGACATTTCCATGTTACGTTGGGACAATGTTTGGTAAAAATTTTTTTCTATTGTCACGAGTTAATTTGACAAATATCACTTGTTTTTTTTTTATTTATTTAAATACTCAATTTACGCGCGCTCTCAGTCAAAAGAGACCTAACCTCTTTCAGCTGTCACGCGAGACACTGCACGCACGTAAAAAACGCACAATTTACACAGTATATTGACTTGAAGAGGTAAAAAATAACACGTGAATAAAATGCTGATAATGTCAACAAATATACGACTTGTTGTCAGTGATAAAAAATGAAAATAAATGTGTGATAATAAGCTAAAATTCAAACGATGAGCCATAAGCCCGCCTCTAGAATGAATGACCTAACCTCAACCCCGGCGTGTACACTGTCGGTACCCTAGCAGGACTGTTATCAGCTGTCACCCCGTCGCGATTAAACGTGAGAGACGAACTGAGAAAGCCAGGTGAACGGGGGTATTCAATGCTAGAGGAAGCCGCCAGCCCGGTGAGCTACCTCGTGGACATGCGAGTGCAGACTGATTGGAGCGTGGAGTGAGGGTACTTACCCACGTCCCTCGAACAGCAGAGGAGCGCGACCGCGGCTGCGGTGGCGGTGGTGGAGGTGGTGAAGCGGAGGCGGAGGCGGAGAAAAGCCAGATACAGAGGCTGCAATTTCGAGCCCTTGCTCACAACGTGCGCGCGTGGTTCAGCCGCCATAAAACGCGACATCTACCGTCAGAATGACATTGCGCATGCTCGCACACGCGCACCAATAGCACTACTCACACACTGCGATGCACTCATTTCATATTGTTTATTGTTTACATCTGAAAAAATCAAATTTTATGTTGATTATTTTTAATTAACAAAACAACGTTCACATGTAATTCCTTTTCAGCTGAATAATAATACTGGATGAATAATTATTTATGACAGAAAAATACTGCTGACCGACAGCTGTTTCAGTAGAATTTAGACATCATATTTGCTAATGATACACCTGTTCTCAACACGAGCACTTGTGGCTACTGAATAAATAAAATAATAAATAATTACCTACAGCTCGACATTATGAGTTCAAATATTTGGAAACATTTTTATTAATAAATGCTATTTAATTGTTTTTCCATGAAACCTTTCAATAATAAACAAATCATTTATTTTTGTCATCAGCCTGACCTTTCGTAGATGAGGTTATTACCGATAACTCTTAAATTACACGTGAATCTATGATAAAACGATATATCTCTTTACAATTTATATACTCTGATGTTAAACGACTATTAATTGATGTAAATCAACTATTAAAGCATTAATAAACTTATGTTTTGAAATGAATAAAAAATAAGTAAACGAAACACTCACGGCCGCGAACTTATAGGTTAACTGATAAATTACCAACAGCGGATGTTGCTTATCACTTTGTAATTGCACTCTAGAGCTCGCTAGTGTATTAGTAGTGTTTGGGAAGCTGTCCTCAATACGCGAGTACGAGGCTAACGTGCATTCCAAGTGTTTCGGAGTAAATCGTTTAACAAATCGTGTTGTTTATTATCAAAATTTTAAGAGAAATGATTTAATTATATAAACAGTAAGTACTTGATTTAATCAATGATCAATTAATCATTATTTTGATTATTTTATTGTATCGAAATGAATGTTTATGTAGAATTATTTCAATATCAACAATCATTTCTTACATTCATCACTGCCACTCCCTGTCCCCTCCATTTAGTCCTCGTAATTACACGATGAGTGTTCCCCGATGAGTAACTCTTTAAAAACTACACCTACACTTATTCTTATTTCTAAATTAATGAATTGGAATCAACTATGCTAATTATTTGTATTAATTCATATCTTATTTTTCTTTCCAGAACGAACATGGCCAATTTCTTAACATTCGTAGCAACATGTTTGTTTCTGATAACAAGCATTGTTGCACAAGACCAAAATACTAATAGTTTTAATACTAATTTTATGGACTATGACTATAGGTGTCCAAAATATTGGATAAAATATCAGCAATCATGCTATAGATTTGTTAAAAGTCCAATAAAACGAAAAGATGATGCTAAACTACTTTGTGAGTCGTTCCAAAGCCATCTTGTAGCTATAAGTAATGTGGAGGAACATACATTCTTAGTTAATGAATTGTCACGTCAAGATCCACAGCACAGGAGATGGCATACAAGTGGAAGATTATCAGGAGGATCATGGGTGAATGAAGTTGATGGTTCTACCCTATCGTATTTGGAAAATGCATTTTTACCTGAACCAAATGACGGTATTTTTCGTGATCAATTAGCTTATGCATTCAGAGACTCTTTGAAAAGATGGGGATTAGAAAAAGTATTGGCATCGGAAGAACTTTTGTACATTTGTGAGGCTCCAGTTTCTGATTTAATCAATTTCATTGAAGATGATCGTGATTATCGGTATGGAGTAGAGATTGAAGATCCTCGAAGAATTCCAAGAGGGCCATATTTCACGAGACAACCTGAGGACAAAGTGTATGATGTTTCTGAACAAAAACTCTACAATGCTGTTGTACTAAGCTGTCATGCTGAAGGATATCCAACACCCACTTATCAGTGGTATAAAGAAGATTATAGAGATTCTCATTTAGTCTCTATAGAAATCGATCCATTAACTAATAATAGATATACGATTAGTGGTGGAAATCTCATTATTCATAAACCAGAACAAACTCAAGATCGTGGATATTATTATTGTAAGGCAACTAACGAATTTGGTACAATTCTTTCCGAAAGTGTTGAATTATCTTTTGGATATATACTTGAGTTTAATGTAAATCGAGGAGAAGAACGTGGGGACCAAAACTGGGGAAAATCTGTCTACTGTGATCCTCCACAGCATTTCCCAGGTGTCAAATATTATTGGGCTAGAGATTACTTCCCGAATTTTGTTGAAGAGGACAAACGAGTCTTTGTTTCTAATGATGGAGCTCTCTATTTCTCTGCTTTAGAACCAATTGATCGTGGAAGTTACTCTTGTAATGTTCAAAGTATTGCTTCAAACACTGGACGTAATGGACCTTTCTTCCCACTAAGAGTAGACCCTCATTCATCATTCCAGCAGCTCAAGTTCCCTAATAACTTCCCTAAAATCTTCCCAGAAACTCCAATTGCTGGTGAAGAAGTCAGGTTGGAGTGTATTGCATTTGGATATCCAGTACCCAATTATAATTGGACTAGAAAAGGTGCTCCGTTACCTCGACATGCAAAATTTTCAAGCTACAATCGTATTTTGACTTTACCCAACGTCACAGTAGAGGATCAAGGAGAATATACATGTCGGGCGTTTAATGAAAGAGCATCAACAGAAAATTCAGTGTATTTATCAATTCAAGCAGAACCACATTTTACAATTGAATTAGAGGATAAACATATGGATCATGATGGAGATTTAACGTGGACTTGTGAAGCATTTGGTATCCCAGATGTTACATATAGATGGTATAAAAACGGAGAACCGATAAGCATGGATACTCTGCCTTTAGAAGATAGAAATAGATTTTTCATTCGTGATAATATACTTAAAATTCAGCACCTAGATCGAGAGCGTGATGATGGAATGTATCAATGTCAAGCAAGAAATGAATTGAAAACAAAATATTCTTCTGCTCAACTTCGAGTATTATGTAAGTGTAAATTATAATTATTAAAATATTTTCACTTTAATATTTTAAATTATTTTAGCTTTAAAACCATCATTCAAAAAACATCCTATGGAGCCTGAGACTTATGCCGCAGAACGAGGAAATGTAACAATAGTGTGTAATCCTGAAGCAGCACCAAGACCCAAGTTTGTATGGAAAAAAGATTGGAATGTAATCGGTTCCGGTGGACCAAGACGGATCCTTGACAATGGAAATTTGATTATTTATCCAGTCACGCGTGATGATGAAGGATTATATATATGTACGGCAACTAATCAATATGGTAGTGACGAAACACGTGGACGACTTATTGTATTGCGTAAGTACAATATTAATATCAAATTATAATTTAGAAAGAAAAAATCATTGCAACATTTATTTAATAAAAATGATTGAAATTGATATTATTGACACTAAATTAAAAATTTTATTTTACTAAATCTATCATGTAATTTAATTTTTTTCTATTTTTTTAGGAGGTCCATACTTGATAGAATCGTTACCAAATCTAATAAGAACATCTGTCATGAGCAACCAAACATTACGCTGTCAAGCTGATGGAGATTCCATGTTGGATATGGCCTATGTTTGGACTCATAATGGAATAGAAATAAGAGAAAAAGATTTACAAAACAATCCTAGATGGCAAATCCATGACGGAGTATTTGATATTATTAATGTTACACTCTCTGATGCTGGAACATATGAATGTATCTTAAAGAGTTCTGTTGGACAAGTTGTAAGCAATACAACAGTCATAGTTCATGGTCCTCCAGGACCTCCAGGTGGAGTTCAAGTCGTTGTTTCAAAACAATCAGTCACACTTCAATGGACTGATGGAGCTTACAACGGAATGCGAATAGATAGATATGCTGTAAGTGCTCGTACTACTTGGAGTGATAAGTGGTTCAACATATCAACCGACATAATAGCACGTGAAGTTGATTTATATACTGGAAGAAAAGAAGCATACCTAGAAAATGTATTGAATCCTTTCACTACTTATGAATTCCGTGTGAGTGCTGGAAATATATATGGATATGGTCCTCCATCAATGCCATCACCGAAACATAGCACATCTCCAGCTAAACCAACCCGAGCTCCTTCGAATGTTGGCGGAGGAGGTGGCAAACTCAGTGAATTAACAATCACATGGGATCCACTACCTCCAGAGCATCAAAATGGACGAGGAATTCATTACAAAATTTATTGGCGACTTAAAGGTGAACAGGAATGGCAATCTCTTGTGCTGGGAGAGTATGGAAATATTGGAAAGTATATTGTAACAATCAGTCGAGACTTGTTCTATATGCAATATGAAGTTCAAGTTCAAGCAATAAATGAAGCTGGCATTGGACCGTTATCAGAAATAGCTACTATTTACAGTGCTGAAGATATGCCGTTGGTACAACCGCAGAGAGTATCTGCATTGAGCTTCAACAGTACAAGCTTGAATGTATCTTGGCATCCTGTCGAAGAAACTCGAATAAAGGTCAGAGGCAAACTTATAGGTTACAGAATTAAATACTGGCCACAAAAAAATCAAGAGGAAGAAGCTGTTTACTATTTATCTCGAACTACAAGACCTTGGTCATTGATTGTTGGTCTCCAACCAAATGTATATTATTATGTTAAAGTGATGGCTTATAACTCAGCTGGTGCAGGTCCTGAAAGTGAAAGGTTCCTCGAAAAGACATATCGAAAAGCTCCTCAAAATCCTCCAAGTTCTGTTCAAGTATACGAAGTTAATCCTTCAACAGTACGGGTTGTCTGGCGTTATGTGCAACCAAGTCTAGATGAAGAACCGCTGGATGGTTATAAAGTACGTGTGTGGGAAAAAGAACAAGATATGGTTACTGCTAACGATACTCTTATTTCTGGTGGATCGAAACTTGAAGCTTTTGTGACTAATCTAAGTCCGGGTAAATCATATAACCTTCGAGTACTAGCTTACAGTAAAGGTGGAGATGGTAGGATGTCCAGCCCACCGCTTCAATTCCAAATGGGTGATCCCGCAATGTTTAGAAGCAGCGCTAGCAATAAAATTTTAGATGCTACACTTGGAATCTCTATTTTACTAGTTTTAAAGCAGCTAAACATTCTTTAAATTAATTTTTACATTTTTACTTAATTTTTAGTATTATTTTCCGTCTTGAAAACTAATCTAAAAGACTTGAAATCGGTTGTTAAAATGAAGAAGTAAGTTCTAAAAAAAATTTTGTCATTTTAATAGCTTAGCTAGACAAATGACAAACTTAAGTGGTCTTAAATTTTATATCAATACTCTAGAGTATAATAATAATAAAATTGTCAATAAATTTTTTAAGAATAGGCGAATTCAAGATATCTTAATTAGTTTAAATTAATAATCGAATTTTATCAAGATTTGTAATGCAATTATCAATTCATTAGATCTGATTTTTTATTTTTATTAACTTTTTGGAAATTGTTTTTAAACTTTCCATTTTTTGATATATTGATTTTAATCAGCTATTTACTGCCTAGGGAGCAACAAATATTTTTATAATAATGAAAGTATGGAAGTAAATAGACTTGATCATGTTGTTGCGCTTGTAAAATTGCTGAGCGATTTGCAACATATTTTTCCGTCCATATTTACTCTGTTAAGTTAAAATATAAACTTTTATATGTAAATATACGTATTAACCAAGTTGGATCAAAGAATTGCATAAATAATATGCAATGACCTAATATTGATGCAGATTACAAATTTTACAGTTGAACTTTAAACTTTGAGAAGGGAAATTTATTCATACAAAGAATTAAATACTTCAAAACGGATTTTTAGAGTTTACAAAAGATATAATTAAGTCAAGAAAATAATAATATAAATTATAATTAATAAGTTGAAATTATAACTGTGTAATACGGTTGAACATAAATTGTTAAAATAGTTTAAAACAGTATTTCCTTCTCAAATGCGAATAAAAAAAAGTAAACTATTTTTACTTAAAAACAAATGCAGTGTTGTAGATTTTTAATAGTAATGAGTGAAAGTAATTTTAGAAACTATATATAAGTGATTATAAGGAAAACAATCTCATTTAACATTATTTTTGTGTTTTCAGTAAACAAATAACAATTGTACTTTACTTGATTAAAGTATTATATGTACTATAATACATAACATAATAAATTGAATAAATTTTTATAAATATAAATATATTATTATGAATTATCTTTCAATTTCAAATATGATACTCACCAGATTAAATTTCAAACCAATTTTCATTAATTAAAATGTTTTATAAATTATAAAAATGACATTTTCAATAAATAATACTTTATTTGATAATTTTTCGTAATACACAAAGATGAGAGTTATCGTTACCAAATTAATAGTAAATCTGATTACATAAAATAAAAAAAATGTACGAAATGAACGAAATGCTAAAACTCTAAAATAAATAATATCTATGATATTAATAAGAATTATAATTATAATAACTTTTTAACGCATATTTTCGTCAATATCAAATGAACATATACAAAAGAATATTTATGTGTAGCAACCAGAGAAATATTTAAAAAATATTTGTTTTTTTCCATTAACTGAGCATGCTCTTCATAATTATTGTCTTCTCTACTAGAACCAACGTAATACTGAATACTTATATCAGTATTAATAACATTACTAAAATCAAACGATGCAATAACTAGTTCCAATCAGATTGAAAATCCTAAGAATATAATCTCTCAACAAAACATTCAATATAATGAACACTTTTGAATCTATATATGTACTAGTCTGCTAAGGCTAGTAAGTATCCGCGAGAAAAATTATTCACGCGAATTCGCCAAATTTTATTAATCGATATAATTTTTTTTTAACAAAATGCACATTTTTACTGACATTGAATAATTGAATTATTATTCAATGAATTTTCTGTCACACGAGTTTATTTTATATTATTATTTATTTGAAAGTCAAGTATATTTTAGTTAGATATTCACTATTAATTCGTTTTAATAATTGGCGAATTTTATAATAGATATAATTCAGTTGTACTGAAGTTGAATGTATTTTAAATGAATTTTTGGTGCATCACTGCACATGAACAAACGACTTGATAAGATGCCAGTAAGGCTTTTAAAATAAATTTTTATTATAGTGGCGATAATTCAACTGGTGGTAGACCCATTTTCACTCGTAAACTTGGTACATCATCTTCTATTCTGACGAGTAATTTCATTTTCTGAAAATAAAAATAAATAATTATTATTTTGTAGGCAACTGGTCTATCAACTTGCTTTTACATAAAGATTATTTTTTCAATTAAATTTAAATATTCAAAAAAGTATTTATCTTGACAATAAAATATTTTTATTCTTCTATAAACCTTTCAAAGTAAAACTATAAAGACAGAATACTCTGGTTTATGAAATGCTGACAGTGCGCCCCATCAATGTATTAAGCATCTGTGTTTTATCAGCATTTTGTCAACTGAGCTGTATTGTCTAAATTTACTTTGTGAGGTATTCAAAAATTTCGTTTTCATTGTAGAGAAAATAAATGAACAAAAACGTTCCTACATAAAATTTAATCCATAATGGGTAAAGAAAGATCAACAGGAATATCATTTGAAACTTTTCAGCCTATCATTAAATGGATACTTGAACAAAATTAATTCAATTTTTTATACTAATATTTTCTTTTTCTAGAAGACTTTTAAAGAATAAATTTCTTTCATCATATTTAATTTGTTTGTCTATGGGTCTGTTTGCTTTATCCCCAGCTCCAAACTTTATAATAACAATTTTTTTTTTACATTTATAATAATCCATGATGTATCATAATGATTTTGTGGCATCAAAATTTCTTAGAATTCACTGACAAGAATGATTCATAAAGAATTATGAAAATTTCTTAACAAGGATGAATCATCAATTTAAAATAGATTTTTCTAAATCTCTGACCGGAAAATCTTTGTTCGATTGTGTTTAATTCAATGACTCTATAATTTAGTTTGACTGCATACTAACCGTGCTAGTATCACCTGGTGTCCTCATCCAAATATAAATCATATACCCAGGAATACATAACATAGATGATAGCGCCGTAAACCAACCGAACACATGGGACCACCAAGGATACTCATAATCTAGGTATTTGATCGGCGTCCACTGGATCAAATTGAAGAAGAAGACACCCTGCGTAGAAATATTTTTATAATAAATTTTATAAATCAACCTGATGATTTAATAAATACGTACGATACAAATAACTGGGGTGGCAAAAACCCAGCAGAATTTCCACCATCCAAGTGGATAGTAACCAATCATGTCTTTGATAGCATCATAGAATCGGTTGACTCCAAATGCCCAACTAATAGCGATACACTCGAAGAATATGAGGAAGAGCAAGCAGAAACCAGAAACTGCATAAGAGTCTAGGATTTGGAAGACATACATTCCACCTTGAGATATGCAGGATAATCCAACTAAGTAGGAAATCATGCATACAAATGCGATGAATATTTCCTTGCGTCTGCGAAGTAGCTGAGGCCATTCGTCCACCTAGATTATTGATAAATAATTATAGTTAATTAAACATTAAAAATGAAATTGTTAAGATAAGAATAAGTTATTTACCATGGCAGTGATGAAACCTTCCATAGTGCAAAACTGTGAGTCCAAACCAATGAGCAGTAGCATAAAGAAGAACAAACAGGACCAAAGTGGAGCACCTGGAAGTTGCAGTACCGCTGAAGGATACGCTAAAAATGCTAACCCTGGACCTGATGCAGCTACTTCAGCTACAGGTTTTTGCTGCTCGTGAGCCATAAATCCAACCACTGAGAAGATGACGAAACCCGCGAACATACTTGTAGATGAGTTCACGGTACAAACAATCAAAGCATCTTTGTATACATTGTTTGTAAATTTGTTATAGCTTCCAAGAGCAACAAGTGTACCAAGACCGAGTCCATAAGAGAAGAATATCTGGGTTACTGCATCGATCCATACCTAAATTATTTAAAATTCAATTATTAACTAATAACAGTGTTAAATGTTATCTTAAAAAAATTTTCTGATTAGTTTTTTTATCTTGATTAGAGATAAAAAACATTTTTTTAATTATTGGATATAAAAAAAGGTACCTCAGACTCTTTCAGCTTTGAAAGATTAGGGCTGACATAAAATTTGATGCCTTCTAAAGCACCAGGCAATGTAATACCACGAATCAATAGAACTGTCAGAAGTACGTAGGGAAAAAGTGCCGTGAAATATACAACTTTTCCAGTCCATTTAACACCTTTCCAAATACAAAAATAACACATAATCCAAACGAGCAATAATGTGCCTGCCAATTCCCATCGAATGCCCCCAATAGATTCGATACCATCACTAATTTGTAAAGCTCGTCGTCTGTAAAATAACATGGATTTCAGTAATGAAAATCTATTCTTATCTTTATCATGTTATCTGATATAAGGTCGTTAAGGATAATAGGATCAATTTTTTCTTAATATCATTCCCTATTCTTTTCCTACCAACCCTATATCATGTGATAACAATAAATATAGATTTTATCATAAATCGTAATCATTTACTGACTCCCAAAACTCCTTAACTGGATCGGTCAATTCAGAGACTGATATGTTCATTTGGTTGACTGTACACATTTTGACTACTTTGTTAGCCTTTGTCCATTGATCCCAGCAGTGGAGAGAGCTTCTGTTGTAAGGATTAACACAGAAGTTGGTATTCCAAGCATTGTCACATGATGCCCATGGTAGAACTAAATAAAAAATTTATTGTTCAAACTCATAAATATTAAATGAACTTATTTGAGTACAAAAATTCAAGTATTGTGACTGATGAAGAATTGTTGTTCAACTTGATGTATTGAATTTTTGAACTCAAAGAAGTTGAGAAGAATAACTTTAAAAGAAATTTACCACTTCTCATTGAAGTAAAGAAATAAAAAATGGCCCAGGCAAGAATAACAATGTAATAGACATTCATCCAACATGACATCACTGCTGCAGCATATCCAATACCCTTAAATATTGGAGCAATTTTAAAAACTCCAAGACCTCCAATTGTTAACATTTGACCCAATGCAAGTTCCATGAAAAACATTGGAATACCAGCAAGAAAAAGGGTTAAAAAATAAGGAATCAAAAAAGCTCCACCGCCATTTTTGTAACATAAATAAGGAAATCGCCACACATTTCCAAGTCCAATGGCTAAACCCACCTGTTAATAATTCATGATAATTAATAACTTTTCAGAATCTTATCACCTGGAATAGACAAAAGTAAATATTCATCAACTTACAACACTGAGAATAAAGTCTAGTTTGGTGCTCCATGATCCTCTCTCTGGAAGTGATTTTGGCTTGGGAGTTGTTGATGCACACATGAGATTTAATGCTGCACGAACGTCATCAATATTTTCAGCTTCCGCAAGCTCTGGATCCCTCGAGCTTTCTGCCATCCTTTTTTTTTAATTTCTTCCTCTTTCTTGTCAGTTTTTGTTAGGGAAAATTTTTTTCTTCAACTTCCCCTGTTTTTCTTTCTCTCTCTTGTTATGTCACGTCTTAGATTTACGCCCAAGCTGTACGTCTTTCAACGTCGTCTCAGAAAATGTCCTCAAGGCATAACAAAACCTAGAGTTTGATGCAATACGTGTTTATACCATGACAGTAGGGATTTTTAACAACAAAGTAATGTGTCAACCTTGAAGCAATTCTATTATTCGAGTGGACTCAGTATTTAGCTTTGGAATAATTTCAAGGCTACCATATTTCGTTCTTTATTTATTTATGGTAATTCAATTTATAATAACAAATTATTGAGGGAAGTTTCTGTCTGTATTAAAATATCAAGAATTAAATATCCTTTTGTTGATAATTTCTAAATGTTAGTGAATGAAATTTTTTATTTAGACAAATACAAATAGAAAAAAAATTCATGCATCAAAATGTTTCCACGACAAAACCATTGAAGTAAAAAAAAAATATCTCGCTACATATTTCATTTTTTGTGAATGTTATTTTTTTTCATCTGCGACAAAATCTAGAGACCAAAAAAATGAGGTCACAGTTGACAATTTTTTGTTGTCACCAACAGTATAATTATTACAAAATGCTTTATGACATTCGTATAGCAACCCAGATCGATTTTTCTTCATTTTTACACCTCAGAAATCTTCAGGACGATTTACCCTCGAGTGAAAACCGCGGAAAACAATTATGTAGATACTATCTAAGTCAAGAAATTTCTTGAATCTCTAAAACTTTTAAGATGAGAATAATGAAGGGGAAGATAAGAAAAAAAAATTGATCAACAGAAAGCGCGGAAGAAATTAAGCGAGAAAAGGGGAAAAAAATTCAAAATTAAAAATCTATGATATTATGATGTACAATATAATAATTGATAAATAACAATAAATATTTATTAATATTTGAATATTCTATAAAAGTGTAAAACAAAACAAGTAAATTGAAAATTGAGTTTCAATTCAAAATGAATAGATGAATGTAAATAATTTTTAATCCAATAAACAAAGAAGAATGAATGTATAAAATTTATGGAACAATAATTAATTCAATAATTGTAATATAAACAATTGTTTGATAATAAGCTTTTATTTTGTAGAAGTTTCAATTCAATTATTATTATATTTCTACTCTCATGCAATTTTATTGAATATTAAAAAACAAATTGACAATCATTGTGTTACTCTAATGAATTTTTTACCTTTACTTTCTTCATATGGTAGAAATTTATATAAATAGAAGATGAAGAAACAGAAGAAGAAGAAGAAGAAGAAGAAGTTCTCACTCTATTTCCAACGCACACGGTGCATTTATTGAATAATTGGGTCGCGAACTCTCTTTTGTACTTCAATTAAATCCTCGTAAACGATTAATATTCCTTTTTATCATGATAGGAAATTATGTTTTGAATATTCAAGGCGAGATAACTTTATTTTTAGTTCATCTTATAAATCGTTGAATTAAATTTTTATTGAAATACAAGTGCTTACACAATAATAAAAAGACTGGATAATGATCAAACAACAGATGAAAAATAATTACCTTATTTAAAATTATTCTTATCAAGAATTTTCATCATTTTTATCAAGGTTTTCAAATTTTTTTTCTCAACATTAAACCTTAGAATGTTATTTTTTAATGAAAAAAAAATTAATTATCAATTGAAATGATATAAATTGATAAATAATTGATTGCAAAAATGATGAAAAATCAATTCTTGAGAATGCTTTGTCTTTTGAGGATTCCTAGCACAATTAATATCTTATTTACAAGGTGGAAGTAGTAATAATTAAACTACTAAATGTTATAGCATTTTAGTGACAATAAACGAAGAGCATTTTTTTTGATAGGAAGAACGTTAAATACGCATGTCCGGCGGGGATCTACGTAATAAATATTACGATCGTGTGTAGTGAACCCACCTACAAAACTTCTCGCCCTCGCGTTCTACTTGGACCTATTCTCCCTTCTCTCTCACCGATTCATAGTTTTGTTCCCTCTTCCTCTTCCACGCTCATAAAAAACAGCTATATTCTAATTAATCGAGGAAGTCCCGTGTCTCGAATGTAAAACAGATACGTCACTTTTCAGATTTTCCATCAAAGTTTGATCATTTTCTTATCAACAACAATAATCACATCATTATTGATTCATTAAAACAATTAATTAATCATGTAAACAAATACGAACCGTAATCACAAAGTAGCTAAACGATGTGGATCCAGTGTGCGAAAGAGGTCCTTTGATGATTAAAAAAAGTCGTATCCTGATGCACAATTGATTGAAAAAAAAAAAAAAGTCAAATGTGTAAGTAAGCGTAGTTTACGCGCACCAAAGCTCCTCGTAAGCACGAGGAAAAGCGCGCGAGTCGTGTCGCGTGTTGCGGCGGGCGCACGACTGATGGATAAAAGATCGAAATACGCGTACTACAAGCTTTGGTACCGACGCAAAGCTGATGTCGATGGAATGGAGCTGTTTGATAAATGTTATCTCACTGTCGACGAATGAAGCAAAGAGACCAAAAGGGAGAAGAGAAAGAAGTGGGGAAGACCCTTCTAGTCCTACACACCGCCCCAGACTTACCCTTCTTTATGTCTCCAAATGATCCCCACTCCGTACACCTTGATGACACTGGACCCTCGGGTTGATCGTGCCCGCGCCCATATGGCTGCCAAAAAGCTTAGCTTTAGCTTCACTTTAGATGAATGCCTTATTGTCAAGCATTAAGCTTACAAACTAACTGCTGGGGTTTGATGGTGGGGGAGTCCCCAAGATCAGAACGATATATATCATCATCAACGTTGACAATATTGTCTAGCATAGCCCTATGATGTGCTGCACCTATCCATTATTATCGCGAGGCCGTCAACAGACTGCCAACACCACCATCATCTCTTTTAGCTTCCTATTAGCCATCCGCTATATCCGCCGCCCGATTTTTATGACTATCGTTGTCATATACTTAGATCCTGTATGAACATCCGCCGGAACCATTTTTTTCGATTGTGCTTTTGCACTTGGCATACATCATTGGCTATTTCTAAACTTGCTACGATAATCGAGTAGTCATGTAATTACTTCAAAAGTGTTGAGTATTTTTTTTCTTCAATCTCAGTGTGAAATCCACCCAAATGGATCGACTATAAAGTAGGTGAGCAAGACTAGGAAGCTGGTATATCCGGAGGGTTCACGTGACACTGATCAGTCCCCGCATCCGTTCTAGCTGTTTGGAGTGTCGTATACGCTGCAGGGGCTGTGTCTATCGTGTTCTACTAACACAGAGCTTCTAATGAAAGCTTTCAACTTACATTTTTGGAGTATGAGGGAAAAATCATAAAGAGAAAGTCTCCAAATGCTGATCATTTTAGTCTTTGATTCCTTTTTTTTTTTTATATTTTTTATTTCTATGATATTCAAAGCCTCTTAATAATACATAGAGATAATAAAAAAATTTTTTTTCCAAAAAAATTTAGCTTTATAATACGACATTTTTCGCTTTGTTTCACGCTATTTTTTTTTCAACAAACAAATACTCCGTTTGCTTGGAGATCTTGGATTATTATGTTCATACCAATATTAGTAGAAAAAAGTGGGGTTTTTTATTGTAAAAAAAAAACCAAGTTCAAATTAATGTATAATAAAAGCGGTATTTAAAAAACCAATAATTGGTATCAACTTAGTTGAATGAATGATAATCAACGACACTTGATCAATAGTTGAAGATATAAACTTTCTAATTAGTTTTTAAATTATTTTTTTCACCAAATCTTTACGAATCATTAAGAAGCCAACAAAACTTTATTGTCAATCTGATTATCTGTGTATTTTATGCATCGTTAAATAATTTCTATAACGAGATTGAAACTTAACTCAGACCAATTTAAGACTTGAATTGTGATTCATTAAATAGATAGTATAGTATAGATGATCCATAAACGAAAAGCTTCAAAATGTATCTACAATAAAGTATTGATAAATAACATTCATGTTTATTATTTTTAATTAATTAACAACTGTTTATTTTTAAAAAAATTAGTTGATAAAAAAGGATGTTATATTTACAATGATCGTTTAATAATAAAGTAGAAGTCATAATCCTTTATGGCTCAGCATGATTTTGTCAATAAAAGCTCCTAAAGTTCACCAATAAAATTCCAATATTCTGTAAACCTATTAAATAGTTATCATCTGCAACGATCAATTATGTAATATGATAAATGCATTCGTAATTTCCATTGTAAACTAATCGTTATCTAACTCTTATAATACATGGGTGTTAATAAAGCAAGTGCAATAATAGGTAGTAGATGAAATTGACAATATGCGGGTTGCTCGTTTGGCTGGTAGATATTACATAGAAACAGTGGGGAGCTTTACAGATGATAAGAGGATGTGTGGGAAGTGGCGCGGGAACTATGGTGACCATCATCTCATCGATGGGGGTTTCTCCGGAAAGTTTCATTCATCAAAATATTTACCTTATTTTTAACAATTAAATCAACTGTTATTATGTTATTATATTATATGTAAATTACTAAATTCTAATTGAGTCATCGTCTTTTATGGGTGACCTCACATTCTTTTTAAATTTACGCATCAATTTTATCTATTTTCAAGCCCCATATGTTAATTGATTTTCTCAATAGAAAACATCTGTGTAAAATTGAATAGTTTATCTTAAACATTTCCATGAATTTAACTTTTAAAATTTTCCATTCGTTCTATTTCTTAAAAAGATCATAACTGATTCCATTTATTTACTTGTCAAAAAACTACGTAGAAGCAATTATTGCATCAATGTTTTTTATTTCAGTTGATATCTTTGTAATAGTAATTGATGAATGAGTCTTTAAAAGATAATTTTTTACGGTTTAGTTACGAAATTTAACGTACATCTATTATAATATAAGACTAAATGTAACATGTGGTATTTTATGGAATTCTTTAACACATTAGTCATTTTTCTTCTTTTTAAGTGGCTAAAAAATAAGAAAAATCATGCTACGTTGCATAGAAGTTAAATGTTTCGATTAAACTCTCAAACCACAACAGCTTCTAAGCCAATCGTTGATACAATAATTTGTTCAGCATGAAGGGTCGTTGGTGAAAAAAAAAAAACTATTTTTCAAATCTGTCGAGCACAGAAGTTGATGTAGCTATGAAAAATTGTACTGTGGGCTTGATAAGAGGATAAAAACTATTCAGAAACTATTCACTTAATAGAATCAAGTTACGATTATCAATTAATGAAAACTTTTTTACTTTTGTTAACAAAATTGGTTTTTATTGTTAATTAACTTTAATTAATTCTAACTTTTTAACATTAATAAAAATATTTTTGTCATTAACTAAATTGTTTGAATTGTATCATTTATTATCAAAGAGTTAAAAAACAAATTATCATTGCATTTGTTTCTGATAAATGTACAAGATTTTATTGTTTTCATTGAGAAATAAAATAATGATACAAATATTGTATAATTATTTTCTAAGGTGGTTGTAAAAATTGGGTCATTCATATTCCGGCGACTACTTTTTTATTAATAATAATTAATACGATAAGAAAAATTGATTGGATCACATATTTTAAAATTTAATGAATTTAAATTAGTTTCAAAAGTACCAAGCTGCGAACTCTGTGTTAGAATTATTAACTATCCAATATCGATACCAGTTGTTCTCTGTCGATATTTTATCATGTCTTCATTGCAAATACAATTATTGGTTACACATGTGTTTGTCACGTTAGAGTATGTGTGTGTTTAATGGACGGCACTTGACGAAGTAAAAACACGAAAAATGTATAATTTTTTTTCCTGACTTAAAACTAGTTAATGGTCTTATCGTATGAAACGGTAATAAAATCTGACCATGTGGGAAACAATATTTAATATATCTCAGTTTTTTGAATGAATATTTAAGTGAACTTAACCTCAAACGTGTCCAAAACAGCGAAGAAAAAATATATTTAAAATGGCTCAAAACGAAGAAGATGTAAAAAAATTAGAAGAGAAAACTCAAGATGATTCGCCGGATCCTAATGTGCCATCAGAAGAAGATAAGCAATATCTTCTGGATTATGTTCAAGAAGTAGAACAAAGGTTAGCTGCCAAAGAAGAAATAAGATCTGCTAATTTGAATGTTACAAGACCTCCAGATAGTTATTTCAGTAAGTTGGATTCGAATTTAAAAAAAAATACAACTTTGGTGAAAAAGCTAAAAAATTTCAGTGCTACTCAAGTAGATCAATATCTTAAAGATATGGCGAATTTAAATTTAACTAAATATGTTAGTGAAATAGCAACTGCCTTAGTCGATGCAAAATTAAAGATGACGGATGTCCAAGGAGCAATAAAAATATCTAGTTTTCTCCATCAAACTTATACAGATTTTTCCACTCACTTTTTTGAAAATTGGCAACGAGTATTGACTTTAAAAGTCGGAGAGAAAATCAACAATCCTAGCAAATTAAGAGTTGATTTAAGATTTTATGCAGAACTTGTGAATGCTGGCATTTTCACTCACAAACAAGGGCTTTCTCTGCTTGGATCGGTGCTGACTGTCTTAATCAACATGGACAAAGAGGAGCACAACAATGCCAACATTATTCTCAGCTTCTGTCGTCATTGTGGAGAAGATTATGCAGGCTTAGTTCCTAGAAAAGTAAGAGATTTATCAGAGAAACTAAATGTAACAATACCAAAAAGCAAAGTTCTACCTCCCGATAAACAACAAAATGTTCGAACTTTATTAAGAGAATACTACAACTCTTTATGTAAACATTTATTAAAAGATCATAAAGAATTACAAGCTTTTGAAAAACAGAATCGAAAGATTCTTCAAACAAGAGGTGAACTCAGTTCAGAGCGAAAAGAAAAATTGGAAGCATTGCAAGTCTCTTATGATCGATTGATGACAAATGTTCAAAATTTCTCAGAAACTCTAGATGAACCAATGCCAGAGCTTCCTGTTGATACGGAAGTAAAAACAGAAGCTGATGAAACTTTTAAGATGATTAGCGAAGGAGAAGAGAATAGCTTGATGGAAGATATGTGGGGTGATGAAGAAACTAGAAGATTCTATGAAGTACTTCCTGATCTCACAGTCTTCCTTCCTGGATCTTATTTGAAAGAAGTGCCAACAGTTGATGCACCAATTACAGAAGAAACTTTAGATGAAGAGATAACATTCGATGAGTTGGAAGAGATTGAAAAAATTGAAGAAACAGAACCAGAAGTTGAAGAGCCTCAAGTTGCTAATATTAGCAATAAAATCCTTCTTGATGCTTTTCTTTCTCATTTACCAAACTGCGTGAACCGAGAAATGATTGATAATGCCGCTGCAGATTTCTTAATGAATCTCAATACTAAACATAACAAGAAAAAACTCATTAAAGCTCTTTTTGGAGTATCAAGAATTCGTTTAGATCTTCTACCGTTTTATTCTCGATTGGCTGCTATTCTCTACCCTGTCATGCCAGATGTTGCTAATGAACTTTGCACCATGTTGAAGCATGACTTTAAGTATCATGTAAGAAAAAAGGATCAGATCAACATTGAATCCAAAGTCAAGGTTGTAAGATACATTGGAGAGTTAGTAAAATTTAAATTGTATAGCAAAATAGAGGCTTTGTACTGTCTAAAAGTGTTACTTCATGACTTTACTCACCATCACATAGAAATGGCTTGCAATCTCTTGGAAACCTGTGGAAGATTTCTTTTCTGTTCAGCAGATTCCCACCAAAGAACTAAAGTATACCTGGAGCAAATGATGAGAAAAAAAGCAGTGACTGCCTTGGACTCTCGATATGTAACAATAATTGAGAATGCTTATTATTTTGTGAATCCCCCAGAATCTAGTGGAGGATTAAGTAGAAAAGAACGACCACCAATGCATGAGTTTATCAGGAAACTTCTCTATCAAGATCTTTCTAAGACTAATACTGATAAAATTCTTAAACTGATGCGTAAGCTTGACTGGGAAGATGAAAATATTGCATCTTATGCTATAAAGTGTCTCACAGCAGCTTATAATGTTAAATATTTGAATATCCGATGTGTAGGAAGTCTTTTGGCGGGTCTTGTAGCTCACTACGAAGCAGTAGGACCTCATGTTGTTGATGGTGTGTTAGAAGATATCAGAGTGTGTATGGAAATCAACCTTCCCAAGTATAATCAACGAAGGATAGCTATGGTAAAATATCTGGGAGAACTTTATAATTATAGAATGGTAGAAAGTGGAGATATTTTTCGTACACTATATCTTCTTATCACTTTTGGAGTCAGTATGGATCATGGAGTACCAAGTCCTTTAGATCCACCTGATCACTTATTTCGTATTAGACTTGTTTGCACACTTCTAGAAACTTGTGGTCAATATTTTAGTGGAGGATCCAGTAAAAAAAAGTTGGACTACTTTTTGATATTTTTCCAAAATTATTATTGGTTCAAATATACTGACCCTATTTGGACTCCAGAGAATCCTTTCCCTATTGGAATTGATTATATGTATAGGGATACTTTAACAATGCTAAGACCAAAAATGCAACTTCTCCAAAGTTACAAAGCATCTCAAGCTGCAATCGAAGAATTAAAAAATATTTTGTACCCATCACTTCAAGTGGGAAAAGAAGAGAATCGTTCTGATACTGGTGATGATATGGGAGTAATTCCAGAGGTTGATGAAGAAGCAGCTGGTGTTGATGTAAAAGGATCTGAACTCCACTTTGAAGAAGCTGAAGATTGTTCAGAAGAAGATTGGATTATTGATGCAGAGAGAGATGAGAATGCTGGAACAGCAGAGAATACACAAGGAGACCAAAGCCTCTCTCAAGGTCCTGCCGAAGGAGTGATTTTAGATGCTTCTGAATTAGAAGCAGCTTTACCATCCGGACCAAAACGAGTTGCTTGTCCAGAAGATGATGACTTCCTTTCTGCTTTGGATAAAATAGTCTCTGATAACATTCAAGACCGGATGAGAGACAATGTCAAGCCTCAACAAGTCGATATTTCTGTTCCCATTCATGTGAAAAATCCTAAAAAAACTTATGAACAATTACACGAAGGGCCTTCTGATAATACTACAGTCGACTTTATTCTTATGTTAAGAAAAGGAAATAAACAACAATATAAAAGTCTGGCTGTGCCAGTATCATCTGAGTTAGCAAAGAACTTGAGAAATCGTGAGCAAGAACAAAAGGAAGAAAAAGAACGTGTTAAAAGATTGACTTTGAATATTACAGAGAGGCAAGAAGAGGAGGATTACCAGGAAACGATTAATCAAGGGACAAAACCAGTCACTGTCAACTTGAATCGAGAGCGAAGACAGAAGTATAATCATCCAAAGGGTGCACCAGATGCGGATCTCATTTTCGGACCTAAAAAAATACGATAGAAAAATAAATGGATGTCTTCAGTGACTGAATGTGGATTTCGTGAACTTCAAGAGGTGCTCTGTCACCTAACCAAATGACAAAGAGTTCAAGGGAGAAAATGAACCTTCTCTCTTTCTTCCAAACAACTACGAGCTGAATGCAAGCTCCTCTACGTAGAAGACACAATGAAAAAAAATGAAAAGAGAAAAATAATTTATATATTTTCGTATCCGGTCGTTTCGATGAAAGACGACGTCTTTTATCTACACTGTTATTATTTCATATAATATTACTTTGATTAATAAATAAATTGAGTTCAATAGATGCTTGGAAAATTCTTTCATTTACTACAAAATTTGCTCAAAATAAATGGCTTATTCTAATTCATAAATATTCTATACTAAAAATAAAATAATTCAGTCATTAACGAGCATAAATTAAATTTCAACAGCTGCCTTGACAACAAACATTAAATGAATATTTAGCAGTCATAAAAGTCAGCTAATAATTAAAAATAATATAAAAAATTTGTTTAGTTGTTGCTAATAGCTTTACAATTGAACAAAGTATTATTTTCATTATGTTTATGATTTATTGTTCTCTTGAGAGAAACTATTGCCATGTACAAAATGAATATAAATAAAGTTCAGTGCTTTCAATTTGTTTTGTTAGTTTTACATTGACTAATGACATCAAGTTGTCTACAGCAAGAGCATTTTTCGCATGTGAAATTAGCAATTACTGTTAAATGAATGTGAAGAGCATAGAAATTTCACTATATACTATAAAGAAAACAGTGCAAAAAAATGTTGATTATAGCCGATATTCTGTTAGGGTCATTATTAGTTTAAATAAGTTATATGCCTTCTTCAGCGTCCTCAAACATTCCAGATTCTACATCCATAGCATCCTCATTGTCATTTCCATTTTGATTTCCTGCTACGTGCTCTGAAATATGAGACCTTAATCATTATCATTACTTAATTTATTATAATTATTTATTATGAAATATATTCAACAGAGAGTGGTTTCCGCTTATTATGAAATAAGTTTACCTTGAGGTAATATATACGGGGCATCTTCAGCTCCAACTTCGTAATATTTAAAATCATCCTCCTCCGCATCTTCAAAGATTTCATGTTCATCTGATAAATAATAATCAAATAATAAAACGGGAAATTTTTCAATATTTATAATAATTACTTCTGATGATTATTTACCATCTGAAGAATTGTCTTGAGGATCAGGATGTAAAGCTTGACAATGATTCATTGCTTGAAACATTGCATCTAAGTTATTTGTGTTGTCAGGTGCAAACCTCATTTCAGTCATAACTGTTTCAGAGTCAGCATTATCGTCACTAGAATTTTCTTCATTTTGTTCAACTACTTCAACACCTATAATCATTGTTATAGAATAAAAAGAAAGAAAAATATCACAATTAAAATTACACAAAAATACCTGGTAAGTCAACTTTTGCATCCACCATAACATAAAGACACTGTCGTGGATGAACTTGTTCATCTCTTGAAACTGCATGTAAAGAAATGTGTGGATATTCTAAAGAGAATCCTTGTTGTGTTGTATTATTCACCCATGATAATACACTAGAATTGAAATTATTTTACAAATTGAAATTAATGCAACTATCCACATGGAGTACTGTAAAGATGATGCAACTAAAAATGAAATCAACAGATTATTTCCATATTTACCTTTCAGTTATGTATAAAGTTCCTTTTCCTACTTCTCTATCATTAATAAAAACAGTAGTATTTTGTTCTTCATGCTTGATTCCTTCCTGAGGAGCGAAGAAATTACTAAGTACAACCATGTTTAAACCTAAAAATGACATGATGTTTAAATTTTGAATATTAATTTTAAACATTAAATAGGCTTCTCTCGTCAACTCACAATGTATTTAAGAACTATCAGCAGGTTTTGCACTTAGATAATTACACCGACAATTTCATTAAACAAAAATGACACCACCAACAGGATTATCTATATATTTGAACTGCAGTTATCAGTATATGTCCGTACGTTTGAAGCTTCTAAATAAACTAAAGTACGAAGAATTATTTAATTATGGCTGTTCTAAATAGTTTTTTTATGAAAACTAACTCTACTAAGAAAATTGCCGAATTGAATTTTTTTTGTTTACCTCAATTCCAAAGAAGGATAGTGAGAATTACAATTGCTTTAGCTCAGCTGTGCAATTTCTACCGGGTGTTGTTTTACTGTCGATAAAATAACTGAAAAGAAAACAAAACGAATTGCTAGATACTCTAGTGCAATGTTCGATTTTGAAATAATTTTTTAAATGTCAAAAGTACATGAATATTCTATGACACTTCTATTGAACAAATACTTATTAGAAAATACCGGTACTCACGAGTAACATTAAATACAATTTATTTTAAATCACATGATAAACGTGTAATTTTTTTGTTAACAATATATGAAGGGGCACATATGCATGTATTAGAATTTTTGTGATAAAAACATTATCTTTTAGATCGATATTAGATAAAGGTGTAAATATATTAGTTCTGATCCTTTGTTTAATTAAGAGGGCGCTGTAGTCAATTGAATTTATTACAACGCAATATATGTTCATTTCTTCGAGTGCATGAAGAGTGACGTTGTGTACAGTTAAGTAATTGGTTTTTTTCATTGAGGATTTATAGAGTTGCTCTTTTTGTTCCAGTGCAGATTTTTCTTTATGGTTTTCGAAAGTAATCACGTCACATAACAGTGGATAAATTAACCTATAAATAATTAATTGCTACACATTGTTATAACAAACTTCAGTGCGTGTGTAGTTGAACATTCCTCGAAACATATTAAAGTTCATAATTATTTTTACATGGAAGAAAATCTGAAAAATTATTTCTACAGTCAAGTGACCGACTTGCAAAAGAACAAAAAAGATTGAATTGTATCATTAGTTATGTTGCAGATTTTACTTACAATGTAATGAGAACTCTTGCGCAATGCATTGATACTATATTGTAGTCATTACAATGCATTGGCGATGCAATAATAATCCTCTACAACATTATATCAAGAAGCATTTTTTGGTTTTGTGGCCATTATAATGCAAAACCGTGAATTGTCAAGTTAGAAGTTTATATCTATGGTGTGTCACGTGAAAGTGTCGTCCTCATCGGCGTCTTCATCGTCGTCAATGTTGTTATCGTTATTTATGTCATCTCTAAGTTATTCAAAGTTGTTGTGCTCATCATCTTCATAGTCAATTGTTTTCCAAGAAAATAAAACAAATCGTTCATTTTACTCAAAACACTTGAAGATAAACTCGAAGAAAACTTTATTATTCAGTTACAAACATTAACATCGTTAAAAGTATGCTTTCAATTAATATTTTCTTAGTTTGGTAGTTTAATTTTTAGTTTCGGAGCTATTTAAAATTGACTCAATCATGACACTATTATTTATTGTTTAAATAAAAACAATGATGTACATTAATTTTATAGCGTAAACAATGCTCACTTTAAAGTTTATTTATAATTTGAATAATTTCTATTTTTACTTGAAAACGTAACTATTCTTCTATGTACGTTTTATTATTTATCTAAATGTCATAGTGCTTAATGTCATTGTATATTAATAAATTATTAATTTTTTTATGCAACAATTTAAAAATTATTTAAGTTAAAACGTATTTATTAGTTAAAGAACGTTTTCTCTAACTCTTAGTTCTCTTATATATTAATTTTAACTTAACATTAGTTTATTTAGAGTTATTTGTATGAAATGTTAGCAATTACTTGTGATGATACCATGACTAATACTATATTTCTTGTTTCAGGTTAACGAAAATATTTGCAATCAAACAATAGACACCAATATCCCCAAAAGTAGGTTCATTAAATTTTATAGTTAGTCGATCCTTAACTGTATGACTGATTTCCTTTATTTACAAATTAATTTTTGTTTATTTTGGATGAATTAATTTAATGAAACTATGTGCTTACAATGCTAATAATACGTTTATTTGTTGCAGATTAAATGAATACTATTAATTATTGAATCCTGAAATAAATAAACAAGTAGTTAGAGATTTAGAAAAGAATATTTTTCCTGCGTAAACAATAGAGTTATTTTAATCTGGAGTTAATGATATTGTAAAGAAATGTCTCAGCTAAGTATAAGCAGTGGAAAACGTGGAAGAGGTGTAGCAAGTACCTCAGCAGCAGCTGTATCGGCTTCCAGTAGTTCCACAGACTTGGCTAGTCTTTTTGAATGTCCTGTCTGCTTTGAATATGTATTACCACCCATTTTACAATGCCAAAGTGGGCATTTAGTTTGCAGCAACTGCAGACCAAAATTGAGTTGCTGTCCTACTTGCAGAGGTCCATTAGGTATGTTTTATCTGGCAGTATTTATTATTTTACACCTACACTTATTTGCATTTATTTTTAATACTCACCAACTGAAATAGAGATCCATTAATTAGTGAAAGCTGCAATTTTTTCAAGATCTACTGCTTCGATAAGCAATTCAACACTATTAATAATAGAATAATTTATGTTTCAGGTAATATACGCAACCTAGCAATGGAAAAAGTTGCTAGTAATGTGATGTTTCCCTGCAAATATTCGACGAGTGGTTGCACAGTATCAATGGTCCACATAGAAAAACCAGATCACGAAGATGCCTGTGAATTCCGTCCCTATAGTTGCCCTTGTCCTGGCGCATCATGTAAATGGCAAGGATCTCTTGAGGAAGTTATGCCTCACCTCGTTATGAGTCATAAAAGTATTACAACACTTCAAGGTGAGTCATTATTATTGTTTATTTTTTTTCTAGTCTTAAGTTTTATTGTTTTCTCACACTTGTCTGTTTTGAATTAAATTTATTCCTTTCTATTTTACAAAATTATCTAAAGAGCATACTAATTATTTTTATTAATTATTTTAGGAGAAGACATTGTCTTTTTAGCAACTGATATCAATCTACCGGGTGCTGTTGATTGGGTAATGATGCAATCATGTTTTGGCCACCACTTTATGCTTGTTTTGGAAAAACAAGAAAAGTACGATGGCCATCAACAATTTTTTGCTATTGCTCAACTAATTGGATCACGAAAACAGGCGGAGAACTTTTCATACAGGTATTGTTATGGCAAATGAGAAAATAACATAATAGGTTTTTCTACATGATGTTTATGTTTGATATTCTATTTAGATTGGAGTTGAATGGCAACCGTCGACGACTAACATGGGAAGCAATGCCGAGATCAATTCACGAAGGTGTTTCTTGTGCGATTCTTGCATCTGATTGTCTTGTTTTTGACACATCAATTGCACGACGCTTTGCTGATAATGGTAATTTAGCAATTAATGTCACAATATCAATGGTATAAAAAATTTTATTAAAATTAACTACGAGTAATTTCTTAAAAAAGAACATTTCAGAATTTTCATTTATATTTTATTTCAAAAAAATTAATGTAAGGTCATTACTAAATCTAAAATATTCATTGAAAAATACTCATTATGCTGTGAAAGTATAAACAATTTTACAAAATCATTTTTCATTCTGATTTATCGAATTTATCAATAAATGAAACATATGATAAATTTTTTATCCCTATAAATAATGGAACAATTGAGTAATAACTATCGCTGATAAGAAACTATGTAATTAAATAATGCAACGACAAAAATCTGTATAGAAAAAATAACGAAAAGCAAATAAGTTTAATGAGCACAAAATTGCTGTGAGAATCTCCGGTAAAAAACTTAGACTGAACTGTAAAAAATAAAATTTTAAAGAACTAAAGTAATTGTGGTGAAAATAATACCAATAGTAATAGTAAATTGTTAAAAATTAAATAATTATGAAATGTAATAACTAATGATAATTACAATGATACTCTTCAAAATTAGAAATTTAATTCATTGACAGAATAAAATAATTAATTTAGTGTAATAATAAAAAATGATGAAGATAATTTTTAGTCAATTATTTGCTACTAAGTTGTCATTGGATTCTAGTAAATAAACCATTTATATTATCTTCTCGTATCCACAACAAAATTAGGCTTTATAATTTGGAATAAAATCTTTGATAAATCAATCAACTTGAATTATTATCGATTAATCATTATTTACATTTAGAGTAGTTATTTATGTGATGTGATAAAATATTAGTTGAAAGAAATTGTAGTACGAATAATACTCTAAACCTTTCAAATTTAACTACGATGGTGATTTTGTTATTATTATTAATTATTATTATTATTATTTTTGTAGTAATTCACAATAACTCTATTGAATTCATGTTACTAAATCGTAATAATTGTCATATATTGTTTATTCCTTGTTTATAAATTTACCAACACTTTTAAGTGCCTCTTTTTATTATCAACTATCGATTCTCATTACTATCAATTATTAATTAAGAGTTGATAATTATAGCTACTCATTATATAATATATATATAAATATACGATTAATCAATTGTACTAAATATTCACTATTTTGTTCTAGCTTACTGTAAATAATATACTTTAATAATAATTATGAATTAAATGGTCATTATTTCATGATAATACTTCGATTTTTTATTAACCTTTATACGTTAATTTTTTTAATTTATACATAAATAATAATTGTTAATTTTCAATAAGAAAACTTCCTTGTGAATATCATTTACTGTATTTTTAATTACTGTTTGAGCATTATATAATTCTCAAAATCGATAAAATATAATTTTATAAGTTCATGTATGTACATAAATATATAATTAATTGTAACAAATTTACAAATGACTTATAATAATTGGACTAATGTACATGTAGACACTTGTTTATAAGTAATGAATTATTAAACATTTGAATATAAATATGAGGAGACGCAGAGCGTTAAAAATATACTCAGATGTTACGGATACGATTACTGGATACTTGACTGTTGTTATATGTTAACTCAACCAATGAGCGAACTCTCTCGAAAGTGGCGGCAGGTGAACGACCAATCAAATTAACGATAGCATACACAATATATCTCAAGTTGGAGCATATTATGTGCACGAAATCAAGATGGCATCCGAAGAGAGTGCAAGTGCCGTGTCAAATGAAGAGTGTGATGTCAATAGTGAATCAAAACGCGTCGTTAATTCATGTATTGTGGATAAAGTGAGTGTTGAACAAACAAAAGTGACGTGTAGTATAAAATCAAATAGTTTATGCGAGTTAGATAATCATATAAATAACAATTGGGACAAGAGTTTTATGCCAAAGACGCCCAGCGGGACGCCCACGGATTTTATATCTGCATCATCAACAACTAGACTTTTTAAAGAACATAATAAATACCAAGAGACAAAAGGCAGACAATTATTTCATAGGAATGTTGGAAATGTTGCCGGGGTAAACCCGGCCACTGTCAACACTAGTTTAACTTCAGTGTTTTCAGAATCACGCAACATGTCCGGTCATCGCATTAAGGACGCGAACATATCTACGTCCCTTTCTAGAGATTCTGATTCAGGTGACTGTTCACTTTTTGTTCAGTATTTTTCATATGGTTTTCATGTTTTTATGTTGCCTTATTATAGAGGAATTTAGTTATACAATCAGTTGGCTAATTATGTTATTAAAACTATGTATTTTTTTAAAATAACAAATGCTGATAATACCTGCTGTTGCTCAGTTGAATATTAATTTTTTTCTTTGACATTTTTGACAAATTAATTTTGAAAAATTTTTCAGTCATAACAAATTTATCTTATTGTAATTTTTTTTATTAATTTCTTGTACATATATCTAAAATTAATAAATAATTAATTTTTTAATATATTTTTTCTGAATAAATATCAATTTTCAATATGATAGACATTAGAATAACGCAATATAGTATAGAGTTAAGTGTCCTCAAACATTTAGCTGAAAATTGATTACATTCTTCATTTTATAATTTTTACCTTTTTTTCACGAGAAAGTTTCAACATTTCACTATGTCATCTTGGAATGTATTTAATGTTATTCAGTTATTAGATTAATTATAAAATTTTACTGAATAAACTAAATTTTAACAATTTTTTTTTATTTCTAAACAGATTCAAATGGTGCCATTAGAGACTCTGTGAAACCTTTGTGTAGAGAGAGTGTGCACAACACATTTCATGTAAGCATTATAAACAATCATTTAATGATAATAATGTAACGAGTTTACAGAAGTTATTTTATTAATTTACTTTCGCTATAAATAAGAAAATGATAATCATAATAATGTACTATGAAAACTGAATTTTATTCATTTATTTTCTATCGACAGGCTGACACATCACATGAGAGTGAATCAATGCCGGAAAGTAGTAATAATCTACAAAGTAAACCTCCACCAGTAAAATTAAAGGAATGTGGTAATGTATCTAGTAAGATTCCTCAACTAGGAGAAAGTCCTCAATGTAGTGGCAATATTATTACAAGTCCACGAAGTCCAGACTATCCACCAAGAGTTTCTACAAACCCCCATAGCCCCGATACAACTTTTATATCAAGTGATGTAACACGAACTTCAGATATTGCTATTGCCATGGACACTGCAAAGTACAATGACGCTGAGTCAAAAACCTCACAAAGCACTACAGTATTTAGTGAATCATTTAATTCTAAAGTATCTCATTCAGTTCCTATTAAAATGGAGACTGATCAAGATGAGTGTAATGATAAAATAAGCATCAAAAGTGAAAATCAAACAGTCATCAAGACTGAAGAAGATAAAATCAAGCTAGAACCTCCAGAGTCTTCAGAAATCATAGATGAATCATGTAAAAATATTTCGTCATCATTTAGTGAACCTAAAATTGATTCTACAACGTGTAATATCACTTTAAATGAATCAACAAAAACATCAACATCACTATCATCGTCATCAGCATCGAGTCTATTAACGAGCAATAATGAAAAATCATGTACAACGTCGAGTGAAAAGCGGAGAGATTATAGCGAACGACACAGGTGTTCTAGATGTTATAAACGAAGTAAAATAAAACGAGCTAGTATTGGAGTTCAATGCAGACGTGATAGAACCACTCTACCGCTGAACAGGAAAGAAAATTCTCATTCAAACTCGGCTAATGCTAATTTACGACTTCACTTAGAGGCAAAAAGCTTTAAAACACTCAACCAATCGATCATAAAAAATGATCAGCTTGAAGGGTTGAAGTATAAGAAGTTTATTCATATAGAAACCTATCCAAATGGTGGTGCTACAGTAGTTCATATGTACCAGGATGAAATAGACACTTTGTCAAAAGAGCAGATTGAAGAATTAACTCATGAATTTTTCAAAGTTGTTTTTGGTGAAGATGAAAACGGCAATGCTTACAATGTTATGGGTATTGTCCATAATTCAGCAGCGTATCTTCCTGATTTACTGGATCATATGGCCTATAATTATCCAACACTGACTGTCAAAAATGGAGTATTAGGAAGAAATAGTGATATAGAAACTACAACAATGCTCCAATATAAAGATCAAGTTTATAAAGCTTACAGTAATGGAACTGTAAGATATGGACCATTACATCAAATTAGCCTTGTAGGAACAGTTCACGAAGAAGTGGGAGGATATTTCCCCGACCTTTTACAACGGTTAGAAGAAAATCCTTTTCTTAGAATGACAATGCCATGGGGTCCAATGTCTGTGGTGAAAATGGAAACTCCTCAAGAGTCTAACGATGGTCCGATTCTTTGGATCAGACCTGGAGAACAGTTAGTTCCTACTGCAGATATTAATAAGAGTCCTTGTAAGAGAAGAAGGACTGGAATAAATGAATTAAGAAATCTTCAATATCTTCCACGATTGAGTGAAGCTAGAGAATATATGTTTGAAGATCGCACGAGAGCACATGCTGATCATGTAGGACATGGTCTGGACAGAATGACAACCGCAGCAGTTGGTGTGCTAAAGGCCATTCATGGTGGTCAACCGTCCGAGTATAATAGAATCACAAAGGATGTAGTAGCTTTTTATGCTGGAGATTTTCCAGAGCTCGTAGAAAAACTTCAACTAGATTTACACGAGCCACCGATATCTCAATGTGTCCAATGGATTGAAGATGCCAAGCTGAATCAGCTTAGAAGACAAGGAATCCGTTATGCACGAATTAATCTTTATGATAATGATATTTATTTTTTACCAAGAAATATCATTCATCAATTTCGAACAGTTTCTGCTGTCTCTAGTATCGCCTGGCACGTAAGACTGAAGCAATATTACCCCGATTCTCCAGTCAATTCCAATATTAGGCACGGAAGATCGATATCTGAGAACAGCGGTCATTTTAAAGAGAAAAACAGTCTTTCCGGGGTTCTTATTGATGAGCAGAAGGAAAATGCTGATAGACAGCATATGGCTGATAAAAAGGCCAAGGAAAGAGCTGCAGAGTATCAAGGAAACTTAAAAAAGTCTGATCAGCATGGAAGAAAAAGGAAAGACGAACATAAGAGTCGAGATCGTAGTAGGCAAGATGTTGATAAAAGGAAAGATCGAAGGAGAGACTCTAAATCTATAGATAAAAGAAAACGAGATAAAATATCGATTAAAAGAAAGTCTAATGATGAAGAAAGACGGAGTAGTAAGAAACACGATCACCATCATTCAAGTTCAGTTAGAAGTCGCTCTACTGATAAAAAGAAGAAGCAAGAAGGTAGTGGCAACAGCAGTAGCAGTAGTAGTAATAGTAGTAGTCGTCAAAGGTCTCATAGTAACTCGAGTAATTCTTCTTTTGTATCTAAAAGAGACGAATCGACTGTTATTGGCTCAAAGCCGACACTACCAAGTCAATTGTCGGAGTTTTCCTTGACAGAATCATCAGTTCCATCACAAACTACTCTTCCAAGTCGATGTTCTACTCCAGAACTCAATCAGGAGGTGACAATCTCTCTTGACAATGAAACTAAATTAGAGAGACAATCCACGGGCAAAGTTTATGCCACAGAAGTTGTAGATAAAGCTTTAGAAATTGCTGTTTATAAATCTAAAACTGATGTTGAAGAAGTTTGTCAATCCTTCCGACATGGAGTTGCTGAAGCTTCAAAGGAAGTTATAGAGAAAATCAAGAAAGAATGTTTTGAGATAGCTTTAAGATCTTACGAAAAACAGAGCTCTAATTTTGAAAAGTTATCAAGATTATTAGAGACAGAAACAATGGTAGCTTTTACATCAGAAATGGAGTGTGCGACTGAGAATGCAGTAAAAGCTTTAGTAGAAATGGCTGAAGAAGAAGCTAAAGAAAAACTGAAGGATGTTTCAGATAATTTAGACCAATCAGCATCGTCAGAAAGGTCTTCAGAAGCTGAAAAAATCGTCCCAGATATTCCGGAATTAGAATCTGTTACTAATGATCCATCAAACATAAGTTTTTCCGCATCCTGGGCTCATAAACCTGAAGAAAAATCTTCTAAATCAGAACATCGATCATCCAAGAGTTCCAGAAGCTCCAGCAAACATCGAAGCGATAAGGATTCGAGAGATTCACGACACAAAGATAGGCGAGATCGAGATCGGAAGGATAGAGACAAAGACAAAGAACACAAGAGACATTCTCATGAAGACAGACATGATTCCAGCAGCAAATCACAAAGCTCACGCACTGAATCTGTATCAGCAGTATCTTCCTCTTCTTCCGTGAATAAGTCTTCTTCATTCTCGTCTTCATCTTCATCAACTAGAGATGAAGGTAAAACTGATAGGAAAGAGAGCAAGCGAGATTCTCATCGTCATGATAGAGACTATCATCGAAAAAGTTCATCTCAGTCTAAAGATGAATCTAAACCTCGCTCCAGCTCAAGTTCTAATTCTAATCATAAAAGAAAATCTAGCAGTAGTTCCAGTCATTTGCACAAAGAATCAAAGAGACTGTGTACTGGCAATGATTCTATTATTCGACAGAATGTTAGTCAAACTCATGCACCTGAAACACCTTCTAATGCTCTTATTAATAGCAACAATAATAATAATGATAACGGTAACAACAGTAATAATAGTAATAATAATACTGATAACAGTAATAATACTAGTGATGAATCAAGCAGCAGAATCTAAATGACAGTTTTGAATTATCAAACGTGTATAGTACAATCATTTTTCACTAAACAGAGTCTATAAAAAAGATGACATAAAATAAGAAGCATTTGAAAAGGTTTGATAAAAAAAAAACTAAATGAAAACAAAAAAAAAATTAAACCATAAAATGAGAAGTGTGACATTAAATAACGTGTGTTATTGCTGATATTTTTTAAAATATGGATATTTTATGAATACATAAAATATCCATACAATCGACAAATATTATTTTTAATTACGAACATTTATAAGAAATGTAAATATTAATTAATATCGTTACAACACAAGTGTGATTTTTTAAATATCATAGTGTATATTATATTATATTATATTCACTTAAATTTATTTATTTAATTAATAACAAACAAATACGATAATAACTTGGAGAAATTATATGAATAATGTTGTTATTGATCGTAAAAAATATTGCCAATATTTTTTCGTGAAAAATCCATAAATTTATTTTTGCTTTTACTTATCTATCGCTTGACGCATTAATTTATTTACTGATATTGGACTTTTGTGTATTTTTAAATTGATTCAACGAAATGATCATTGCAATTTTTATCTACAATTTGTCAATTAGTTATTCCTAGCGCAAAATCATTAATTTCATTTTTAATGTTGCATATAAGCTATTCTTATGACATTGAAAATCCCATTTATTTTCATATCAATGACACTTTTCTTGATTTATAAACTTTCAATCAATTGTGCATAAAACACCAAAATTAAAAAACTAAATTATTAATTTGTTGGAAAAATGAATTAATTATACGATGATTGAGTTATAAATAATTTATTAGGTGTGTTCATCTACCAAGAAAGTATACAATAAATATACAACTTTAAATGCTTCATGATAGTAATTATTTATTATTATTACGTTATTGTTGTATTATTATCACAATTATTATTATTATTATAATTATTACATCACTATTATTCATAATAAAAAAACAGAGTTAAAATATAATGTTATTTAAAGTAATGGTCGAATATATCACGAGTACATAACAAACAAGTACTGCTCATTAATAAAAGGAAATGATAGTATAAGCATGATTGAAAATGTTCTTACATTAATAATGATGCGAGTATAAGTTATTATGATCTTCTGATTAATTAGACTTAATTACATGCTTTATTTATTGTTATTGATAGTCTATTCATTTATTCATATTCTCCAAAATATCGTTACACTTGAAAGTAATACCCGAACTTAAGTAGTATTAGTTTTTGTTGGGTACTTTTGCATAAACTATATCGATTTATTCAAGATTCAAGATAATAACATTATTACGTAAATTATTTTCTTATTTAAATTCTTAATTATTTATAACACGAAAGATTACAGTGAAATGCAGCATAATGCATTAAGAGAAAAAATTATTTTTAAAAAAAATTTAATATTAAACTTATTTGCATTGATTTTTATGATATTACTAAATATAAGAAAGATAAAATACAAATAATTTCAAGTACTAAATATTTATTTATTTAAATATAATTTTGCTTAACAGAGAATTATATAATTAATAATTAAGTTAGTAATTAATATGTATTAATTAACTACTTATGTATATCTTTGAAAGACGAAATTTGCATGAAATGAAAGATAATTGATCTTAGTTTATCAATAAAATATTTTTTATTACATAAATGTTTGTTTTTTTTTTAATAGTTTTTTCTCTTTGTGTGAATTAATTCTTTGCCATTCAATTGTTTTGCAGTTTCAATAATACTATCATTTAATAATTCAAGAGTAATCATAAATAGAGGTTTATTACAGCTATAAATTTATAAAATTGACTATCTCTAAGAACTTAATTTAATTAGAAAATTTATAAAAGCACAAATATACATATTATTCATATACAATAACAGATAATTCAATGAATATTTATGTAATCAAAACATAACTTTCCATTGAGTCGATAAATATAATTATGATAAAAAAAATATTTATTGTGCATTGAACGATGAATGTAAAAAATCAACAATGTGACAGTTACGTTAAATAGTATACACAACAATTTTATTATACTATTTATTTTATTTGATTTAAATTATTATTTAAAAAAATTTTCAACGGGAAGCAAAATCTATATGTAGATATTATATATAAAAATATGAGAAAATATTTGCACTTGTAATTTATAATTTAGAGAGTTCGTAAGATATAACAATAATTTAAGAAAAATAAAAGTATAATAATTAAATTTAGAAAATTAAATCTTAAATAAATTAAGACAACAAAAACAATGATGCAAAAAAGAATATTAATTGGAATTGAATTAGTATGTATATTTTGTAAATATTAATTTGACTAATATAGATGATGTTTGTAACACAATTATGCAATAGTAGATGAAAATTAAATTTTAAAAAAACTTAACGTGAGAAAATAAAAATTATAATGGCGTATTAACGCAATACTTTGCTTATTTTTTTTTAGAACATTGCTAATAATGCCAGATATTTAATATTATGAAAAATATATATATAAAGTACGTTGATGACAGAGATTCACGAAATATAATTAAGTTAGAGATTGTAAGTAGTTTTACATATTGTATCCACACATATGTAGATGAGTCGCATTCCAGAATCTAAGTTTTTAATGGAAAATGAATAAATTACTTTTATCAAAGAAAATGATTGTTAAATACTTCTTATATGTTATCATAATTAATTTTGGTTGTCGACCTATTTTATTCTTCATAATATCATTATTGAAAACAAATTCACGAAATTAAAACATTAAAAATTTGCTGTTTTTTTTTTGAATTTTCGCGCAATTTAATTATAATGGCAATAGAGACGCTGCTGTCAATATTTGTTGTCTGACGTCACAAAATGGCTCCTGAAATATAAACGACGACGAGCTTTTGTCCAACCACTTGTTATTCAGAAAAACAGCATAATTAGTAGAAATCACGATTTCGAAATTTTTCAAACTTATTTGTCAATAAGACAATTAAAGTTTTTAGATAACTATCTATTTATAAATAGTTCTAGTTGAGTAACAATAAAAATGTAAAAATCATATACCAGTCCAAACTCCTTTATTCTGGTAGTAAGTATAAACAATTCATAAATGTTCAATTACAAAATAATGAACATTTAACGCCAGACTGCAATTGTTATCATCACTCAAGGCGTCAGTCGATTCTTTTGTTAATCATATAGATATTATCTACTTTTCTGTGTCGTATTTTATGGAAAAGCTTTTAGATTTTTTGTCATTATATCCACTAAAAGATTCAGAAAAGTCGATATTTCTTTACAGCTACTCAATTCGATAATTTAAATGAAAGGCTCGATGATGTATAATAAAAATTTGTTATTAGGTGATTATCTAATTTAAAATATCATCTTGTGATATAATAGTTCTAATTAATCTTACAGAATTTTTCATTATTTTTAACGAGATCATTACAACTCTTGATGAGTTGATGCATTTATTTCATGTAATTTTTCAATTTCAAGTAGATATCACGTCAGCAATCATCAAGAAAGCTCCGAAGAGGGGAAAGCAACAGTCAGCGCCTGCTTGGCAGTTCTAGTACCATAATTTGTCTGAAGAGGGCTATGTTTTCGTAGTGTCAGCCACCGTGTCACCGTGTTGTGCTCATGTTGAAGCAGTGTTTGCATTCGCACTCGTCGTTTTTGCCGTCCGTCATCGTCTCAGTGGTTATTCTTGTGGTGCTACCGCGTGTTACAGATATAATATTCATCTGGAACACATAATAATAGTCCAAAGTATAAGTTAACAAAAATGGATGTCAACTTACTGGTTCAACAATTCCAGTACGCGATACCTGTAGGTATCGTTCTAGTCTGTGCTGTCCTCGTTTTTGCGTTTGGCTTTAAAAATGCTGAACAGCCACCATTCGCTCAGCTTTCTGCCGTTTCGGACGTGGACCGGAAACAAGCAAACAAAAAACGAAGTAAAATAAAGGAAAAGGTAAATGAAAAAGATGATAAAAAAATTATTTAATAACTTTTATTGGATTCACTTGATAACAGTCACCTGTGCGGCATCATTTTTTGTGACATATGTTAAAGAATATTGTTAATTTTAATCTTTTGGAGTTGTACCATATGGATCCCTGTTAATTCATCCATGAAAAGTCTCTCATGTACACATTCAAGTCAAACAGCTGGGTCCTTCATAGTGTAACAAGGTACTCAGTAGATTGTTTGTAGCAGGGGACACGGTACATACTACACGTTTCACGTTAATATGAGTTGTGACGTAACATGACGGCGTTTCTGATAGCTCATACCCGTATTCTATTTACATATTTAGTTCATTAATAGATATGTTTATTAACTAAAAGTTGGTCAATAGTGTTAAATATTAATTTTTTGATTAATTCTATTGTAGAATAAAATTGTTCACTACAATTTATTGAATTTTTTAATTTTTTCAATCTATTTTTATTAAAAATGATCTCATTAATTTATCTTACTATTGATGAAAGGCAATTAATTCATTTATATTACATAAAGGCGTAGACCTGATAAAAATACTTCTATATTTAACAGTAATGGTGTTATTGTTGCTTATTCATTGATAGTTCGAAGAATTCCAATGGTGTTACATACATAAAAAATTTAATGCTGTGGTGTATCATGAATTTAATTAATTGATGAAATAATTTATTATCTCAATTGTTTCAGCGTGCTGCAAGTAATCAAATTGCTAATGAAAAAGCAAGCCCAATAAAAAAGGGATCTCCTGCAAAGACTGAATCAGCAAAAAAATCGGTTTCCAAAGGTGAACATGATGATGGAAAATTGAAAGAAAGGAAACACGAAAATAATACCCAAGTTGATAACAAAAAAGAAAAAAATCAGATATCTTCTAAATCTGGAAAGGAAAATAAAGTCGAGCAAGTTAAGAATAAGAAGAATATGAAGAATTTAATTCTTGAGAAACCAGTCGACTTTGATGAAGGTTTTTTTTCACTATCAATTTTTGTTTATCTCTCTTTATTTTTATCTCTTTAAAAGAAAAAACGTACTGGATTTAATCGAATTTACTTTTTGTTTATTTTAAAAAAGATGTCATTTCCTTTTTCTTTAGGTGACTGGGAACAAGCTTACTCACGTAAAGATAAGAAAAAGAAGAAAGAAGAAGAGTCTCCGAAAAAGAATAAGAAATCTAAGAAGAATGAGTTGGTGAATGGAGCTGTTGCCAAAGAAATCAATCAAGAAAAGGTTGAGATTAAAGACAAAGTTGCCAAGGAAACTGAAAATAAAGAATTGAAAGAAAAAAATCAGAAAGAAGTCATTTTAGAACCTATTAGTGATAATATTGTGGCTGAACCTATTAAAGTTGAACCAAAAGAAGAAATCAAAAAGGTATTAACATAATTTACTTCATTAATTTTTGTTTAATTCTTTTTCATCACCTGTATATAACTTTAAATTATTGTAGGCTGAAAAAATAGAAAAGCCCGACAAAGAAGATAAGAAAAGTACCAAATCTAAAAAAACTAAAAAATCTAATGAAACTGAAAATACTCAAGTATCCAATGGAGCTCGAGTTGAGAAGGAATTATCAGAAAAAATAGTTGAGAAAAAGCTTGAAGAAAACGAAGAAGTTCAAAAGACTGAGCCAGTTCAAGTTAATAAAGTAAATGAAGAAGTTTCCGCTGATAAAGGTGCTCCTGTTTTTGATGAATTAGGAGGTAATACTTTTGGGAAAAGTAATAACAATTAGTTTTTTTATAATAAAATGTCATATAAATTAATTATTATTACTATTATATAGATGTATGGACAGAAGCCAAACCTCAAAAGAAGAGTAAGAAGAAAGCCCGTAAAGATAATTGAAGATATTCGACTCCAAAGTAATAATTTTTTCATAAAAATTATTAAATTACGAAAAGGAGAGAATATCGAAGATAAAAAAACGAAAAAACCTGATATTCATTGATATCAGGTGCTCAGTCAACGGAGAGCTTCAGTTATTGATTGAGTTATCATCAAAAATGTGAGTCTTTCTTTGCAGTTACTATTCCATCAATTCTGTTTTTTTTATGCACTCAATTTTGACTATTTTTCTACAACAATCAAAATGATAATTTGATTGTAATAAGTGACTACTTGTTACAAAAATCAACCGTTTAATATTAAGTGATTGTTATTTAAATTCGTATATTATCGATTGATTCCCATTCCCGATAATTCAAGATTTTTTGAATAGTTTTCATTCTTGTTTCGATTTTATAATTTATCGTTTGGTATTAATGACTTTAAAAAACTTTTTAATTAGATTTATTAGGTCTAATACGATACAATATAAAGCTCAAAATTAATTTGTGATCACTACGGAGGTATTCTTGAATAAGAGATGATGGAGTTATAATTTGAATTATTTTCAAATTGATTTAAACAATTTAATTACTCTATTCATTGCTAATTATTAAATTATTTTTTCATGAAATTTAGTATGTACGAAATTTGAAAAAAGATATAATTATCTTCTCGATTTATTAACTAATTGATTTAAAAGAAAATCATGAATTAAACTCAATAAGTTTAATAAATAGTCATACTAATTGTTACTTCATTTAATAGGACAGTAATGAATGGAACTTATTCGAATAAATAATTTCCATTCATAATACGATAATATACAACATTAAATATACTTGGTGGCAGCTAAAAAATTTAATTTTTGCATATGCTGTTGCAAAATTGTAATTATTACTTTTATTACAGTTGTTATAAATTATATTTAATGAACACAATGATTTCTTTAATAAGGAAAAAACAGAAAAGATCAATAAAAATTATAAATATAGATAGACGTATAAAAATATTCAAGAATATACACTCTTGCGTCTATTTAAAATCAAATAAGACCGATTATTTGAAGTATCTTGAGCATACAGAATATTCTCTCAGTCCTTCATTGATGAGTAGATTACTATTTTGTGATAGCAACAAAGAACAGCCAACAAAAGACATTAAATAGTAAATGTGAAGATAATGCAACAATGTGATAAGTGTACTCGATACCTGAACTTTGAATGACACTTATTTTTTTGCTCTATCATTCACTTCTCAATTAATAATCCTATATAACTACATAAATATCATTCATTTAAGACTATAAATATTCTTCACAATATTAAAAGGAATGTATCTGAAATACTTTATTTCTTTCTTGATCATTTTTTTCATAGTGATTCGCTGAAGATGATTTGCTAGAAAAATTCAGTAGAAACGATTAAAATACTTTTACGATTTTTCTTTGTTGATTTCTATTTTGAAATAAGAATAGAGATGATGATCAATAGTGAATGAAATATTTCTTGTTGGATATTTTCTTGTTGAAATTTCAATGAATTAATTTAATTTAAAATATATTTTCTATTTTTTTTTTTTTTTTGAGTCTGATGTATTTAATGAACTGATTTATTAATTGATGAATTTATTTATTTCAAGAATTAATAAATTCTAATGATAAATTTTTTATGAAAAATGCTTGTAAAAAATAAATAGAAGGATCGAAAATAATGAAAAATAGTATAAATATATTTTTATTTTATTAGAGGACATGATTTATGGGTACTTAAGTGTCAAAGGCGATGATTACTTGCTAAATATGATCAAATGATTAAATGATAGAACGAGAGACAGTAGAACTGATGACGAGTGTAATTTTTTGATGTGAAATTTTATTTGAATTTAGGACTATTTTTGTAAGAGGTATTCTTATCAACGATAAAATTAAAAAATAAATAAATATATAAAATCATTTGACTTGGTTTCAATAACACTGTATTTAGAATTATTGAAACCTATAATTAATATTGTACATTGTTAGGAAAACATATTTTGAATAAGACATTTGTAAATAACTTAAGATGTAATATGGAATTAATGAATATTTTTCATTGATTGTTTAATTAATGATAGTAAATAATATTGCTGAAAATATACTTCTATCATAACATTGCTGACAAATAATCATGATAATAATCATATTCATAATGGATTTATAAGAAGAAAAAGTTAACTAAAAGTTAATAAAAAAAAAAGTGAAAAAAGGATTCAACACCTATTACATTAAGAGAAAACCAATATTATTTAAAAATTTTACTTAAATATAATTTGTTTATTTCTCCTTTTATGGATTATTTTTTTTAAATCAAAAAAAACATTTATATAAATGAATAAATGATAATGGCCTATATTATGACGCTTTTTCTAAAAGATTTAAAAAAGATACAGAAAAGTATCTACTAACGTAATGGAATCTTTTTTTTTTAATAGAGCACAATATACATAAAAACAATTAAATATGAATAAATGAAAAGCAGCCATATTGATTAAAATGATGTTAACAAATCAATAGTATATATATATAATAAATATATAAAATGAAAAGTAAAAAAAGTACCAAATAAATTAATATTGCATGGCCAAATTGCAAAATAAACTTAGAGTATTTAGTGAAAATATATTTTCTTTGATCATAAACACAGCTAAAAATATAAATATTATAAATAATTAATAATAATATAGATATTGAATTGATGGTGTAGTTGTCATCAATATGAAAACATTCTTAAAAAAATAAGAACATCGTTATTCTAATTCTATGAACATTATTATACTTATTCTACAGAATAAGATTACCAACAATTATTATATTAATAAATAATTCACTATGGTTATAAACGAATCTTATATTTGTGTACGGTGCGTGTTAATTGATTAACAATATTGATAATACATTGTTGGATTAAGTATAGGATTGATATTAATTGAATAATTGCTGAATACATTGAATGTTATTTTTATGATTATTAATAATAACAATGAAGAATGTGTTTCATTGTTTCAATAATTTAAGTTATGGTGGAAGAGTTTTTAAATGATTTTAAATGATCATAAGGGTGATTAATAAATAATGAGATATTGATAAGAAAAAAGAGCGCAATGAAAAACACATTGACAAGTATAAGAGAGTGAGATAAATAAATTAATAAAGACTATTATATTTTTTCAGCATTTAATTAAATTGCAGACGTTTGTTACGTGTCTGCTCATTGTCATGCGTTTAGTCCAACACTAGGCAATTTGTACATAAATAATCAATGATTATGATCCCTATAAGATTAAACAGAAAATAATTATATAATATAATATATAGATATATAAATTTAAATATAAAATTCATAATAAATATAAATCACATATATATTATATTGTAATAATTGAAAAAATACAAAACACACGACAATATTCTCTTTTATGTTATATCTTTGGTATCATGAATTTAGTTATTACGAGATAAGATTCATTTCTTTTCCTTTAAGATGACAGAATAAAAAATAAAGATGAAAAAATCAGAGTATACAGTTTAGAAAATGATTTATTTTATATCCTACATTTATTCACAATATTAACAATCTTAACATCCATCTGCATTAATTTAGTTTAATTTTAAATTGGAATATCAGAAAGCTTGGCTTTTCTAATTTAATTAATCATGAAAGCTTTTATTTTATTTTTGATTTTTTATTTCACTATAAATCTAATTTTATTTACAGTCTTATTTCTTCTGTACAGTTTTCATTTCTACTAGAATTACTAGATAATTTATTTTGGTGTTAACCTTCCTTTCTTCGAGTACTTACTACACTTTCTTTTAAATTTTTTTGCTTTACTTATAGCATCATTTTTATCTCCATTCTTACCACTGGATTCCTTCATCTCACTACTTTTTGTCTTTCTCCTTTTCCCTTTTGCTACCAATCTCGTACTTTTTTTTACTGGCACAACAACTTTCCCTCTTGTACTTTTGTCCCCTTTTTTCTTTTTTTTACCTTTGCTACCATTCATGTTGGCAATTATCGCCGCAGTGTCTTCAGATACTTTAATCTTCTGTTGAGTTGGTATTACAGTTACTCTTATAAATGAATCATATAAAATATCACCACATGCTTCGCCAAAACAAAATTCTTCACCACAATCTCCACATATTTTTACGCTACTTTCTATTATACCAGCTCGAGTTTTACTACGTCTTATAGGACTTACTGAAACTCGTCGTTCTTTTGCTAAAGTTTTTATCTCCATTTTTCCCATTTCCACCTGGAAAAAAATTCTATGTAAAACTGTGGTCGTTTTTAACTCTTCAATTAAGAGAATGGTGTGTAAAAAATTTTTCATAAATTCAGCAATTGTCTTTTTAATGAATGAATACCAATATATTCGTAGGACAAAAAATTTATCCGATAGATTACTCTTATCTAACTGACTAATTATTGGTAGCATACTATTCTTAATTGATTTTATTTCACTGGAAGCTAATGAGAAGGACGTTTCAGTAATTACTAGGAATTGAAATTCGATTAAGTCGGATTTAATTGAATTGGAAAATTGGCATGGAATAATTAATGAAATAATTAAGTAGTATTGTATATAATGTGTTCACCATGCGTGAAAACATTTCTTCATCTGCTCGTAATTTTGGCCTTAAAGGAGTCAACATTCTCCAATCAATTGCAACCTGTTGAAGTTCTTGAAGATTGAGACTCTTCATATCTGGTGGAATTGGATCGCCATAGCCCCATTCACGCTCCATGGCTTTCAATTCTTTTCTTGTTGTCTTCCAAGAGAAATCTTTATCTCGAACTTTAATATCTTCTCTCTTTACCTACATTATTTAATCATCAAACACTTACTTTAATAGACAATTTCATTGACAATAATTAAAATCATGACAATTAATTATTCTCTGTTATTTCAATTTAAATCATGATTATATATTTACTCTCTCTGGTTTTATTTTATACTCTGGGCATCGTTCACGAAGTCTCCTGAACTCCTCCTGTGAATTACACGTTGCTTTACTCAAATCTGGAATGAGATTAGCATCTCTCTTGTCATCTCTTAATAAATCATCCAACTGGAAAGCCATTGTTTTGAATAATTAATTCTGCAATGCAAAAAATGCATTTCATTCTTCATCGCATCTTCTCATATGTTCTAAAAATACTCTCGAGCTCCTCTTTTTTTATCTTTACTATTTTTTTTTTTGTTTTACACGGTTTTATAAAAAATACAGTAAAAAATTTGTTTTATTAATGTTGCTAATTCAACATTTATTGAAAATTAATTAATAAAAATCGTTGCTGGGTGATACTAGGCATCTTTCAGAATCCCACTCTTGCTGCTTGGATAGAAGTCCCTGGACATATTTAATTGAAGTAATATTTTGATAGATTAGTTGGTTAATTAGTAATAAAAATTGATTGATTAGCTTTTGATACTCACATTTTTTAACGAGTTAAGTTGCGAAAGTATTTCTTGCCCACACCACATTTTATTTTTTTCATTAAACTCGATCCCCTTTACATCATCTTCACTCCTACAATTTCCAATTAGTCGTGAGTTATTAGTGGTTTTATCTGTTTGTACTATTATCTGGCCATGTTCATTCACTCTTAATGGAACAACTGAATTCAGACTATCCATTGACATGTCTGCATCGTAATTATCGAGCTTGGACTTTCGATGAATAGGATTTGGAATTTTAGATTTGATGTTGGTCATTTTTCTTCTATCAGGCGATGGTGACCTATTTTATTAATCAATATTATTTCCATGTTTATTACTAGATTTTATTCTACTGTAATACTTTATCAGTTAATATTCAACAAAAATTTTTTTTGTAGAAAAAATAAAAATATAAATAGAAAAAAACCTTGATCTCTCATCGCTTGATTCAACTCGACGTCTCCTCAGCCTCATTCGTCTCTGATAATGCGGATCCTTCTCGCTCTGTGTCCTGTACCGTGTTCCGGGCCTGGATAAAGCTTTAATCACTTTGAAACTCTTGGTTTCTCATCCAATTAATTACTTTAACCGAAAAATGTCGAGTATATTGCATGGAACAATTTATTATAAATTCAACTTACTGTAATCTAGCAAAACTTTCTTTTATTCGTTTTAAAATTAAAAAGTACTTTACCAAATTAACAATTACATATTCAACAAGTTTTAAACCCATATATTTTTCGATTAAAATAAAAAATTCCATTACCATGATGCATAAATTGGAAAATTAATTTCAATCTTTACCTATTGGCATTCCATCGTGGTCGTGATTCTAGACTTGTTCGTGGTTGGGATTTTGATCGAGAAAGGTTTTTTTCTTCTATTGCCATATTCATTGATCTAATTATAGAAAAACGATTATTTTAAATATTTCAAGAATTTTAATAATTAATAACTTGCTAATTTAGCTATTGAATACTTCAAAAACTTATACATTCATGTAACAACTTATTCTCAACAAGTTTTATCAGTAAATTTTAGACTAGTCATGATAATTAAATGTATAAAACTTTTTCATTAGTCATTGTTAAAAATAAAAAAATTTGAATAATCAATTGTCAAAGAAGCATGTCTCTAAAGTGATATGGAAATAGAATTTCAATTACTTTTCAATGTCTCTCCGATTATTACTGACGTCCTTACGTTCCTTGCAATTCTCCTTATTCCCTAATTCATGAATCTCATTTTCAACGTCTGTTTGCGTACCGAAATCCCTTCCAGATGGAATCCTGTATTTACTAGGTGTTAATAATCGATTTTCCACTAGTCTAGGTGAGATAGATGTTCCAGATGTATTCCTCAACACCCCTGATGTCGTTAGACTCTTTATTAATGCATTAAAATTGATATTAACACCGCTCGAATTATTCTCCTGATGTAAATTGGGATTAACGATTAAATTCAACAGCTGAACATTTGTTCCTTGTAAGCAATTTGAATCCTCAAGTCTACCAGTTAATACTATAGCAACTTCTCTATTTAATCTCATCAAGCTTTCCTTAGTATCATCATTTTTGGATTCTTCATTACTTTTATCATCACAGTTAGCAGCTTTTTCATCACTTTCAACCAATTTTTTAGATGATATTTCATTTTCAGTCTTTACTTCGGCACCATTATGTTTTTCTTCTGGTTTCATTTCACTTTGTGAGCTTTTAGTCGTTGGAGAAGAATCCTTCCAGTCACTTTTTTCATAGTCTTTACTCTCAGTTGTATTATTAACAACATCACGTTGACGTTTTTGCCTTTTTTTTTCTTTCGCAAGTCGTTCTGCATTCTCAAGGATCTCTTTCATTGCTTCTTCTTTCTTTAACTTTGCATTTTCTTTTTCCTTCAACTTTCTCTGCTCTTCCTCAAACCTTCAAGAACACCCATAAAGTTAAAGAATGCTCGAATTTATTTTAATTACTATCATTAGTCACCTCTCTTTTTCCTTATCCCTCTCACGTTTGATCCTTTCTTCTTCTTCCAGTTCTTCACGTAGTTTTCTTTCTCTTTCCTCCTTTCGTTGCCTATCCTTCTCCTCCAGCTGCTGTTTTATTGCGCTCTGGAGTTCCAAGGCTTTCTGACGTCTAGCTTCACGTTCTTGGAGAATTTCAGCGTCTACTGGTATGTTCTGACCACGTAAGTAAGTCTTTGAATCTGATCCAGTTGACCCAGTTGTTGAACTGTCAGGACTACTTGCGCTGTCATGATTGATTACAAGAACCTGCTTTCAAACAACCAGTAATATCAATTATTTGTAGCATTTATGGAAATTTGTTCTAAATTGATATTGATTTTAGTCAACAGTTTAACAGTTTTTATCAATCTCAGTATTTATCAAACGTTTTTTTTTCTTATTTAAAATTTATTAAATTAATAACTAAAACTTTGAATAAAAAAATAAATATTTTTTTTAGTAAGAAACATTATTGTTGAATATTAAAGTTTATTACTAAGAAGGAAATTATTTTTTTTAAATGATTTTCATACATTACCCTATTCACATTAGTTATTCTAAAAGTGTTGTTTTAATTTCATTTAAATATTTGGAGAATGATTAATGAAAAAAATATAAGAATTTCCTGTTCTGAAGGATATTATTCTAGATTAAATTTTTCATATAACATGGTTATCAATATCATTTTTCACATCATCTTTTAATTTTTTCTTTTACTTACAGCTTATGATATTTTGTAATTTTTTTCGAATGTAATTGTAAATAAAAATTCCTCAAATGAAACTTCTATTTTAAAATAGAATTTAAAAAACTGAGTTTTAGTATTAAGAAAGACGTAATGCAGAAAACCAAATTAAGTGTCCAAAATTTCTCTCAACTAAACAAAATTTGAATACGGTAAAAGTAAGATTAACTTTTATTATGTAGCATGACTAATTGAAAAAATACCTGACTAGAATGATCTAAACGTGATAACCCTCGTTCCAACCACGAAGGTGGTGGAGGTAGATCACTCGTAGCATTTTCCTGACCCCAAATACTACCCCATCGTGGTCTATTCAATTCCCCCAAGCGAGTACCAGAGAATTTTCTTGAGGAAGGCAGTGAAGAGGCATCTGGAGATTCACAATAAGGATTTCGCCAAGTTCTTTGAGCCATTTCACTGTCTCCATGAGCTTTTTCCAGTGGTAGTAACCCTTCAATTAATTAATTGATCCTAAGTATTTCTACTTAAACTTTTTCACAACTTTCTTATCAAACATTCAGACTCACTTTTCACATCGGCAGTTTGAATTACTGGTTCTATAGAATCACTTCCGTATCCAGAAGTTTCTCCTTCGCGTTCTTCGTAGCTGTTAGTCAGTATAGTTCTGTCCAACTCCCTATTTTGATGTTTTTGTAGTCGGGGTTGGTTTATGTATCGTGATCCTTCTACTTCCAGGTTGGGTAATTCCTGCAAAGGGGAAAGAATAAACATAATTTGTGTTGCGTGACAGCATAGTAATCAATCGACACTTATACGCTAGACCAAAAAAAATTGTTATTCTATTTATACATTGATATAATATCCGAGCAAAAGTTTTTATTTATTAATAAAAAAAAAATACTCTCTCGATTGATATTTATTTCATGATATTAACCCCGTGGTTTTAGCAAAAATTCCATTTTTTATTCTTCCCTCTATCTAAATTTTTTACTGAATTAAAACCTAAAGCTGCCAGTATTTTTAGCTCCTAAAAAACTCATAAAAAAGTCTCTCTCTGCATAAATGTCCTAAGAATATATAAAAGCTTTTAAACCCGTCCAATAAATATTATTACACCATGTCTTATCGAAGATATACAACCGTGGAATAGAATTTACAAATAAATCGTTTCTATTGCGTGACATGGAAAAAATCAATCAGCATTAATAGCCTCAATAACACTGATACCCAAAAGTAATAAATAATAATTTTTAGGGATCACTTGATAGAGATGATAGTTATCTATAATTAATAGAGTATCCAATACTTGAAGATAATACTCATAAATTAATTATCTATCAATCAATGAGCTGTAAAAGCAATAAAATATGTCACGAATTTTCACAAATGATACATTAATTAATAAGAAAGTTGGATACTTTTGAACTAATGTTGCTTATCTGTTGAAAAAAGAATAATTACTGTATGAAGAAATGCAGTTAGTCATGCAAAAAATATGATTAAATGTCATTTGAAATTCCATTGAGGTCAGAGGAATTTTCGTGGTGGAACGAAATGGTACGAATAGTGTGCGTGATGCAAGACTTTACTTCTTGGTAATGATGCCATATCTAACTCCTGAGGTATAAGAACTTGCCATCAGTGAATATAACGGGTCATTGAACTACTGCATGTTAAGGTAAATCGATCTTAGTTCAAACTGTGTCGTCGACTTTCTTTACAGGGATATAAGAGGTAAACGAGCTACTCAGTTACATACTTATATGTGTATAGTATATTGACTTTTAGTTTCACCTGAGACGAATAAGCCTGGTGGTGTCGATGTTCTTTCGTGTATATCGGTGGTAAGCTGGGACTTCTTCTTCTTATGGATCCTGGCACTTCCGTTCGGTCATGAATATTGATCATACTACCACTAGTGTTGGAGAAATCTAGACTTTGAAGACTCGTTGATGAGGTTTCAAGACTCTTCAAGCTTGCTGTGCTTCCGTAATGTCCACTTGCACGAAGAGGTTTTCGATTGCTATTTTGATGTTCTCTTGATGATATTCTGTTACTTCAACATAATTTAGAGTCATTTATTTGTTTGTTGTATTAATTGATACTAAAAGTGGGTTTAGTTGATTTAATTATTTAACAGGACTCGAATTAATATTTACTGATGATGTTTAGCAAGTACTCACATTTTGAAGCACATTTAGTTTTGGTGAATAAATTACCCATTATGTGATATTTAAAGATAAATTTACTGCTAATTAATTAACTTATCGTTCTTTTTATACTAAATAGAATATTAATTCTCTGCATTGTTTAAAATTTTATAGATAAGAGAGTCTGTATTATGATAGTTCAATTGTTAAAACAAACCAAAGCTTATTTCAAGATAATATAATAATTACCATAATCATGCATGAATGAATAATTTAATGATTAGTTTATACTTATTAATTATTCGTTAATTATCCAGTTGTTGATTTTGAATTATCTATTATTTGGCTATTTAATTTTAATTTATTCTTTCTATTCTAAAAGCAACCTTTTTTGTTGAATAATTTATGGAGTAAAGGTGATTGACACTTTTTCTATTAGTCATTATGTAATTTTTCGTGTGTGATTGTAAATATAATCTACATACTGAGATTGATTTATTATTTGTATTTGTCAAACTCAGTAGTAACTCACTAATTATAACATCAATTTTGATCAATTTTATCACTCTACAATTTTTAAAAAAATTGCTGAAAACAACCAATTTCCAGATAGTAAAAAAAGTTATAGCCATTGTTATAAATTTTTTAATTGTCTGGAAATTGGCTGTATACCAATGTTTATTACTTTCTACAATTTATTAATAAACAAAAACCACTATAATAGTTCTAGTTAAAAAAATTACCGAATTGCTGGATAAATTGGATTCGGTGGTTTGGAAGCATTCCAATGTTCACTCAGTCTAGCCATTTCTTCTGCAGAAAAAAGTCAATTTAAATATTTTATTAATTCTTTTCTTCGAGTAATTTATCTCAGAGCATCATGAAGATATATTAAGAAAATGTTAGGAATACTACATCTATAGTCCATTAGTTAACAACAAGAATCTAAATGAAATTTTGATTACAATATAAATTACTAAACCAAACTAAAGCTACACATGGTCGAAAAACAATCTTCTAAATGAAAAAAACCATGCAAGAGATTCTTTAAACAACAAAGAAGAATTAAAAAAACAATGGTCACCTACCTCTTTCCTTTGCCCACTGTAGTCTCTTTTGTTCCACTAGAGACATCCTACTCGTCATTTTTATCTCTACCAATATTTTTTATTTTATTTATCCAACCGGCAAATGTAATATACTGAGGAGCTCGAGAAAAAATGTCTTAAACTAAGCATCAGGAGAGTGAAATGAATTTTAAAAAAACACTCTCATTAAGTTAATAATTAAATTAATCACTACATTTTAATGTATTTTATTTTTCAAAAAGGCATTTAATTAATTAATTAACTAATTAATAAATAAATTTCACTGTCCTGCGGCTTTGTATAAAAATACCTACATGATGACACCACTGAAGCAACAGACATCAGGTTAGATAAAAAAGAGCTAAAGCTCGTGTAAATATTTGAGAACAAACCACGCGCAAGAAAATGAGTAGTTGATGTTGAACCGCGTGGTCACGTCGGACGACGCCGTCGATCTATATCCCTTGATGTCTCAGAAGCCGCGGAAGCTTTTAAGCTAGTAGTTTCGATCGTAGTGTTTCCATAGGAACAATCACAAAATCAACCTCGCCAAGCCTGTTAAACCCCTGTTCATGCTCGCTCGATATTATCGATCGCACAAGATGCGTCCACTCATATGGGATAATGACCTCTACTGTGGCTACTGTTTGTCACGGTCAGACTTTACATCAGACATATCCTTGCTGGTTGTGACACGCAGCACCCTTGAGTCATGGCCTCTTTAAAGGCTAATTACCTTTCTTCTTTTTTTATAACTGCTTAACAATATCTCAAGTGACCTGCTTTTTTTCTCCACCAATTAATCGCTCTATTTGCTAATTCAAGGTTGAACTGGAATCGAGATTTTTTATGCGTAGCTATTGATTTTAATCGCTCTTTAAATTCCTAGAAAATTGCAGAGTCAATAAAAATTAAGATGTCGTTGTCGGGTATCTTATAATGCATTTAAATGGTAGTTTCCTGTCGAGTAGCATTTATGAGGGAATATTATGGAGCTTGCTGGATGGCTGGAGGATATTTTATTGGTTTGATATCGATTTGATTGCTTTTAGCTGATAGATACAGACAGTTAAAAGAATTGTAGCCAATGAAAATCGAATTATGATGAAATTTTATGGGATTTTATTATTTTTTTTTTTTATACATCAACTTTTTTCTTTTATAACAAAAAAATTTAAGAAACTCTATAAATATTGATGATGTCATTCATTTTCTTTTCATGCAATATAGATCAAATAACGCAATCATATTTTTATAATTAACTAAGATTTAACACAAATTTAATCTTATACTCGTTTTGTTTTAAAAATATTTTTATAGCAAAATATAAAAGTCATTTTTATTTTAAATAAAATATTGGTTTATACATGAAAATGATTTATCTATCGTATTTAAAATATTCATAACAGTCATTTTATATTATAAATATTTCGCTTATCGATCAGTTTAACACAATGTATCTCATGACAGTAAAAATAACACTTCAATAATATTGCATGTCTCTTTTGAATAACTAAAAAATTGGAATCTATCCTGGGAAATAATGTGAAGTTATCATCAATGATGTTTTTTTTTTTTAAACTGACCATAAAATAATGTTTAGCTTACGAGTTTTATAAAACAAATACAGCCTTTTTTTTCTTTTAATAAAAAAGTCAATAAAAAAATACATCACAAAATTACCTTGATAACAAAGAAGTAAAATAAAATAACACAATCAATAGAATTAAATGCGAATGTTGTTTCAACTTACTAATGCTCATCATAAATTCCATTATTTCCGGTATCGATTACAAGAAAATGTATAATAATTGTATTGTTGATGAAATTTGAAATAAATCTGGTATAGCTATTGAGCGGCAAAATGCGAAAATACGTAGAACGTTATTAAACAAGAAAGATGATAAAAATGATAAAAGTAAATAACGAGAGTTCGATCGATTTAAATTTACATTTAACCGCCTGCATGAAATTAATTCATAGTCTGAACGTTATGGGAGCATTGCTTGTCTATTACCATAAATGTAATTACACATAAGTGAATGGCAAAAGCTCGCGCTTTATTTGATTAATTTTATGTAAATATACTGACGATGTTAATATATAAATACTTGTAGCCACTTTGTTTTATAAAATAGTTAACAAAGAAAATGGATGATTTAATATGTAGGCAAGTTCTTAAGGTTTATTCATGCATTACACTGTGATATTAAGATTCACGTGGGTGAATGCTGGAATAATTTACTCTTCAATAACGAGTCAAGTAAAAATTTAAAATGAGCTTTAGTACTAAAGTTGTCAGAGTCAATTTTTTTCAAAGTAGATAGAATTATTTGTTGAAAAAATATTTATTAATCATTTATTTAATATTAAAAGAACTTTTTGTGTTTTTTTTTCTGGAGTTTTATAAGTGAAAGCCCTTCTTAATAAGTATTAGTTTCTATTATCTTTGGTAAGCTTTCAATATAATAAAAAGCATCAATAAGGGTTTGATGTTTATTTTATTTTTATACAGAAATAGTCTTGCAAATAATGACGGTTTTAGTTCAAACAATGGCAATTTATTTTTTTTAATTAGAATCTATGAATAGAAAATACTTTGAAATATAAATAGTCAGTGTTTAATATGTATACACTTTTGCATATCATAGTTTTTTGTGTATTCAAGTGAGTAAATGTTGAAAAAGTTTAGAAAAACTCTTCAATAAAAGCAAATATTGACTTTTTTCTAAAAAAGAAGAGTAGTTCATAAACTGGATGAAAACATTTTATCAATAGTAAAAATGGACCATTATTTATACTTTCCTTCCTTTATTGTTATAAACAACAATATTTATCTAAATATTTCATTTAACTTTTTGTTCAAAGTAAACTAAATTTCGTGGAATAAATATTCTAAAAATGGCCAAAAACAAAAAACCACTCCTACAGGTTTCCCTTTATTTTCATTATTTTATTTTAAAAATAAACAATGATTTTTTTCATTTTTTCTTTGATCATTTTCAAGCGAAATACCCCAAAATTTAATTGACTTATTCGAAGTCTACAAAGCAAAGATTAATAACGACCAATATCATAAAAAATAAATCCATTAGATGGACAATGTTTAATATTATTCCTCCACGTGTTACAAGATATGTAAATTGATGTGAGTAAGTGTTGGTATAATGTACTCATTTTTTTTCTTTCCACTGGTTTGGCAATAGAAACTCAAACGTGTGGTACAATGTCTAGACTCAATCTTCCCCACACGATTGCTCAGAGACTAATATATAAATCTCTGGGGGAATTTTGGACCGGGCTATGAACGGTGGGGATATGAGAGATGCATAGGAATAGAGAGAAAGAAGGAGGAGAATGTTGGCGTCGGCGGTGTAAAGCTTCAGGCCACCCTCTCGTCGCTATACCAAGCGGCTCGCAGTCTCCTTCTCTCGGTCAGTGAGCGGTGGAGCGTTGACCTGATGTGATAAGTTCTTGTGTGTGTTTTTCAAAAATATTTCCACATTTTTCCCGACCTTTTTTCCTCAATATTTCGCTCGAGACCAATTTTTTGAGCCTTCAATTAAAAAAAAAAAAAAAAATCTCCACAGGTAATTATGAGTAATTGTCAATAATTGATGTTTTATATTAAAATAAACATGCTTATGTATCTTATGATAATTAATTGAAACTGAAGAATCATTTTTTTCATTGTTATGGCTATAATTGAAGAGTTGATGACGGCTAATGTACAAAGAGAAATAGATAGCGCGCTATTTACGCGAGAAACGCGCTTGCGTATTTAGATTTTGAGACTTTTATTATTTTTTTTTTTTTCGGTTTCTCTCTTGTGCAGTTGCTATTGAGGGTAGAGAATATAAAGCTGAAGTTAGTGAGATAGAGTTTTCCCTTCGCGAGAGAAAGTGCGGGTGTGACAGTAAATTGGTTAGAAAATACTAAGAGCAAAGAGTAAATATTATTCATGGTAAGCAAGATGAAAGTTTAAATGCGACTGCGTGAAACTCTCGGATACTTGTTGATCTTCAGTTATATGAACAAGTTTCTTTAAAGACTCCGGTCACTTTGGTAATAATATTAAAGTTCACTTATTGCAAGGAAGTTTTCTAGAAAGAACAGAAAGTTGAATACTTATTTCTTGTGCAATTTAAAATTAGTCACTGAAATTAAAACATTTGATAGGAAAAAGTGTTGGCAATTAATTATTATTGTTCTTTTAACCATGAATTATAATAACTGACATTTATTTTTATTTACTGATTATTAGTTTAATAATTATTAATTAAATAAAAGACTCATTCCAAAGGAATTATAAATTTTTATTTAGCTAATTAATAAATATCCTTGGCAAAGTTGATTAATTATTACAACAATTTTAAGACATACGAAATAATATTGCTTTTATTTATACTTATTTATGTTTAGACATCATTAAAAGTTAAATTAATTAACAAACTAATTAAATGATCGTGTAGCTATTTCTATAAATAAATGTCTAATTGATGCAATCAAAGATATTACACTTGAGATGTTGAATAACAACATTGAACAATAACAGATTACTTGGGTAGAAAAATAATTTTTATAAAAAGCTTTATCAAGATCGATTTATCAACGTTAGAAATGTGTTACGTTGGTATTGACTGCAGTCTGAATAATGCAGTCGTCGCGACAACGCGTAATCAAAGAAGGTGAAATAAATAGATGCCAAGAAAATAAATTGTCGTAGTTGAGTTAATGGGGTTACAGTACATTTAAGTGGATGATAAAATATGAAGATCAATTTAACGTAATTTTACAAACTTTAAAAAGAGTTAAACATTTCCAAAAATAATTTTTATTTCTTGTTAAAATAATTTGCTAATTTATTGAATGTTATAAAATATTTTTAGATTATAATTTATTTTTTTTTCTTTTTTTGCTCGTAAATGTTATTATTATTAGATTTCATTTTTTTTTTGTTTGTATTTTCAGCTGCTTGACAGCTACCGTCGATGTAAAAAGTGCGCAACAGACGATATACAGGGTCATTCTTTGAAGCATTGTATTTATACTCACAAAAACAAGCTTGAGATACTGCAAACAATTAGTTCGAGGTCATAATACACAAGAAATCATACATAGGTAGATTGTTTTAATGTCAAAATACAAGCATTCATCTCTAGACAGATACGTCTGATCATATTCTTAAGTGTAGGCTTTATCTACTTATTTTTTTTTCTCTTTTTGCACTTATTTGCTAAACAATTATGTCTTTATTATTCAACTCAGCAAATAATTGCTCAATTTATTACTATTTATATCTTGAGTAATACACGCGGATTCTTGAAAGATAAATAATTTATGTCGAATTTTCACGATGAATGATGCTAAATATTTAGATGAAAGACATTTTGTGAGTATTCACACGTGGCGCTCATACGGGCCACCTGTGTCACGATGAAGAGATGCAGTATATGCATATCCGAATCTTCAAATTCACTTTCTTGGCACGTATCTTTTCGACGCATGTTGTTTCACATTGGTACATTATATCGGTTTCAATCTGCACTAAATAAATTCTGTTATTGTCCAGGAAGGATGGATAGATAAATAAATTCATTTTATTTTAATGCTTTCTGAATGATCAGAAATGTTTCTATCATTTTCTATCTTTAAAAGCTCTCTTCGCAAAGCTGTTAATACTTTGTTAATCAATAAAAACAGAATGTTAACCATTTTTAATATAAATTGTACAGTTAAATGATAAAAATAGAACAAATTGTTTCTACAATTATTTTATTTTCATGACATGAACGATTATTGCAGTAAAAATAAATAGTGATCTATTAAATTGAAAATACTTTGCAATTCTATAGAAATTTTAAAAGCTTTTGAGAAGTTAAATAAAAAAAAATCCAGTTTAATCTAGAGACCACATTCCCAACTTTTTTTTTCAATCTACTTTTTTTACATTGTTGAACAAATTTTTCTGATCGAGTTATCAAGTTGAATAGAAAAAAAACAATGGTGACTTTTTACACTTACTGAAGACGAACAAATAACAGTCCAACAATCATGTGGATAAAATTATAAAGTCAAAAGGTGTCTATAGGGTCATATTTCCAAGAAGGAATTTTTTCCATGTTATTTGAGCTTTGAAATGTTATCGAGGTTTATAAAATATCATTGCAGAAAATATGAAAAAAAAGGTTATACGCCTAGGCGTCAATTACCTTTTTTTTTTTATTAAAATCCAATTTTATAATGATCAAAGAAAATAATTCATGAGATAATTTTCAAACGATAAATTCTTGAATGTTAACAACAAAATTATGTTTGAATGAATAAACAACATGACTTGGCTATTTACTCATTCTTCATAGAAACTTTATTATCATTTTTATCAAGCAAATCTGGGCTGCATTAAATCATCTTTTCTGTCTGTTGTAACGTGGAATATTATACAATGAAATTTATTATTCCTTAAATCTAACAGTTAGATCCTAGCACCTCTGTCATATTTTTGGATTTTATTGTATGATTTATGGTAATTTCTCTAGCTTGAAACATAATTCAATTTGTTGTGATTCAAAATTATGCCATAAGTCATTCTCCGGTGGAATTTTTAGACTTAAAACACACACGATATTATTTTAGAATCCAAATCATAGACCACGGTAATGAAATTTTCAAGTTTATTTGCAGTTGTATATAATTTTAATTCACAAACCTAAATGTCTAGAGTTATTATAAAAAGATGAATGACGTTTTAAAAAATATCTTTGAACTTCGAAGAGGATATTTGTAGAGATAAACGTCAAATACAATTTCATAAGTTACTAGAGAAATTCACCCTCCACTTTCTCTCTCTCTCTCTTTAACTTCTTCAGAATTATTGGAAAATGCTGTAGGCTATATACACTTGACTTCAAGTCAAGCTTCTTGTATACCTGAAGCATTTAACCAGAGTAAATTACACAGGAAACATGATAAGGGAGCTTTTGTACCCCCAAAAAAAATTTATACTCACCAATCCAATAATAAGTGGCCCAAAGCTAAAATAATATCTAAAAATAAAGTTACTATCGAAATTTGTCCATTTGTTGTTAGAAAGAGAGCTTTTTCAGCAATTTCAGTATTTGATGGGTTTTCTAGTTTTTTTTTTTTTAATTTTTGCCTGAATAATGGGAAAATTAATTGAAAAAGCTTTACTTTTGAAATCTAATTTTATTTCTGAGAGATTGATTCGATACAAAAATTATCAAAACTAATTTAACAATGAATTTGAAAAGACAAACAGTTACTAGGAATATTTTATTCCAATTTCTTCAGATGACTGTAAATTTAATTCCGAACTAATTTGTCGTTTTAAGAGAAATAATAATTTAGAAAAATTGATTGCTTCTAAGCTTGAAATTTCGATTATACTTCTATCAACTTAGACATTCAATAATTAATAAAATTATTTATAAACGTGAGCAAAAAAGTGTTTTAGATAGATCACCTTTGTATGTTGACATAAAAATATAAATTATTTCTGAAAATTCCAGATTTTTTGTCTTTTAATTATAAAGTAAACATCTAGGAAAATTGATAGCTCTAGATTTTTCCAATTTTTCAGCAAACGTTTCACACTTTTTTTTTAAATTTATATTTTATTAATAATCCACAAATTTAAAATGATTTATTTTTGATTCATTTCTGGGAATGAAAAGAAGTAAATTAGAAAATACAAGAAAACTAGATTAAACGAAACATCAAAATGACAAGAATAATATGAAACATTAGTTAATATTGAAACTAGATGTCATGATAAATAACGTTTTACCATTTTTCAGATATATATATATATATATATATATATATAATTTTATTTTATTTTATTCCAGATATTTTTTCAATGCTAAAAAGCCTGTTGAGTATTTTTTGTTGTCGTGTAGGTGTTAAGTAGCATAATAAAAAAAGTATATTAAAAAAATGTCGAACACCAAGTACAGATAGGTATACAAATAAGAAAGAGAGAGAAAGAGGAAGGAGTTAAAAAAAAAGATTAGTACAAAAATAACTGGGCGTCAACTCTTGTGAGTCTAAAATGCTCGTGCACAGAGTCTGATAGTTTTTCGGGCTTGCTTTAATAAACCTCCATGCCCTCCTGTTTATCTGGGCCTAAATAAACATCTTGTCTTGTTTCTGTCGATGCTTCTTTTTACTCTTGGGGGGTAAAAGACATGTGAAAGTGCAGCCTGTGCAACTTGGGATGTCAGTTTATGACGTCAATAGAAGAAGAATGAGATAGAGAAAAGAGACAAGAAAAATGAGGAAGCGGAAGAGGAGATAAACTTTGTGTCTGGATTAGCTGTAATGTGATATAAATGGAAATAAATCATTTTAAAAACAATTGAAAAAAATATTAAAAGTCATTATTGCAGGAAATTAACATCCCTTTAACATAATTTTTTTCTTCAAAATTTTAATTATACAAAATTCACTCGACTTTTCTTATTTATTTACGTCTCTTTTATCTCAAGATTATTTTCAGCATAATTAATTCTGTCGTTAATGTCAAACATGACTGGCAATTTACTCTATTTCTATCTAAATTAAAACTTAATTTTAAAGCTAAACCTGAAAAATAAAATTTTCATTTTAATATGAAACTCAATTTCTTATTTAATTTAGAAACCGTGATAACCCAACTATTCTTAACTGCATTGAAATTTTTTTTTTTTCTCGCACAATTTAGTTGATGAATCAACAATTAACTGAATTTAGCAGCAATTGAATTAAATTCCTTGAAGAAAAGTAGAAAAATCGAGAAAATATCACAGCAGTGCTAAACTTAATATTCTGGTGAATTTGACTGCAGTAATTGAATTTTGCTTACTGGAATGCTAATAAAATTTCAAAATTTATTAGATGCTTGGACAAAGAAAAGCCACCGAGGATGTGGAACACATAAAAAACCGTCGTTATGTTCTCCACAGTACTACGAGATATGAAGAGACTAGATCAGACTAGACGAACTATACTTAGATGCTGGTAACGAGAAGTCATTCGAAGGAATGGAGGGACATACGAGTTAACTTTTATAGTTCTATCTCTTTTATTTTTCTCGTTTCATTCGCTCTCTAAGTCGACCACTGACAGAATATCGATTTAATTCTAACTGGTGGTTTATTACCACTTGTCTGTTTTAAATTTCCTTCAGGTATTTCAATTGCATTATTCATTCCATTGAGTATCAATGCATGGTAGTTATAAACTTTGAATAGTGGTTGCAAAATTAATATTTAATGAAGGTACTTATTAGACTTTTCATTTAATAATATCATATAGATATTTGATCTTTTAGAATTACTAGTAAATCATGAGCTTTTAACTATTATTTATCAATTTAATCTATAAATAGTTTTTAAGAATTATAAATAAATTAATCAGTGAATTTTTCATAAAGTTAATTGGATTATAAAAAATATTATTCCTTTATTAACATTGGATTTAATTTTCCAAAAAAAAAAAACCTCGAATGGTCTATAATTTAATTACCTAAAATTGGCTAAATGCTTCATTAAGTTTTTTATTTAACTACTTTTTTTCCTAATATCACTATTTGGTGTTAACGAATGGAAGTTGTCTAGTATTGGAAGAAAATTCAATCAGTTAAAATAGAAAATTTATATTTAGATCAAATATTTTATTGTTATTTTTTATTAAATTTTTTATCATTAATAAGATAATTATTCATGATTAATTTTAAAAGCTTTAAATATATTGGACTTTATTAAAAAATACTTGAACAAATTCATATTTTCATCCACTATTCTTCATTACTAAAAAAGCCTTCCTAATCAAGGCGTTTCCTACAAACTCCACCCCTGTTAAATTTGATTAATAACCCTAGTCAGTTAGTCACTGTCAGAAAGAAAAGCCCAAAAAAATTGTTCTTTCTTTCCCAGAACAAGAATCATTTTTTTTTCTTGGTAAATTATGATGAAGTAAACTTTTGATATGTTTTTACGTTAATCATGAATAAAATTAAATTTGTAACGCATTATATCAATTTGATTTTTGTGTTGAGAAAATTTGGGAAATATTTAATTCGATCCGATTAGTCATTCACAACAGAATGCTGATTTCATCAAAGCTCATTAGTTAATTGAGTTTATTTTCGACCATTGTCTCTTCGTGTGTATTTTTATAAGAAGTATTACATTATTTGTTTATTTTTAACTGCAACAATACACGTGTATTTCAAATTCAGAGAAATCAGTAACAACGGCAAAAAAATAAATCAGACTCTTACATTTTATTATCTTCTTTCAAGAATAAATTGATTACTAATTATAAATAAGTTCTGCTAACTGCGTTTGCTATTTGTTGAACTGATAGTTCAATCAATAACAAAATCATATTTAAATTGTATAAAGTTGAACAAAAAATTGAAATATAATAGAATTAAACTGTCAACAGCAAGAACAGAGCATGAAAAATTCATAAAAAAGTTTGCTACATCATTTTCTACTCTGAATAATCAATTGTTTCTTGTTTATTTTACATCAGTTCAACAATACATGCAATTTTTTATTCTATAGTAAATGAATTGCAATTACTTGTAAATATATTTCCTGTAATAAATGTAATTATCCTCTGATGACTAATTTCCAATCATTAATTACAATTAATTTATATTTCTCCACATGCTATGGATAATTTGTAACTCCTTCAAAGCTTCAACAAAATTAAATTACTTCTCAACAATGAAATAAACCTGTCGGAATTCAAACCAACACTTCTCTAACAAAATCATTATTTCTGTGGCTATACAAACCAAGGTGAAATCTGATATTAATATAATTTGTTAAGCAATTTGTATCATTTTATCTCAATCCCAAATGAAATATGTTATTTTGGGAAGTATAATAATCAAATTATTTTGTAGAAATGGTAAATAAAAATTATTTTAGGATTTTCATGAATTCCAATCATTTAATCCTGAAGCTTGGCTATCATAAAAGCTGATTGATAGGATACTCACAATATTCATAGATATGATGTACTATGAAAATGTTGTTTGTTTAAATATCATGTCAGTTCTACAAGACACATGAGTACGTGTCGAATACTTTGGCAGGTTTTTTGCATCAAAATGGATTTGGCACAAATGCAAGCTGGGATGCAGATCTCAGAATTTGCTCAAGAACAAATTTCGGATTAAGTCAATGAGTAAAAGTAACATTTCAGCAATTGAGCGAGATCCCAGGGTAATTCTTATCTGATCTCAGTTGGGAATTGGAGCCTGATGAGAGAATAGGAGAAGTAAGGGAGGGTAAAACAAACAACGAGAAATAGATGAGCAAGCTGACAGATAGACAATGTGATATTAAACGAGCGACCTGTGGCAGCTATCGTCAGTGGCAACATAGAGAACTTGGTATGTAGCCAAGAGGCTACATGAACAATTGGACCTATCCTACTAATTAAACCGAATCAACGGACAAAGACACAAGGGAATTTGGTGGTGGACTTTCCCAGTGATTCATGGAATTTTTCTTTCCACTACATTCTTCTTGACACTTGACAACCGTCTCTTGTGTCGTTCTCACGTTACTAACTATAAACTTTGGATTTACTTTGTGCATTTCACCAAAGACAAACTGTGTAATTCAAGAAGAAAAATTACCCGTTGTTATTTTTAGATTTTTCTCATAATTTCTATGAATTTATTGCTTTCGTTCTCTCAATTATTTATGCGTTAATTGACCGTGGAGAATTCATTGTAAAATTAAATTTAACTAATCATCTTTCATCTTTGTTCAACCAAGATGTTATTCATCAAGTTTCAGTATAGAGCTTTTAGCTCTAGCTGTAAATCCAATTTTTTGGATTATTTTTATGTTAACAGAATTTTAAGAAAGCTCACAGTTTAATTTAATTACATTATAATTAAAGTTGAGAAAATGTTAACATTTTGATTATAAATACATTTATATTTTTAGAGATTCTTAAAATTACACTATTGTGAAGAAAACCTTCATAGAAGATGTAAATTAATAATCTATTTTTTATTTTATCTTAATTAAATTTCACTTTTTGCCATTTTTTCTGTTGAATCAAGAGTTTACTCATTGTAGCTTAAATGAATCTGGACACGCAAGATAAAATACGCGTTTATTGACTAAGAAAACTTTTACATTAAACTTTAATGTATAAAATTCACCCTTTCATATTTTAATATAATTAAGATTTTTCCCATATTTATTTAATAAAAAACTTGCCTTCAGCCACAAAAGTGAATTTTAATTAAATAAATAAAATAATAAAAAACTCTTGAATAATTGGATATTTAATTAAATAAATATCAGTACTCTTTATACTAATTTTTGGTTGTGTTTTTTTAATTTCAGGTTTGATAGAAAAACTGATGGAGTGAGGAACATCATCATTTGAGTGTTTTTGCATCTAATATCATCTACATGTCATCATATTGATAGTACAGTGTACAATTTATTTTTAACCAACTCATAAAGACTGAGATCAAAGGAAGAACAGTTTAAATTTAATATTCTTCATCACTTGAAACATCATCAGGCCAAACAAGAAATATCAACAGACATAAAAATGTGATTAAATCTTTTCAACCATTGGTAGCAGTGGTACTTAATTGCTATGATTTATTTTCCAAAAAAAATTGAAAAATGATAATAATAATTAGCAGCAATTAATAAACTAAAATTAAAGATAAATATTCAAACACCAAGCAATAAAGTAGAGATTAATCATCCAGTTAATTTATCTGGAATAATGTGATTCAAAGTAAAAGTGAAGAGTGTTATTAATGACACCTGAACCATCTACTATCATCTTGAATACAAATCATCATAAATGATACAAGAAGTAGATATTCATCAAGAAGTGAAGAGAGTGCAGGACATTAAAAAGCTCTGAGAGCTTGTGGATGATACGGAAGCAGTGATAAAGCAAAAAAAAATTCAAAGAAAAAGTTAGTAATCCTGTGGCTCTAGTTCTGGACTGTGAAAGAAAAAGGAATGGCAAGTCGTATGAAAGCTCTGTACAACCAGGTGAGCGACCTTTGCCCTCTGTGTTTTATTTTTATCTTTTTTTTTTCTTCAGCTCCCTCTCGCTTTCTTTTCTTACTTTTATATTACATTGAGGAAAAAATTTATTCCAAGTTTTCAAGATTGTTTTAAATCTAATAAATGTTCATTATATTAAAGTGCTATCAAAGTCTTTTTTTTTATCACTTATGAATGATTCTTGTTTTTAACAATTACATTAGTTTTCACAGTAGGCTTGTTGAAATTAAATTTGAAAAGTTTTATAAAAACAGAATTTTTGTAATAAAAAAAGAAAAAATTATTTTAACACTCTTATAATAATGCTTTGAAGTTGTTGAAAGAAGAGCTTTTTTGTGCAGAAAATAATGAATACAAATAGATATTCAAGCTGATAGAAGTTGCATAATTTTATAGAAAACTTTAAGAACCATCAATACATGTTTTGAGAATTTAATTGAAGTTGGAGTAAAGTGAATTGAAATTTTACAGAAAAAAAACTTTAGCTTCTTTTCCTGTTATAGTTATTGGCTCAATTTGTTGCATCCACAAACTTTTTTTAAAAACACACAAAAAAAATAAAGACTACTCTAGCAATAGATTATATGTATTTTTTTTGGTATTTTTATTGAAAAATCAAACTCTTTTATTTTTGTTGTCAACCATAAATATCCATTTCTCTAGTACATTCTCACTCATATCCATTATTTTTTATTTTTATGATAAGTTCATTTTTTGTCATCCTGTGACTTCATAGTACAGTAGAGGTACATCGTTAGATTAAACTTACTTGAGTATATTTATCCTAGACAAATTATCATAAATTCTTTTCTCAATGTATTAAAATACCCTGACAATGTCTCATCTTACCGTTATCTGAAGATGAAAGTGTAATTCGATTTTTCTCGAACACTTTTATTACACGTGACTCATCCCCAAGGGCTTCTTGTAAGCCATCACATAGACACGTAAATTTTTATGCAGAATATACATGACTTTTTTTTTATCAATGCAACTGAAGCTTTCACAGAATAGGAAAATTTTCTCGACTTATCGATACTCTGTGAGATCTCAAGAGCATTTATATCGCATCGTGAATTCGTATGATATCCAAGTATTAGCGTATTTCCCTCGATGATCCAGAAGTATACATATGTATGGAGGATGCCTGCAGCATTCATTGAAATTCTTCAAATGCTCTCCAGGTGATATTCGAAAGAAGGATTCTCCTGGGATGTACTATTCTCATCGGTTTAGCAGTATGTGTGTGGGCCATAGCAATTTGTACTGATCATTGGTACACAGTTCAATCCCCTGCTAATCAACCTTATGGTCTACTGCTCAAAGATCCTGAAAAAACTGGCAGGACATTAGTATACAGAAATCAAGGACTTTGGAGAGATTGTCTAGAAGGCTACGAACCTGCTCAAAAAAATAATACCAAAGATTTAATACCTTATAGTAAGTATTCCAATTCATTTCAATAAATAAATCCAAGATTATTTGATGATACAAAAGCTGAACTTTGGAATTTCATTGTATTGCATAAAAAAAAACTAATTTCAAAAATGATACTCATTATTATCTTTGATAATAATTTAGAATAATAAGTTGTTTAAAGTATAAGAACTATTTTATGTTTTCATTAAAAGTTATTAAAAGCTTTATTAGCATCGAATGGGAAATAGTTTAATACTTCAAGAACAGTAATAACTCTCCATAATTCATTATTAATGCCTGGAATAAACAGCACTTAAATTCTGCATATTCAATCATGCGTTTATTATTAATAATAGATTTACTTTTTTGCATTCAAATGAATCAAATATTGATTTTGATGAAAATTCATTAATAAACATATATATCTTACATACAATTATTTTGTTAACGAAGTTCTGTTGCCAGGTTAGCTTACTACATGCCAAAAACTTTTACGGAACATTAATAATTACAATCGTAACCGTGTTTCCTATCTTCAAATAATTTTACTACTGCTTATTCAGACATCCGTCATGAGAAGTTCTGTACTAATTTTCTATTATTTTTACAGAGATCTGTTCATATCAAGAAATGTTTCCAACGGAGGAAAATATCAGATTCGACCTGGATTTCGATGCAACTGTTCTTAGTGAGTATTGATATTTATTTTTTTTGTAAATAATTAGTTTGATGATGCTAATAAAATTAGATTTAGACATTAATTTTTATAATATTTTTGTTTTTAGGCTATGCTAGAACCCAAGTTTCTTTCGCTATTATTAGTATGATTATTATGCTTATGGGATTTTCATTTTCTATTTATACTTTCCGAAACCCGCGCTATATGTTTAAAAGATTAGCTGGTGGTATACACTTCATTAGTGGTGAGTTTCTTTAATTTATTTATTCTTCAATTCCAACATCAATCATTAAATTTAAAAAAAAATAACGATAAAGAATGAAAAACTATTGGAACAAAATCTTTTAAAGTTGATGAAAAGTTTTGATTTTTTCTCAACTTCCAGAGTTAAATGAAGCTAAAAATTTATTAAATATTCTTTAGAAATGGTCTTGATAAAGTTGGAGAATAAATTAATTTAAAAAAATTGATCAATCAATAAATGATAATGAAAGTAAAAACTAAAAAAAAATTTAATTTTGTAGCTGCCTGCGTAATGGTTGTTATCCAAGTAGTCTTATCAACAATGGAGTACGGTAGTAAAAATACCATAAAAGGATTTCCCAAAGGAGCTTTAATACACTACGGATTCTCTCTAGTCCTTGCGTGGTTCGTCTGCATGGGTAACCTCCTAGCTGGATGTGCTTTTATCCTCTTTTCTAAAAAAAGGAAACGTGATAAAGCACCAACTGAAGAAATAGCTATGGCTGATGAACCAACTATCATCGGTCGCTGATGATGATAATGATGATAAAGAGAAAAAATCATTTTTAAAATAGAATTATACGTGTTTAAAAATATTTTTCCTACCATCTCCCACATTGGCGACTTTCAAATGTACCTGTAAAACTCTTCTTAAATAATAAAAAAGACACTGTATATAGTATCAATTCTGCTGGCTTCGAGGATCAATGATTAACTAAATGAGTGAGTGAGAATAATTGAGTTAAATAAAATAATCAATATTAATTGTAAATTAATTAATTTTGAATATCTATAAATGATAAATCAAAGTGATATATTTAAATTGTTTACCAATTATTATTATTATTATTATTATTTTTGTTATAATTATAAACTTACAAAGTTACATGGAAAACTGGCACAAAAATTATTCTTCTGTGAATGAGACAATTTTTAGGAAAATCAGTAATCCATTAAACACTTTGTTTTATTTTATTCCTTTTGTTATTTTATCGTTATTTATTTTGTTTATTTATCTAATTCATTTTTATTCAACAAATATTTTATTATTAAACTGAAATATTTTGTTTATTTTTGTTACTTTTCTTAATTTTACTTTATTATTTCTTCTCTGCAGATTTTAACAGACTTTCAACAAATATTTGTGCTTCGTGTGATCATGATAAAGTGTTTATATGACATATGTTTTCACAACGAATGTCTCTAGTTACAACAAATAAAAATAATTCATACATTATAATATATGGACGTTATCAATTTCTTGGAGATGTTTTGATGTGTGAAGACGGCTGAATCGAAAGTTGTGCATGACGATAAATACGTGAGTGATTGATTCCTTTTTTATAACTATATATATTTGACTTGTACACTGAGAGAATAATTTATCTGTTTGTTAATAACAAACTCATCTATATTTTATTATAGTACAAATCAACCCAAAGTCTATTTTTTTATTAATTAGTTAATTTATTGGAATATTCTTCAAGAATTTATTTATAAAACATTATTATTATATTTTTTTAAAGCATTCTTATAAATAATTAAGTAAGTCTAATAAATTTTCTATGAAGTAAATTCTTCTCTCAGTATCATCACAAATACGTTTTACGAATTTTTAAAAAATCTAATAAATAATCAAATCGTATGTAAACAAATAAGTCTTAAATTTAATTGTATCTAATCTAGATGCGATACGTATTACAATAATAATAAATTTATGTACAAATTTGTCATTGTTCTACGTATATTAAGTCAATCTCTACTTATATTTATATCTTATCAGTTCATTTAAAAAACATAAACAAGATAATAATCACAATTAGTGGCAGTAATTAATAGGTATCTTGATCATACTTTTGATCAATGTCTTTAGGATTGGTTATGATATTTATTATTTATATTAAATTTTTTTTTTCATTGGCAGTAATTATCGAAACTAACAAGTTCCAAAAGAAACTTAAGAGGAGACAATTAAGTGAGTCTCATCTTCTTTGTGACACGGCAGTACTTCAACTTTGACTTTCCTTATTTTTTTCTTCCTCTTTTTCTTTTCTACTTTGCCTTCATCATCTCCAGAATCCTCGTCACTTGAATCGCTTGCAGGATTTTCCACCAGCTTCGCGTATCTATCACAAAAGAATTGAAACAAGTGAGAAAATAATAAAATGAAAAAAAGTAAAAATCTTTTATTATAAAAAACACATTGGAGAGTGTAAATAGATATATAGAAGTATAGTGAGTTTAATAATTGAATGAAAGCAATGGAAATAATGTACCTGACGCTATATCAGACTGGAGTAGTACGTCTAAAGGGTTCAAGTGGCCATTCACTACCTCGAACTGGTGGTGCTGGTGGAAATGGTGTTTCCATATCGAAGGTGACAAACTCATGTTGAATATTTGAACCACACTCATCATTTAGTACATCGGCAGTTGTGCTAATCTGTTGATAATAGAAATATTCATTGAATAGTATTTTTCTTCATGCATTTTAATTATTCTCAATTTTTTAAAAATTCTAACAAGACTATTTCACTTCGAAATTGTTTCTATTTAAAATATGAAATGATTATTAATATTTCCAAGGTTGAATTAATCTTAAGAAATAAGACTTGAGATTTAGCAAAGATAAAAGACCGATTAGGATGAATATTCATGATGGAGATATGAAAAAAAAATTTAATAAAAGTTAAGAGAGCAATTCTATTCTAAGATAATTATCATGGTTTCCTTACCGTCTGTGTGGTGAGGTCACGCGGAAATTGTCTTGGGAACTCGTGGTAATCGAGACTTGGTGGTGGTGGAAAAAATTCGTCGAAATCCACTTGATCTACTGAATCTCTGCTGAAAAAGTATCGCTTCTGATGTCTCTCACAGAGGAAAGTACCTGGAGGATGACTTTGATGAAAGTTTGACTGGTGGACGTGATTACCCAGGTGATATACATCCTTTGAAACAAAAGATAAAAACTACTTAATGAAAAAGAAAGAAACTTATTTCTAGAAAATGACTAAAAAATAACTTCACAAACTTTTTATATATTTTTAAACGTAAAGTTTCAAGTAGCATTTTAAACACTAATAGATGTGTTATTTAACACATTTTGAGAAATTAAAGTCCATGAAAAGGCAATGAATAATTTATTTCATTTACCCATTAGTGAATGTCACGTTAAACTAAAATATTATGAGCTATATCTGTTCAGATGTTGCTGGTAGAATTGAAAAATAAAAATTTTATACTTGTTTTCTATGCAACATTCTATTTTACTAGGTACTTCGGATGAAACTGATCTTTTTTTATTTTTTCAAAGTAATGTTCAATGTATCACTTTAAATGTTTTTTGCAAATATAGAATTGGTACAAGGAGACATTTTTGCACTAAACAGGATAAATACACTTTTGGAATAATAGAAGTATAAATATTGTTTTCCAACCATGAATTTTGAATTGTCGTAAGTAATTAGTTTACTAAGACACCTCTTAAGTATCAAGATTACTTACAAGAACTCCAAATTTACTGTTGGATAGAAATATTTTTACTTCCAAACTCCAAAACGTGCACTTATATTTAGTGAAAAAATTATCTCTTAATAGAAATTATCCAAGCTTGTAAAACTCTGAAAAGATGTAATTTTGCTTATTTTTTTTTTCGAATTAATATCTATTCATTGAATTATTTCAAAGATGCCATGTTAATTATTGATTTCCTGAAATGGAAGATTTTTATCAATAAAAAATTTTTACTTCTAAGTAATAAATTCTCTAAAGGAATTTTCAATTAAAATTCCAATTTATAACCCACCTTTCAATTCATCTCAATGCATTCAGTAATAAATATTCCACATATGTGAACTTATTTATTAAAAAGAAGTCATTAATGAATCTCTACTTGATTCCTCATGGCATTTATTAGAAAATTTTTTCATCCATTGATAAAAAGCTTTATTTGAAGCTAAAACGTTTGATAATTCTTTTATTTGTTTCAAGTAAAAAAAAAAAATTTCGATTAAAAACAGAAGTTGAAAAGAAATAAATTTTCTCATCATTGTTTTCCTGTTCAAAGTCTTCAACTTTTCCGTAAGTTATAAGAATTTTTTTTGAAGAAACTTCATTTAAAGAAATGATTCAAGATAAATAAATAAAAAAAATAATAAAAACTTTACCTCACAGTTCTTTCGTCTGATGTCACGTCTTCCGATGTCTCTCTGATGCCAAGATATGTAGAGAAATATCGCGGAAGTACCGGCTACCTCAGTTGTGATAAATCCGCTGACATATAATAGAAAGGAGAAGCCATATCTGTAGGTAAATGGTGGACCCTGGGAATTGAAGATAAAACTTTCATTCAGGACAATCGAATGAAAAAAGAGCAAACTAAAGTCGTTGCACCAAGCAATGACAGTTGTCTCTTTAGTTATCAAACTCAATTCCAACTGTATTATATATATATATTTTTTTTTGCTCTCTCACACAAATATTTCCCATACTCCACTTTTTTTTGAATTAAAACCAAGCACGATCATTTCTCATATTTCTTTTTATTACTCGCAAGCTTATCGATCTCACCTAAGATGTAATTAACTGACCTGAAAGGAAGACCTGGATCTCAGTTTGCTTCCTACTTCTGACTTGAATACCGATATATACATAATCATTCCTACTAGCATCAGCAGACCTGTATCATCAAAATTAACTTCAATTAGAAACTTGAAATTATGTTCTCTGTATTAACATTATCATGAAACATTTTGTTCAACTTTATTTAACAATACATGTTTCATCAATTTTATTTTTCTTTTTCTTCTGCAACTTTAAGTTGTCCAAAAACATGAAAAAGAAATATGTAGTTTGACTTCATCATTTTTTTTACTTCAAAGTTTTTATATAATTTTTATTGGTTTTTTTTTGTAATTTTTTAGGTTGCTTAAAAGCTTGGCACTAATTGGTAGCATAGAGAAAAAAAAACTTTAGAAAAAAACTGAATACCAGTCTATATCTAACCCTATAAAGTTTGGAAACAGTCAATATTTGCATTATCACATATATTGTAATGAAAATACATATAGAAATGCTGGAGGACATAAAATGATTTCCCTCTAAATTTCTAGGTATTTATTTAAGGGTTTGTGGACATTGAAATATGAAAGCCAATTGTATGTGCTCTGAAGCTATGATGGAAATTGATATTGAGTTATATATTACACGTAAACTCAGTCGATTTTTTTTTTATTTTATCATGTATATGGCTTTTGGAAAGCTTGAAACATGCGAGCTTACCGCAGACAGTGAAGACCACGCCGGCGACGAAAACGCACAGCTGGTGTCGAGGACGAGATACGTGGGCAGCAAAGTAACAAACTTCTGCAACTACTAGTAGCAACGTTGCGACGAAGAAGAACATGGCTGACTTTGTGACAGCATCTAAAATATTATCAAATAAGGTAAAGTATAAGAGAGTCATTTGAAAAGCTAATATAAAATTTCATCCAAGTATTATTAAGTTTTTTGCTCTTTTGAATTTATTGCTATGTCTAGGAAAATTTTCTTTACGTAATTTCACAGGTATCATTTTATTACATTCAAAAGCTTATTTTTTCATAATCTACTTAAGATAACTTAATATTTTAAATATTTTTTTCAATTAATTAAAAATCAAATGCTGAGCAATTATCAACTTTACTTCTCCTGAAATTTTCTGTAATTCAATAGCAATTTAGCACGTTAATTGGTAGTAATAAAATGCGTCTTAAGTTAAAATAAAATTTCTTGGTTGAATTTTATATTTATTATGATCAATGAAGAAAAATTAGTAACATCAAGTGAAAAAAAAAATTCAAGTCAGACAAACTTTAGTTTCATAAGCATATAATGCGATTGTTAAATTGAATAAGTGTTATCCAACCATTATTGAACTTACTATTGAAGTGAATTTTTATTATTCATTCGTTACAAAATGAAAACCTACATGGTATAGCCATTGTAGAGTCACTAGGATCGGGACTGTATTCCTCGTTAGGAAAATAGTCGATACTTGAGCACTCGTACTGCATATGAGATCCTGAAAATTTAAAATAAACTGTAGAAAAGTCGAGTAAATTTGTATCATAGAATAATATTTGAAATAGAAAGTACAAAAAAGTAAAAGAAATAAAAAATAGTATTGCACAAAAATAAATTGAAAGAAAATAACAGTAAATTACGAAAGAACGTTAATTATTATTAAATAAACTTTTCATTTCATGTTGGGAATTTTTTTTAATATAAAATTTACTGAGAGATGTACTTCAGTTATGGAGAATGGAACGAGCTATTCTTCAGTGAGATTTATGCCCTCGAGCCAGGTGGATTTTGGACTGACATCATGAGAATTGTGGACTACGTCGTGGTTCATATACAAAAGCGATATTATATATTGAGTGAAGAGTTTATTTATTCAAGTCAATGAGAGCTTTTCAACTACCTTTGATATCTATTGAACATGTAGGATTAATGAGTTAACTGATGAACTGTTCAGATGTAGTATCCAGTGTCATATAGCAATGCATACCTTTACATATTCACCTTACCTTTTATATATTTTCCTTTGTCCCAAAGGATTTTTGATGGGTTTAAATAGGATGAAGTCGCGTTCAACAAAAATAGATATTACAAAATTTTTTCCCAGTACATCTCATAGATAGGACGCACAACTCCAGCACTAGGGAATTAAAGTTTCAGTAGACGGAAGCGCAAAGTTTACACCAACGTCATGGCAATAAACTAGACTGACTTCATAAAATTATGAAATAACGAAAAAAAAAAGGAATACGAGGAAAATATTTTTCTCTGCATATGCGTATACTGGATATGTGGAAGATAGAAAAATGTTATTAGACCACTCGGGGTATATACATCTGTATTATGCTCCACAAAATGCTCTGAGAACAATCCTTCCAACCCTCTCGTTACAACCTAGCACGTCTGGGAATTATGCTTGTTTCAATGCAGATGAGATGCAACGTGCTCTATGTGCGTGATCTGAATAGGAACAACTTTTAGGAGAAATATTATCATCATTCGTCGATCATATGGAAAATAGTAAGCTGTTGATACACAAAAATTTATCAATTGTTTCTTTTTATTTGCTAAACAAAGAAATCATAACTTTAATCAACTTAATTTTTTTTTATTGATGTCTAAATAAAATTATTCTCTGAATAACTTAATATGATGATACTTTTATTGAAATAGTTTCAACTTTTTTTGCTTTACAGCAAGAGTTTTTTCAAGTTAGATTAAAAGCTAGAGTTTTCAATATGAATTTCTTTGAACAAAAATGGAATATTAATGAATAAGTACTGAAAAATATTTATAAAGAATTTTTATCATTTGTCAGTACTAACAATTGATTTCAATTTCCATTTTGTGATTTATATTTCATTCGCCCTTGGATTAACTACTCATGTGGAAAGGTTGGTACCTACATGACAGCTAACGTGATTAAAATTATTTGTTCAAGTGTTATATAAGTGTTCAAAATGAGTTAGAACTTGTTGTTACAAGAATAAAAACTATGTTAATTTTTAACATTTGTTCTTGGTCAATTTATCTTCTTTCTAAAATAACACACAATATTTTCATCAAAAATAACTCATAAAATCACTCTTGGTAAAAGAAACAATGCACGTAATTGTTGGTTTATTATAAATATTAAAAAAAACCAGTGTACATTTTGAGAGATAACCTTTGATATTGATTTTGAAAAACAAAATCACAAACGCAACTTCAAACAGAAGTGAAATGTGATAAAATGTTTGAATGAAAATAAGTCATCACTGAAAAAATGTCAAAAATTTGCATACATTCATCAGAATATTTTGATTAAATTCTCAATTCCAAAACATTTTTAAAAAGCTTGAGATTAGTGGTTCTTTCAAGTTAATCAAATACACAGTAAAATGATTAATAAAATTTTTTTTCCAACTAAAGTGATTATTTTTTCACTATATCTCTGCATAAGAGTACATAAAAGGAAAAAAAAAAAAAAGATTTTTATCTCTATCTGTTAAACGAATTCATTTTAGTGAGTGAGATTCAATACAATTTTCGTTGCTACTTCCAAATATATTTTAAAACCAGTTTTCTGCATCCGACTGATATTGAATTATATTTACGATGATGGGAAAAAATAAAATTAAAAGCATTCACGACTTTAAAGCTATTGGATACTCTTTTTTGCTATTATTTATTTTTTTTCTTCTCAAGCTAGTTTGAAAATTATTAATCCATCAAAAAAAAAGGCATTGAAAATTATCACAAAAATCAGATAAAAAGTAGATTAATTTATTTTAGCAACATCTCTTTCACCTAAGTGATTCATTTCAAGTTTTCCATTTCTCTTGAAAAATAATATGTAAATCATCATGACAATTAATTAACTGTTAATTAAAACATCCTAGATGTTGGTAAATATTTTTCCAACATTCCTGATGAATGTATGAAATGATTTACCCTAGGAAAATAAATAAGCTGAAGTTTGTTTATTGAAATTTTTTATTTATAAATATAGAAGAGCACAAGGTAAAAAATGGCTCATTTGTGTGTACATCTAAAGCATACTATAGGCAAAGCGTAGAGAAATGAGGTTGGTAAGAGTAGGATACTCATTTCCGGGCCGGAAGCCAGGGGTATTACCTTCCTCCAATAATCGAGAATTGAACACCACTCGCGTCACGTACCTATTTATATGCATACGTAAAGACATTTGACCTCGACGTTTCTCGATGCATTGCAGTAGTGTATATACAGATATAATAGAGTGCAAGAATAACTCAAAGAAGAATGGAGGATTCACGTCTAGACTTAGGGATCTTATAGATCCTATATAAGTCAAGATTTATAATAAGATGACTTGGAATTTACTTGAGAAAACATGTTTGGGAAATTTTTATTTCTTTGAGAAGAGGGTGAGAAAAAAAGGAGAAGGAAATTCAATCGACTGCATGAGGTTACGATAGAGCAAATGTACTCTAGAGTAAAGTGTAAATAAATATTTTAGTATGCTTTGCCTTCAGGTTTTTCGATTAAAGCGTTGAAGTGGAATCCGATTATCTGTGACTACTAGAATTTTTTAATTCGAGATTTCTCGATCTCCCTAGTGGTCTGAGATGCTCTTTTCTCTCTTCCTCACTGGAGCTACGTTTCCTTTTGCCGAGTACGAGCAAAACGGAAAGAGAAGAAGGGTGGTTTCCGGTACGCCGAGTAACGAGTCATTTCCTCATTTCCCCTCACATCGCACTCTCTCCTCACTTCTCTCTTTCTCATTCCCTCACTTTTGCTCTCGCTTTATTTGACCTCTTTCTCTGTTACTCCTCCCTCACAACTTTTCCCTACAGACATGAGGGCTGTCGGAACCCGCGAACACTCCACTAATATTACGCCAACTAAATGCTTTCACTATCGATTCAGTGGTTACAAATTTATCGGCAATTTGAAAATCACATTTTTTTGCTTTTCAGCAATAATTTTTAATTGACAAAAAATATTTGTACTATTTTTTAAATTGCCTTTTCAGTTATTTTCATCATTCTTTTAACTTTTCAAACAATACTTTTATTCAGTTAAAAAAATAAAAAATAACAGGTTCAAATATTTTTTTCTTTGCTTGAAAAATTTATTAATCAAATTCATTCATTATTTTGAAATTAAACACTTATAGTTTTTTTGTAAGTTTTTATAAAATTAACGTTATCAAAATAGTAGAGTGTTGCTTTTAAAGAAAGAATTTTAACTAAAATTCGTTAATTAAATAATCAAAAATTATTTGCTTTAAAAATATGAAAAATGTGAAAAGTAAATTCAATTGAATTTCTATGAAAGATATAATCATAATAAAATAACAGAACAATCTTTTATTAAAACTATTATTTGATTTTTAAATCCATTACGACACTCGTAATTCCATTGTAATTCTACTAGAATTGTTTTCTTATCAGACTGACTCATTGATCTTAACATGTTGCTTTTTGTATCGAACCAATTTCCTATTCCCAAACTTAAACTTTAATTCCTGTGTTTATCCCAAGTTTACCCAATCTCATCAATATTCATTAATCAAATACGTCTTACCCAATCCAAATATTACGTTAAAAGAATTCGATATTATCAGCTGAATCCTTTTATTTACTTTAGATATTCTGTTATCATCAAGAATTTCAAATTATTTGTCATACTAAAACCTTGATCCACTCAGAGTATGCTAATTTTAACATAACTATTCAAACATTGTCAAGAAGTATATCCGTATTACAAACAGAGTCTTCAAATGAAAAAACATTCCCTTCATAATAAGTCTCTTTGCAATGAAAAAAATAAAACAAAACGAATGCTTTAAGAGAAATTTAATTAAAATAAGTAGAGCTTTCTATAGCAAGTCTTTTAGCTGCTAAAATCATTTGCAAAAAGTAACCTAATTTTCTTCTATATGTTTAAAAAATTCTAGACTGAAAAAAAAAGATCAAGATGTTGAAAATTACAAAGAAGCTGACGCTTATTTCAAGATAAAAGCGCCACAGGGAGTAGCAAGAAAGTAACTCACTTGTGGCGACGCACACCCTCCAAAGTCCACTGTAAGTCACCTTACTGTCCGGCTCTGCAGAGGCGTTCACAGAGAAGCCTTTTGGTAGCCTTTCTTCGGTGAAAAGCCACTCGCCTGTTCCAATGGCCACGGAAACGATGACGAGAGATAAGAATGCTGAAATCCCTGATGCAATTCCAAGACCTTTGCCTCCACTTTGGTTGTTACCACTGTAAATATAACTGCTACTTCCACTTGTACGATTGTACCCACTTGTAATGCCTGATTGGTTGATTATATCGTCTTCTTGCTCGTAGCAGCAACCACAGCAGTTGTAGCAAGACATCACGAACAAATGTCTCCTTTTCTTCTTCGTAGCATTCCTGTTTAATTTTTAATCATTTTTATTATCATCCTTATCATTTATTCAATTTCTTATCATCTTATTATCAACGTCTAGGGTTCTTGGTCAATATCAGGTCTCCTTAGATTAAACTATACATTTTTTAGCAAGCATTTATTTAAAAGGATGAGGGTAAACCTATTTGAAATCAACTCCCTCATGATTCTCTTAAATTACCTACTTCATTTTTAAGCAATTTTTTTTTGCTAAGAATTAAAGTTCCTGATCAATAACCTGATAGTTATACATCTAGCTATTCATTGTAATTCCAATATTTGTTTAAAAAATCCCAAGGGTAGATCTTATTACCATCAAGTTTTCCATAATTCTATTGAATCAGATGTTCAAGTTTCCATTATTTTTATTATAATTTTGATCAGTATTAAATTTCTTAATATTACAAAGAAGATTTTTCATTAATATCAAGCTCATCAGAGATTGAATTATTCATTTTAAAGAATACATTTACTTAAAAAAATCTGCAAATGAGACAATGTCAATACAGAAGTCTTTGTTGATTGTTCTAGTTACCTATCTAGTTTCCAGTCATCATTTATTTAAATATTTTTGTATGTTTGTTGGAGTTACTAAAATGAAATTTCGCACTCTAGTTCATTCGAAAGGCTTTAAATGCAACATAAATGGAATATTTATTCTTCTATAGCTCTGTCAAAATATTGTTTTAAATCTTTATTATTTATAAAATTTATAGTTATTTTTTTCTAAAACTAAAGCTTCAAGCTGCAGTTTAACTTAAAGTAAATTATTCATTTCAACTAATGTGTTGGTTCAGAAGCTCTGAATGTAGAACAAATTCAGTATCAAGACCCTCATTTAAATGATCAGATTTTTATTGTTCAACTATTTATCCATCCTCCATTATTTCATTATAAAGGACTTGAGTTTCTCATTCAAATCTAGATAAACGTTGGTCAAGTTATGAATTTTTATTAGCATAAATTCACCAAAAGTAGAATAATTTAACCTCAAGTCTTAGAAGTTGTTTCTTCTATTTATTTTTAATTATTTATTTAATTATTTGTCTGTAAATAAATTGTTCCAGCTAGAATATTTATTTTTAATTATCAAAATGCTGAACCAGGTAAATAGATAAGTTTACTTATGCTTATTAATAGTTAGAATAATTTGAAGTAAATGTGAAATACGTACTTGGATGCAAGTCACGGTCTCTGTAAGTTATTATCTCGAAGTACGAGATGTCTTTAGTGATGTTGGCTTCTTGGCAGGTGATACAGGTGTAGAAAGACTTTATAATCCGTCTAGTTGCTAGAAGATGTAGGACGTTTCTCAGCTCGTTTAAGACAATTTTCGTCCTCCTTCTTCTCCACCACTTCTATTCCTTCCTCTTTTCATTTTGTTATATATCTGTATGTATATAGAATCAGTCTGTTGGTATGTATATATATATGTACAAGTACGTGCTTCCTCTTCACTTCTTCTCTACTCGTACGTTAGCGATAATCGTTTCAGGTTTACGACCAGACGATTGGGGAGGAAGGTAGAGAATATCAGACTAGAACTTTAATCTTGCTCAATGGATTTTACTGCTCTGAAAAAAAGTATCAAAGAAATTCCTTTAGATACGAACATCTATATTTTTTGCCTCATAAAATATGAAAGTATATAAAATAAATAAATCTGGCGGAAAAATCTATCAACTTTGGTTAACATTTTTAATCATTTTTCTTTCATGTCTGTGTTTATTAATTTCATGTTAAAAGATTGATGATGTTAAGTATATTCTTTGAATGGTGAAAAAAGAGGTAGAAGAAGTATAAAATAATGAAGATTCATGAATAAAAAGAATGCTATGAAAATTCTCAAGTGTCGTTAACGAGCAGAGTAGATGTGCCATTCATGGCCACTTGAAGATAAGTATACCGATAGATGAACGCCACCCAAGAGATGGCTAAATTATAAAAATTAGAGTAAACTTGTATCTGAAAGGATAGAAATTATTTATTTAAAGGAAAGTGTTTCCAATTAGTAGGAAGGAAGTTTTCTTCATAAAATTACATTTTTAATGAGTTACAAAATTTTCTTCTGCTCATAATAATAATTTTCTTCAAGTAGCACACTAATTTTCATCATTCAAACCCTTAAATAGCCACCAACAATACATCTACCTGTCTGATAGTAGAAGTTCTAAGTTAGCTAGCAACTTTATAGTGAAGCAATAAAACTACATATTGAGATTGAGAACTACATTGATATTTCTCTTTCAAATATTTCTATGGTTTGATCAATATTGATACAACTATTATGATAAAATGACATTTTAATTTATTTTTTTTTTTTCATTTACTTCTTTTCTAGCTTGAAACCATAACAATGTTATTCTTGATATTCTATTCAACCAATTCATCATCAAAACTTCCTATAATTTCTATTGTTCTTTTGCTTATTATAATGAATATTCAAAACAGCGAGCATCAAAACCAAGCATTGTCAAAAACATTGCAATTAGCTTTTGGTAGAACATTCAACTCTTTCAATGAGTATTCAAAAGTTAGCTATAAGCTCATTGGTACTCTTTGAGTCAGCTTCTAAAGTCCAACTGGCTTTTTACGTGCATTTCTCATTTCTTCGTGAGTCTTTTGAAGCCGTTCTATTCCGCAGGATTATCTAGAGACTTGAGCTTTGACCCGAAGGTATCGATTCTAGCAGTGATGGTGGTACCGGGTGCTTACAACTCTCGCCGGTTGGTCCGGAGGATTTACACTCTTCCAATCAGCAAAACCTGAAGCTCAAGTGTGAATGACTGCTTTGCCATCTATTAAAAGAATCCCTGGTGTATACGTAAGGTTTCTAAAGAGTTAAGAAGCACAAGAAATATTCCATCCTCGACATATTTCCTCTCTTATATCTCAGCACAACAAGCAAAGGAAACAGTGTCGTTTCACATGTCTTATCAATCACCGTCTGATGTTGGAGATGTTATGGTAGTTCCTGTACTAGAAGCTCGTGACTTTCCGACACTGCGTCAGTATTGTTGTATAGGTAAACACTTCATGCATACTATTCGTAGACTACATGGGTATTTCCCATGCCATAGAGTGTTACTGGGCGGTTTATTACATGCGCAGGGTCATGCTACAGTTGACGCTATTGTATATCCTGTATTCTGTGTCTACTATACAGAATCTAACCCTCTGTACACTATATACAATTATTATTATAGTCGATTTTCTCAAATGCTTGGTCCATTGCCGCCTTTTGGTTAACACACCACAAGCTTTAACTTCGACTCTTTGGTCCACATAAATTATTTTACCTTACATTATAATTAGGTCGATTGAACTTGGCTATCCATGACGTAAATGAGACTTTTATGGAACTCTGAAGTTTCTAAGAATAAATAGAATATTGTGCTGGATATTTTTTGGCAAGTTTGAATTTAATATTGTTTGGAAAACAGGTTGAAAGTGACAGATTGAATTATGCTAACACTACGTTTAAGTTCCTGTCATTTGTAGTAGATTAATGAGCATAAATTTGATAGCAGTTAGAAGTGAAATTTTGTTCCACTGCCTGAGTATCACAAATTATTGGCGCGTGATATCTTTTGAAAAAGGATTTTATTGATATCGTGTGCATAAATTATTGTCAATAAATTTAAAGCTGATTTTTTAAAATATATTTCCACTAAAAGCAAAACTTTTATAAATAATATCCTTCTTAATTCTTCATAAAGAAGTTCTTTTAGTAATTCTAATTAATTTATTACTTCATTTAATTGCTAAAAATGAAAATAAAATGGAGAAATATTTTTGAGGATTAGAATGATACTGAATAAAAGTAATCAAAAATGTATAAGATAGTTTAAGTATCTTTCTTCTACCATGCTATTATTCACTTGAAACAGAAAATTTTTTTTAATTTACTCAAGTGAGTAATTTTATTCTATATAGAAATGGAAATGAGCATGAAATGAAATATAAATACTAATTATGATGATTTTATTCTATTTAATAATAAAAAGTAAGGACATTTTATATTTAGCTAACAAAAGTGAAAAATCTCTGAATAAATTTTTGCATTTAATAAAACTAGATAATTTCTTAATTTATGTCTTCTACTAAGTAATATTAAGCTTAATATCAATATTTACTATTTCCTTGTCAAGAATATGAAATTCATATCTTCAACAGATGTTGACAGTAATTAATTATGAAGCTATCAGTATCAACTTGGCTACAAGTAATATTTCATCAAAGTACGTTCAACTAAACCAAATCGATTGTCTATAGTCTTCCATTCATAGGTAACATGATGATAGTATGTTTTTTTAATGATACCAATTTTCTGATTAAATATTCATTCAGCTTTTACGCTACTTAGTATACACCTTTCTTGAAATCATGACTAATTCCAGTTTAACTAGTTCTCTTTGAATCCTTCATAATCAGTAAATACTTAATTTTCCTTCCAAAATTCTTCTTACCAATCAATCTCTACTCTACCTTTCAATTATAAATTATTTTCTCTTACTCCATCACGCCATTCATTAACGTTTAATAAAACTCATAATCGACAGAAAAATTTCCTTCAGTATTTTTTTTTTCCTCCTTAAAACGATTATCAAAGAATAGTTTTCTGCTAATTGCACTTTTCTTTCTCTATTTCCGTTTTCACTAATATTTATTTTAAAAAAACATTCATATTTTTTTGGTTTCTAGATATTAATAAATATTTCAGTTGTATGTACAAGAATATTTAGTGATAACAGGAATGAATAAAATAGCAGATCTAATTAAGAGCAAAATAGATTATTTTTCGCTTTATTTTCCCCAGGAAGTTCTTTCAATTTTCTTCGTGAGTTCTGTACAGAAGTTTAAGCAATAGATTCATGGGTGACGCTCAAGTAGAGTATACTTGTACCTCTGCATAGTGTCACACCATTCGTTCCTAATTGCAATCAATTCCAAGCGCTCGTTAACGTGACAACGAAATTACGGGCTCTATTAAATTAGTGGAAAGGACGGGCTTTTGTTTGAAGGGATTACGCGCTAGCAGGTGTTGCAAGAGACTTCAAGATGAGAAAGAGGATTGGGTGCTGATGCTAGGAATGAAAGGTGTTGCACTGATTACAGGTAACATGGTATACTCAAAAAATTCTCGGTGCTTTGGATAGGACTTATTATGCTTCATAAATTCACAAATAACATTTAAATGGATGTGCTACTATCCAAGGTTGATTTTTTTTTTTTTTTTAATAAGTAAGTGTTCGACGTACATAGTCCATAGCATGGACGTAATTTACAGTGAAATGAAAAGAATTATGAGTAAATGAATTTTTTTCGTCATTTTATTTTGGAGATTTAAAATAATTATTCGCATTAAGTGCGATTAAATTCTTTGAATAGTTGCTAGATTTTTCTTCTACTAATGTATAAAATGTTTCCCATCGTTACATGAATTTTTTGTATAATTTTTTTTTTTGCATGTTGCAAATGTGAATTACCTTTTTTTTTTTTTAGATATTTCAGTTTTTATTTTTGAATAATTTAGTTTTGTATGAAGTTTTTTAAAAATCATGATAAATGTGATTCGTTTATCAACTTATATTTTTTGAAAATAATTTTCAAAAACTTTTTCATTAAAATAAAATTTTTGTGTAAAAGTTCATAAATTTTATTTCAAAAAATTTTCAGTACAAGTGGAAACATCCTTGAAGGCAAATTCATACAAAAGTTTCTACACTGCCATCATTATTTTCTTTATTTTTTTTTGAACAAGATTTTTTGAAAAATCTTTTTTTGCTTAAAATTAATCTACAGAATGATATTTGAGATCAAAGATATTTCAAATTTCCAGGTCCAATTTGTATTTCCTTGATTCATTTTTTTCTCTATATTCGGACTCAAAGAGATGAAATAATCTATAGATTTGTTTTCAATTTAATCTTCAAATAATTCCAATGATCTCAATCAAACTTTCTATCAATACTTTAGCTTTAAAAAAATATTTTTTCCCAATAAAGATAGTTGAATTAATTTTCCTATCTAATTCGACTCATTTCCATGAAGTTGAGTAAAAGTTAAAGTGGATTTATTGAAGATGAAGATGATTTAGTTTCGATGATAAATTAAAGAGGTAAATTTAAAATGAAGAGAGAGAGAGAAGAAAAATGGATAGTATAATTTTTAAAAAGTAATCTTGTCAAAATCTCGAGTGCAAATACGTTTTATACCCTCCGGGAGATTGTTCAGGAACTACTGGAACGTATATTCAATCAAATAACTTCCCCAACGAATCATCTGTCATCATCGAGTTCACAATTACGTTTATACGTTAGAGATGTCATTTTCTCCGTACAACCTTCCAACTGATTTTACTTTATGACGAAGAGTACGATGAAAGAGCATAAAAGACAAGTTGATCAAACACATTTTATCAGAAAAATCAAGATGAAAAATAAGGAAATAAAAAAATAGTAATAAAGAAAAAAGAAAAGAGAATAAAAAGGAAGGTATAAAAATGTTTGTTTGACTTTGTGATCAGAATAAGCTTATTTCAGAAGGACACTAGGTATTCCCTAAAGACTCTTCAAACCCTCGTGAAGGAATAAAATAGAGAACCGAACTTATAGTGTGCACTAGACCAGACTCGTTTTGAAGAACCAACATTAACAGTAGAATAGCCTAGTTTACATCAGACTCTGCACGTTTATCTTTCGGCATTTTCAAGTATTATAGCAGTAAAACATAATCCAGATGAACAATGTACAGGCATTTCTCCTTTGCATTGTTTAGTTTAGTTCAACAGAACATCTCGAGAAATTCTCAAGTAAGCTAAGTGAATTGCTCTACAGTATCGTTTCGCCAAGTCACGGTGCCTCGATTTCAAGAATTAATTAACTCTTGCACTAGTGTATATACATAAGCGAATGAGGAGGGTGCAATATAATGCGTCTTCAAAGTACATTTAGTGGCCTTACAAATCTAATAAATAGCCTTATCGAATTACTCGTAAAATAATTCAACTTTTTAACTACGATGTAAATGCAATAAAAATTTTTTTAATGAGTATTCTTTCAAAGTTATCTCATATTAATTATTGAGTTGTTCCATTTACTATTTTTTAATGGAAAAATCAGTATTTTTTGTTCCATCGAAAATTATAAAACAATAAAATCAGATATTTAAATTTTTCTCATTCTCTATTTTTATTTATTTATTATAAAAATTATGTCAATCAAGATATCTAAAATTTCTCAAACAAAGTATGTTTATATAAATATTTTTTTTTGTGTTTATTAAAAAAATTAAATGCAATAAATGTAATTAAAAAATTTTATTTTTTAATGTATGTTGTTTGTTTAAACGATTCATCAGGTTACCAAGTTCAACGAATACTTTTATTTATTTTTTATCAAATGAACTTTTGAATTAATTCCAAATAGAATGCATTGTTGATTCCACCAGGAATATTTTGGTAGAATAATCAGAAAAATTGTTTAAAATTCAAAATAATTCTCAAAATCCAATAATATCCATTAAAAAAAATCGTACAACCCATCATGTCCAAGCTATTAATAAAAATAAAATTTTTTTATAAATGATCCGCATAGTTAACTTGGAAATTTTTTATTTTCCGACTGATTTATGTGAACTAATTTCTCTAAATTAACAAAGTCGTATCATAAAATCAGTGCAGTAATGTTAATAATTATAATAAAAGTCACTAATGGCTGCAGTAAATGTCAAGCAGAAGAGAATAAGTAAAAAAGCACGAATAAAAAAAGAGAGAAGTTTTCTTATGCACGTGGGTAACGAGGGAATGATGAGGTGAGAGTTGTGTAGTCCTCAAGTTGAAGTGGAGTCCAAACTAACTACCCTCGTTTGACTCTTGTCTTTCTCGTGAGATGTTATTTCCACGCCCCAACGTCTGTTCCTTGGTATGTCTTTGTATGATGGAAGAAAAGTATTAGGGTAGAATGGAAGACATGGAATACACTTAAGCGACGTAGTGTTATGCAAGTCATAATGATTTTTAGTGTTGATACCGACCATGATTTTATGATACGACACGTGCTCAAGTGAAGTTGGTGTCGAGAGGAGAGAATAAATGTGAAAGAGTATTCATGGCAAGTGTGTGTTGTAGATCGTATAGTTCAAAGTCTTCGGCAAGACGATGCTCTAAGGCGTGTGAGATTACGACTTCCTTCCCTCACTCCCATGGTCTATGAATTGCAAAACATCGTCGTCGTCGTTCCGTTTATATTCAAAGATTCGCGTCGACTTCGCGAGCTTCCGGAGGAAAATAAAACGATCGTAAAGGATTGACCGCGTCTCTTTTTCTGCCTAACTTCCAACCTCTTCTTCACTCACTGCGGCTTTTGTATTCTTCTGCAAACTTATAAAAGTGTCTGAAGATCGTGTCACTTTCCGTTTGATCCTCTTGTACATTAAAAAGTTTATTACACGAATACATTTACATATTTCACTCTTTCATATGCACTTTCAGTCGAAGACGGTCATTTATTGCTGCTGTTTGAATTATTTTATGATACCAAATTACAAAATGTTTCAATATCATTATTATTCCAACAAATACCTTCTAATTCTTTTTAATAATAAATATATTTTTTAATATTATTAATATACTTAATATAATTAAGTAATAACTATTACTTTTTTATTTTTTAATCTCAGCTCTTCTTTCATTTTCACTCCATAACTAATAAAGAATTATTATTGATAAAATGACCATAATAGTTGATTAATAATTTATTTAATTATAAAAATACACTATACACATTTTCGCGTTTTCTTTTTTTAATTAAATAAATAATTCATATTAATTAAATTACATTATTTAATTATTTTAACATTGCATTTTTGATTATTTTTTAATGAGTATTTTCATCAAAGTAAACTAAATATCATAATTTTGGTTGTATAAAATAATTATACGAGAATTTAAAAAACACATAGAACATAATATAAAATTAATTATTTTATAAAATAATAATAAAATTTTTTATTAAAGTATTATTTATGAATTCCACTTTTTATTTAATATTTTCACCATTTTGACAAACATAAAAATGTATGAATCTTATTTAGACCTCTAGCAATTTTAATTCCAGTGTCAATGAATATTTGTCAAATTTATGCTGTTATGAATACACATCATCTTCCCTCATGAATTTGATCCGAAAAAAATGTACACTGCCTATTGTCCAAGGTATATAAATTGACCAAATTCGACGTAGTGAAAAAAAAATGAGAGAGTGCATATCGTGTTATAATAAGCTACAACACTGTAATCATGCACTTTATATGATACATACTATAAATATATTGGCTTCATCCCACACTAGATATAGCTATTTTCACGATGAATTGTGGCTACGTGCATGGAGGAGAACATATTACAAACAAGATCAAAGGCTTCATCTGATTATTTAACGCGGAAACGATCAAAGGTATTATAAATCCTTTGTCTATAATTACAATTTTTTTATGCCATAAAAATTTAACTCAAATTATTCGGCATATATGAAATTCCTACAATGTACACAAACAGCCGCGTGTCTTACTAAGGCCACGAGGTTGCTGACGCTTTTCATTGAAATGCTATTGGATAAAAATGATTAAATAAAAGCAGCCACCGCAAATAGAAAGGAAAAAAAAAAATTTTCATACTTTAGTAAACGATGAAAATTGATAAAAAAAAGAATGAATGATTATACCTCATTGGAATTCCAGTATGTTAATTTAATTGAATTCAACATTCCGCTGATGTTTGTTTTAATTTGTTGATATTTGCACATCAAAGTATTGTAAGTAAATAACAACACATTATAAATAAACAGAATAATAAATCTCCAAAGTCCACGTGATCACGAGAGGAAGTGAAAAAAAAGTTGTCCGGTGTCCATTTGCATTGGATGCAAAAGACGAAAATGTTTATTTATGAGTAGTGAAATAGAGTGCAACAAAAAAAGTAACTGAAACGTGGATGAAATAACTCGAGCAATGTGGTGTAAGTTGCTCGAGCGAGGCAGTGAATTCGACTACCGGTCGACGCCCGGTCGTCGTCGCATCGCCCGCACCAACCACCACCACTACTACTTCCAACTAACTATCCGATGATCACCCCTTGCCCTTCGACGAGCTCTTCTTCTGGAGGATGACGCCGGCACCTGCGCAACCCCCAATGCAGGGCGCAACTGACGTTATAAGGTTACAATCGCTTGCTATTCGCCACGCTGCCGCATTTCTCTGTTATGTCTAAGACAGCGTGAGTACCATGACTCGACGCGTGTCGTACTTTTTTCGATCCCACGAGAATTTGCGCATATTTATTTCGACTTCTCTTTTTCTGCTTCCTTATTTTCCCAGACAGTATGCAAATGAAAAAGTTTAATCGCCAAACTTCTTTTTTTTTTTTTCGTTTGATTTACTTGACGTTACTGCGTTATGAACATTCATGAATTATTTACGGATAATTTATTTATTTTATTTTGTGAGAAAATTTTTAGATAAATATGTAGGACAAAATGGAATTACTCTGTCAGATAAATGTTATGATCATTTTTTTTTTTTTTAATCTCTTGGCAAATATGTTTAAATTAAATCAGTAATTAAGGATAATTAATATTTTTTTTTGGGAATAAAAAATAATTAATAAACTTATTAAGTAATAAATGAAATCAAAAATGTATATTCTCACTAAAAAAATTGATATTGATGGGAATATCGCTCCTGAAGTGTACAAAAAAAATTCCATTTTGAAGATTTATTCTCAAAAGATTTCTGTATCGAGATTTTTATTATATTTTCAATGAATTAAAATTTCAAAACCCACTTGTATATCAAAGAAATTTTTATTCTGCGAATAGTCAAGTAGCGTAGATAGATCTCATGATATTTTTTTAATTATTTATTCAATACAACTCTGATGGGATTTATAGGATTGGCATTTAATTGCTTTTACTCATTCTATTTTTTTACAAGCATCAGCTGATTACCAGACCAAATTGGCAAATAAATTGTTATTAAGGTACTTATTCAAATCATTAACATATCAATCAATTTTCTCGTTTGGCCACCAAAACAGCATTCTGTAATGACTTTTATGTGATTAGCATTTCATTTTGTTATTACCTGCTCACTCATTGTACGCAATTCATAATTTTATTTCAAAGTATTTCAATTTTTTTTCAATAAAATGACGATAATAATTGAAAACTTCTATGTATTGTTAATGAATTGGTTATTATTTTCATTACAAAGTAACTTTTATTTTAGAAAATTTTTTATTTAATATTAATTAAATATCTGATAAATACTAACTTACACTGTTTGCATTTTTTTTTATAAAGAACGTTTCTTTCAATGTTTTTAAACAAAATAGACATTTGGTATTGGTTGGTAATTAAAATAATTTTTTTATTTTATTATTTATAAAATTATATCTCTTGATAATTACTTTTTTTTTGGCTTTATTCAATATTACTATTGATATTTAAGAATTTACATACAATTTATTTATTGCTTTCTATAGAAAATTCCCTCGTGAGAGAAGTAACAGAACAAATATTTGTCGAAGGTTTCGGTAGGATCGTTTTCTGATTGTTTTCCTGTAATGTATCGACATTTTTCTCTACTAAGATAAACAAAAGGGCACTATAATTGAACAATCGTTATTTCTCTATTTACCAATAATTTATTTATCATTTTAAATGTTTTAAAAACTTGAAGAACAATTTTTTCCCAATTTAATTTAGCTAAAATACTCGATATAATTAAATTAAAACTAACAAATTGAAGAACTTTTATAACTATCACAAAGTAATTGTCTTCAAATATTTAGCGAAAATTTAAAGTAAAGTATTCAAAGCAGAATGTATTGAGAAAAGTGTAGTTTCTAAATTTATTTATTTCTTAATTAAAAAAAATTATTAATATTCCGCTATTTGATAATTACATAACGTCAAGTCTTTTAATGAGTAAAGTTTCATAAACTTTTTTTTATTGACCTCAACGTTACGTTTTAATTTTCTTACTTTGCTTGCTAAGTGTTGGTCTTTACGATTATTATGATAGTAAAAGAGAAAAGTGAAAAGATTAATCGTAGTATATTTTGTATATAATTATTGTAGGTTGTCACTAGCTTTTGTAAAATAACGTGTCAGATTAGAAGTTTGATGGATACTTAATTTCACATTTCAACGAATTGCCTAGACTATTGTCAAAAAATATTTTCCCTACGGACTATAAAGCTACACAGTAATAGCAATAGTCTAAGATAAAGTACGATAACAAAGGAAGAGAGAGGGGGATGATGTAGGGATAGAGATAAACGATAACAGAGAGGGTGAGAAAAAGATGAAAAAGAAAATAGGTAAAATCGTAAAATCTTTCAAGGTGGTTTTATACCACCCTCAGTGCTTTGTTACTAAAGAAAAGCTTTATTTTCAGTTATTTTTCTCGAGGGATTTTTTTCGTTATGATAATGAAACCCTCTCTTTTATTACACTCTTGTTGCTTGATGAAACAAGAGTAGTCAATAAAAATATTGTTTCTATTTATCAATCTTACTTTAATTGCACTCATCATTCCAGTCATTAGGCAGAAATAAAAAATATCTAACTCACTTTTTGACATTAATAAATATTTGAATGTCAACAAAATAATTTTTTGAATTTTTAAATTACAATAAAATGGATGTATGACTTCACACTGTTGAAATTTTATTTAATATCATGAAAGTGATGTAATTACATCAGAACTTTTTTTATTTAATTAAAGACTAATTCAATTTTTGTTTTATGTCATATTATAATGAATTTTGTATTAAATAAATTTATTTAATTAAATACTAATTTGATATATATAATTATTATTTATATATTTTCATATTCAATAGTATTTTTTTTTTATCAGTATGTGTGCAATATTTCAAATGCATTATGATAAATGAAATGATATATAGTTTTAAATACGTATCTAATTAGTGCCTCAGGTCCCTCTATCAACTGTAGAGCACTTGAAAGGAGGTCAACAATCGGAACATCCACATATCATGTCTATTTATTATATAACCATCCTACCTTTACTAACTTAACATAAATTCATTATATTCCTCATAGTGATGCTTCAAATAAAGTTTGGTGACTTAACTGTGACCTGTACAATATACTATTGAAGTCTAAATTTTTAATTAAATTAAAAAAAATAATTTTATGTAAAAAAAAAAACCGCAATTATTCGGTTGTTAAGTATGACATTGTTTAAGAAAAACAATTCTTCTGATAAACAAAATTTTCCGCAGCATAACTCCAAGACTGCTTGAAGGTTTCACGTGATTTCTAAATTCTTCAATGATTTTTCCTTTTTCTTGAAGCTATTTATAAAGTGCAAGCAATAAAAAAATAGAAAATCATGGTCAAAATGATAGTAACAAATCATAACGCAAGATTCCCAAATTTTTAAGTGAGCTCATCATTGTTTTGATTACGAAACCCTGAAAATAAAATAGCAGTAATGAGTTATCAGAATAACGACATCAATAATAATAAAAATTATTCAGGATAATTGTTCCATCTAGTCTTCAATCAATACACATGTACCTACTAGGCTATAAAATAACTTGATTAGCTTAAATATCCATAATTGATATTGATAAATACCTTTGACACATTGATGATTTCTATCAGAGCACCCAGTAGATATAACATGAGTAACTACAGTGCGTATACACGTTACTGTGATATGTAGTCTTACTCACTCAGTAGTTCAGCAATCAGCAGCATCTCCATCCTTGTCTATCGTCTCTTTGTGGTTATTCCGACTCATTCTCTATCCCCGTTTTGTTACCACATGAATCAACTGAGTTTCTCTCTTTCTTCTTCATGGCCATATGACGACCTTCCCTCTCTCCTTCTAGTATAGTTGGCACCAGTTCTCTTATACCATGGAGCAGCAGCCATACCAGTACTGAATTTCACTACACTTCTTCATCCAGTGTCGCAGTAACTTCTCAGTGGTATAGATCGTTATTGGATCCACGTACACTCTTTGGTAAGTGTTCTAGTATTTCCTCCACAACATTACTAATATCTACAAGTAAAAGCACCAAGTATTAAACAAAGAAATTAACATCTGCTGTCGTCTTTCCTCCACTTACTCCAACTTACCTTGCCTTATTCCACGCTAATTAATTCGTAACCTCTAAAACTGGTAAATAAATCCTTGCAGTTTGATTTAAGGAGAAGTTTACTCTTGATAATCGATCGCTTGACATCAAAGTCGAGCTCTAAAATGCATCTTCGGTTACATCCAAGTATTAATCAATCTTACTACGTTCTAATTAAACATCTTACTGATTATACATCATGCTCTGATGATCGTTGTCTAGTCAGAATGTTCGACGCTCTTTATACTTGAATGCTATGGAGTATTGGTGTATACGTAGCATTACTTAGCGTTGTTGAAATCGATCGTCCAGAAGAGATGATGGATGTAACCTACACGGTTGAGGTTGCTTCTGACGTCTTGGATGACGTTCCTATAGATCTAAAATTGTAAAAGTTTCATGGAATAATTTTTCTTTTCTTTTCAGACGTCATACTGAAATAACAACTCATTTTTATTGTTTACTTCTCTTATTCTTGATCAGCATATTTTCCAATACGTTTTTATTTTATTAAATAAATTACTTTAAAACTCTTCGAGGTCTGTTCACAACTGTTGTTATTATTTACCAACATGGTACTAGAGTTTCAAGTTATTTTCAAAATCAATTTCATTTATAGCAATAGCAAATATATTTCATATTAATTAATTAGTAGTCTTTCATTTTAATTCCACTTTAAAAATATTTTCATTCATTTTTGTGATATTCAATCGATTACTTTTAATATTAAATTAGTATTTGAGTAATTATTGTAATTATTTATCAACAAAGACAAGTTTTTTTGTCAATAATGAGATGGAAAAATAATAAGCATTGTAGTGATTATTTTTTTCAACGTTTTGATTGAGTATTTGACGATTAATTCTTTGAAATGATTGCCATCATATTGACTGAGCAAAATTTTTATTATATTTGAGGATTATAAATTTTTGTATATGCTTCTGATAGCTGGTTATGGAGCCACAATAAAAAAAAGTATTAATAAGTTTATTAATCTTTAATAAATTTATTTACTACTTTTACATAAAGACACATGTGATTATCAGAAAGTTCTGGGTGTTTTTAACTGAAGTATATCACCATTAGCTTCACTTTGAACCCATTGATGTAATCGAAACTTTAATTTACGTCAGTAAACATCAAATATCATCTTCAATTCAATGAAAATAAGTTGAATAATTTTTCCATGAATTTTATCTAATCTTATAATATATATTACAAATAATATACATATTTTTTTATTCGATTTTCACACGTTTCTGTTCTCATGATTCATTTTCCAGCTTGACAATTTGTCATTATTCTATTATTAATAATCACAACACATATCTATATAAATTCAAGTAAAGATTTATAGCCATAATAAATTTTTTATGCTTATCTGAACATTTTCCATAAATGCACAAAGTTGATTTGTAAAAATATTGCCAGTAAATTTGACACAATAGAAGGCTAGAATGAATTTCTACAATTGTACTTTGTTTAGGTACATATATGTAAGTATTTCGACAACTATCGGAAAAAATTATGATTCCAAAAATGAATGTGCAAGCTGACGCGTCATTTCTTCGGGTAACGAACCCAAAGGTCAAAAATATATTTCCCAATGCAGTAAACCTCGAATCTTTTTTTTGTTGTTTTTCCTCTACATTTATATCTATATAGACAAGTCGGAAACTTTTATGTATTATACGCGGTGTGCTATTGGCAGAATTTAATGGTCGACCCATTTTCACTCATAAACACGTTGTTTAAATTTGTTATTTACTGGACTACGCGTGACATGGAATATATAATTTATTTTGAAGGCTATGAAAAGCCAAGCAATAATTCCACATAAATATGAAATAAAAATTGATTTTATTCGTGACTGTAAAATTTTTTATAGAATTCGAGTGTTAATGTTTCAATGAAATGATGGTATTTAATTTTTATTTTACGCACAATCGATATTTTTTAAACGAATCAATCCATTATCGTAACACAGAGAAGATAAAAACACAGCTGTATTTATACAGTTTTCATAATTTTTTCAAAAAATACTCATTCAGATGAATAATAGTATTTGATAAAATTTTTTGAATATCTAAATTACTAGACATGAATAAAATAATCAATATTTGATATAAAGTTTCAAAGATAAAATTGTTATGATAAATAAATTATAAAGTTTCATTCTAGAAGTTGACTATTCAACTTCAGCTAGCATATCTCCAACCTTGTATTGTACAATTTACATAGATGCATAGTGTATTATTTTTAAGTATGAATTATAGAATTTTTACAAGAGATACTTATCAATTACTTGCAACAAATCTTTATTTGACGATAAATTTAATTGAATTTTAATTAAACTAAAATGTTCATTGACTTTTTGTTTCAAATATTTAATTATATAATAATAATAATTATTATTAATAAATGCATATTTACTAAAACTTGCATTTCAATTAAAATTGGTAAAGTTTTAAGTACCCAAGTATTTTTTTAATAATTTTTTTTTAATCAAAATAATAGCTTTACTTTTTAGAGTAAACAGTTCAATTTGATTATCAGTCATCTATGAATAAATAAACCAACAACAACAATAAAACGTTAACAACATTAATATAAATTTTTTTATAAAATTTTAAGCAAACGTTTTTTATTACCATAACATCAAAATCGGATATCAATTCAGTTGAAAAAATGCATCACACTTGAAATAGAGTATTTCTCATTTAATTACCATTGCTTTTATTACCCACATATACCCCTACGAATCAAATAAATAAAAAAACAATTCTTTTATTCATCAAATGAATTTTTTCCTCTATTTATATAACTACTAACATTTCATTAAAACTGTATTTATGCCAATTAAATCAAAGTGAATAGAGCATGAATTAATTTTTGTTTATCAAACATAAAATAAAAAAACAACATTGTGTACTTATGTTTCTAGTACGTTGTACAAAACTACTATTGTATTTTATTTTCAGAGAATGAAAAGAACGTGGATTGGTGTTTTTGGAGCTGTGCTCTTATGCCTGGTTGTAGTGGATGCTGTCCCCTATTCAAGTAAGTACTGTCTTATATTATCACAATGGGTTTACGTAGTAGCGGTTCAGTCTAAGGACTATCGTTTCTATACGTATACTGTTGGTCACTTCATTTCTGCCAAGCAAATGTGCTCCGTTTCAAACACACCCAGTGCTCCTTGAGAATAAATTGGCGATTCAACGGCTTCCCCTTCCTCTTATCCTTATGCTCATGTGATCAATGTCTCTTCTATCCTTTTTTATCTCCTTCCACGACATCTTATTTTATTTCCTCTGATTCTAAATTACTTTTTACTTACTGAATCTGGGCTATCTCTCTGACAAGGCCATATTGCTATAAAATCTCGAAATGAACAGGACTTGGATCCTGCTCGAGTTTGTTTTATGCGACAGATTATCATAAAATATTGTTTATATTCTTTGGCAAGCATTTAAGTTGTAGAAACTTATAATGTTGAAGATTAATAATGGAAAATAGAGGAGTATCATTTAAAGTTATAATCACCTGTTGCTCGATTGTTGTGCAATTAAAACCTAATGCGGAAGTTGTGCAACCATCCATGTGGTTTACTTGTTAGGTCTTTTTCCATTTTTTAAGCTTCTTAGTTGGTAAAGAAGCTGTTGTAATAGATCCAAAGTATCAGCAATTTTGATTTGCATTTATCATCATATTTTAATATTTTAAAAATCTTTTTTAATTTTTTTTCTTTTTGACTCAATTAACTTGATCACCTTTAAAACCTTATGGTCTATCTATGATTAAAATCCACTATGACCCAGTATCACAGTAAATTTCATCAACCTACTTCATTTTAAACATAATATTATTTCGTTGCACATCTCCACTATTACATATTTAATACATCAAAATTGAGATAAAAAAATTTATTAAAATCATCTGAACAATTTACCACTCATTGAGTTTTCTAAGAGTCTATTCTGATACTCTGTGCATTCTACCTTCTACACAATTATCACCCTTTTAAAACCACTGATCAAATTACTCTCTAAAAAATTACATATTCTTCAAAGTTAATTTAATTAATAATCTACCACATGTTGATAGCTTTCTTATCATTGAATTAACACCCATGATTAGCTTGTTATTTTTTTTTTAAATAAAAAACTTCCTGCTAAGTAAGCAAATGAGTGATTAATACAGGAAATAATTGGCATACCTATTGATTATTGTCAGGATGATTCAGAAAGTAGAGGTTGAAGAGATGACAGTATTTTAGTTAAAGATCATTATAACAAGCCTGGTAATGCAGCAGCATAAAAAAAGGATTAAATAATGTTGACAGTACCTCAAGTGTCGTAATAGAATTATCATTAGTGCAGAACATTGATGACGTTACGACTCGAGAGAATTGTTCAGTGATTAAGATAACGTCATCCTCGACATTTTAATGAACAAATAATACGATCAATAACTGACAAGCTGAGATGATTAAAAAGAATGAAAGCTAGGGATGAAATAAAAACAAGGTAGAAAAATTAAAAATATGTAAAGATGAAAATAAGAATGAAAAATAAAAGTCGTGTAAAAAATATTGAAGAGAAATTAACTCATTTTCTTCTTTTTTTTTCATTCAAGTCAATATTCTAATTAGGTATTTTCCTACGCTTTTATATTTTCTAGAAATAGTTTATTAATGAAAAATACTCGGTCTCTAATTAAATATATATATAAGATTCACTCTTCTTAATTGAATGAATCCATTGATTTTCAAATATTACTTTAATTATTACGTAATAAAAATATATAATTTATCTAATTTATAAATCATAATTATTTTATTTGTCTTCGGAAGAAATTTTTTCATATAAAAATATTTTATTTGTATTTTTTTCCTCTATCATAAAGTAGATGAGATAAAAATGGTGTCAATGCATTCTTGAAAAATACAGTTTTAAGCCAGTAATTTTCTCTCTTCCTTCCATACTAGCTCTCTTCGCAATAAGACAACTAAAAGCAACGAGCTTTTCGGCGAGTTAAATGCGCTCATATTCAACTCACTCTACTTTCAGTTCATTTAAACAGAAAGTTACTAGTAACTCTTTGAATTCTTTTGTTTGCCACATTTACATGTTTGCCACATTTACATGTTGTTAAAAATATTTTTTGTGTGAATAATGGCTGACAAAAGACAGAAGATGCTGTACATTTTATAGTTATTCATATTTTTTCTTGTACTTTCACAGAATATGGAAGAACTTGTCAAGACATTGGCTGCTTATCTGATGAACAATGCATTATAGCTGAAGATCCATGCAGTTTTCCACGTGATAATAATTGTGGTCGTTATCCAAAATGTGAGAAACGTTCAGGAGCTGGAACTCAAGGTTAGTAATATTCTCTAGTATATTTGCTATCACATCACAAATTAATTCAATCAATGAATTCTAATTAAAACATAATTGCATTTTCTTTTGTCCAAAACAATTGAAAGAATTGATTTTTGATTTATCAAAATTCAAGAACCCATCACTGTAGCAAAAATGAAGCTTTTATTGGTAGTAATTTAAATTAATTAGTGTTTATTAGAGCATTTTTTCTATTCTAATTGAATTATTTTGTTGATAACTGGAATGTTTTGCAATTGCTACTAACCAGAATCAAATAACTAATAAGAATTCTTTGCTCTTTTTTCTGCATGTTTATTAATGAAATTTACAAAATATATTATCTAGAAATGAATGGCGAACGTTTATGTTTCATTTAGCTGTGAATTCATGTCATTATTTATATCGGAAACTTCATTCACGTCCACTTAAAATGTTCATGAACACATAGCAATACGTATTATCGTTAGAGCTTAAATGAACTTTCAATCTACATTGTCGTTTCGTCTTCTCCAACACTTTTACTCTAACATCAAGTGTATGAGTACTATGTAACCCTTGTTATATTATATACATGTACATACATATGTGGTGTGTACATATATAAGTACTTTCATGGACAAAGAGGATTTTGCACACCTTCCGTCGATCACTACCTCACTCACTTTGACCTCTGAACTATGTCCGAGACTTTTACACATGCACTCTACACTTTTTATCGTCCCTAGAGAGTAGAGAAATTTTTCCTATACGCGTTAGTGTATATAAAATGAATACAGAACGGATTTTGTTGAAAAGCTTTGAAAATAAAGATCCTCTTTTTTTTTATCAAAAAATTCTATAAAGTATTTCAATGCTTTTTTATTTATTTAATGTAGTTTTTGTATAAATTATAATAGAATAGAAAGTAACCCTTCTGTAAATTGTTTTAAATAAAATTATCAAAGTAATTTTATAGAAACGTTTAATGTTATTTATTCAACATTTTGTTTACTTGAAAGCAGAAGAGAAAATGAATCATATTTATTTGATTAATTCTGAAATATTGATCACAACTGTCTATGGTAAATGAAAATAATTTAATAAATTATAAACAAAGTTACGATGAAAATAAATAATTAAAGTTAGCTGAAATTTAGTTTTACTCTATTTCAATAGATACATAATATTTTTATACAATAAGCACCATAATATTTTAGTTGCATCATAACGAGTTTTTTTTGCTTTACATCTAAGGGTCTCTATACAGTAGATAGGATTCATATATAATCACTCTTTTCATCTTCTTTTAGGGAATTTCCTTTGTAACTCTTAGTTTAATCCTTTTTTACTCAGTTAGTGTTGAATGTGTAGCCTCTACGTCTATTTTATTCACTTTATTCACATACAAGTCCTTTTCATATCTTTGATGCTTACATATATTATAGTGCACTATTTCGAAACACTTTTTATCGCGTATTTCATTAGTTAAAAATTATTCTTGTGTTACATAATATGCTGAAAAAAGAGTAATGTATTTTTATGCATAAAAAAGAGCTTTTTCAAATAATTTTTGTTATACTGGTTTTATTTCTGAATGTAAGATTTGAATTAACACTTAGCAATTGTTCCTTTGCATGAGGTAATTAACGTTCACAAAAGTACAAATGCATTTTCGTCAGACGCACATTCAAAACTACTTGTTGAATATATTCACACATTCCTGTATATATACTACATACGCAAGAGTAGAAAATTAAAGCTGCAAATCGTCGTTTGTAACGATTTAAATCACTTGATGTGATTTGCCTCGGTATTTTCTGGTGAGCCTTTCCATTTGTCAGCCTTCATGGATGCAAAACTGCGTAATAGAATCGTAGATCCAAGTATAGAAGTGTAGAGTGTCTGGACTGCTGATTCGATCAATTGTGGATGCTGTAAATTTCCAGGGTCTTCGTTAAATGGCCAGAGAGTTGATGGAATTCCAAACCAGGATCATGGCTCTTCCCACACCAACTACAATCCATATTCAAATGCTAATGCACCACCATCTTCAGAACCTCATGACACTCGTTTCAATCAGCGTCCAAGTAACTCAGACTTGGGCTACCCATCATATCCCTCCAACTCTGGTAGTGTTTCCAGGGGTTACCCTCCATACCCTGTAGCTTCTGGTGGCCAACATCCATCTCAAGGTACCAATCTGGGCTATCCACCATACCCAACTGAAAACCGCATGCCGCAACCAGGAATTTACCAATCTGGATACCCCAATAATGGATACCCCCATCAGCAGCAGCCAGGACTATATAATCAATATCCAACTTATAATCATAATTATTATGCTAAAAAATCTTACAGAAATTCAGCGACAATGTTCTTGCCAAGTATTTCCAGTCTAGGATTTGTCATTCTTGCGTTTTTAATAACGAACCATCTGTCGTGATGTTACCCATCATATTGTAACGATTGATGAGTTGTTTTTAATTACGCATTTCTCGTGATGTGCGTGTTTGTTTCAGTTGGCATTTCTTTCGTGCCTTTATCATGCGTGAAAAATACTATGAATTATTTTTAATATGAAGTTTGAAAGAAAAAGGGTTGTAATGTTATGAAATATGTACATTAATTAAATTTTTGGTACTTAGTAATAATTATTAGCAGCATGAGGTTTTCATCAAATATTTGGAATAATAAAAGAGAAAGAGTACTTGACAAATTCTATCATATCTGGAAATTAAATCATAAAAATATATTCTTTATACTATTTATTCTATTCATTTGCTTAATGAATCTAAAAAATTTAGCTTTAGCTTCCTCAGTTTTACTTCATGTGGGTGTTGCTTAATGTTATGCAAATTATTTAAATGCTAAGAATGTTGAAAAATTAACATATTAACGTGGGGAAGCGTTAAAAGAACTTGACAAAAAATTACATGACTATTTTACACGCTTTAGATAGACTTTATAAATAAATTAGTTAACTTTAATAAGTCCAAGTATTTTTTTTAAATAGTATAAAACAAATGTATGTATATGTTAATTTATTTTTATAATGTATTTTAATGATAATGAAAAATGTATCATGAGTAGAAAATTAAATTAATCTATTTTTCAACTTTATTAAATTCTAAATAAATAGTCAAGAGAAAGAGAAACAAATATTTTTGATGATAAATAATCTAAAAACATCTCGATGTTTATAGTTCAAAGAAATATGTACCACATTTATCCGTTCTGTTTTTACATCAATGTCTCTCGGTATAGCTTTATATTATCGACATGAACTTTGACATACTTTAATCCTCTTATCAACTAGTTATCTGTGGTCAAATGATGTCATTCAAATATGATAAATCGTTGTTAAATTTTTCATATGGAAAAATAACTTTCCGAAAACAGTCTGTTCGATGGAAACATTCAATTAAATGTCATATACTATTATTGAACGAAACAATAATGTATGTAAACTTTTTTTCACATGTAAATATGTTTTTAATTAAAGCTTTGATTCTTTGACACGAAAATTCCAACTCTAATATTGAATTCAATGCTAAAATGCCTGGTAATAATTTTCCGGATATTTAATCTTTAATTTCTGTGAATGGAAATTCAACGATAGCGTCTTTTTTAAAAGAAAATTAAAAAATAAATCATGAGATTCTACTTTTGATGAGAGTTTCAAATGATAAATTCATTCATTTATTGAAATTAGTATAATCTACATCTCCATTTTTACTTTCAAAATATTCATTCTTTGCATCATTGAACATCTTGGGTCTGGAATGAATGTAATATTTGGTCTTCATTTTTCTTGAATTAATCAAATTGCAAGGTATAACAAAAATCTGAAAAATTTTATGGGAGTGAGCTTTTATGTAGCAAATAATTATTGAAGTTGAAGCTTGAGCAAGATGCATATGTATGCATATAAATGAGAAAACTCGATATTAACAGCCCCACCACGTCGACCTCATGGAGGATATCGACATCCAAAAGTGACTCCTAGGCCAATTGTACGTACTCCACCACCTCCACCTCAAAGAACATTTTCCTCGGGATATCCTTGGGATGGTAGTCGTTATCCAAGCAGTTCAAGCAACTCCATAGGAACTGGAGGAAATCGTGACTACTGGAACCGCGTCTTCGATGGTGGTAATAGAAATGGTGGTGGATCAGGACATCGAGGACAAAACTCAAACACTTACACAAGTGACAAGGGTTATCACAAAACTCACGTCTCAACTGATAATAAGGGAAACCGAGTTTGGACATTTTCTCGTGCATAATAATATTTACTTGAAAATCTAAGGAATTTTTCAATTATTCTAAACCACAAGAATTTATGTATTGTTTTTAAGTTTATATATTCAAGCTATATTTTCCACCCTCTAGTTAACAGTCTTCTTATTTACTAATGTGTTTATTTGCTTTCTTTAAAGTGCATTTACTTGATAACTATAAAAAATAATTATATTGATATAATAGTCAGTACATAGAAATAGTTTTATCATTGAAGTCCAAAGTAAGAAGTGATTAAAAGAAAATAATTCTCACAATAAGATTATTTTTTTACCAGTGCCATGATGAAAATATAAATACTTTGTACTTATAAACAATAAATAAAATTTTATCCTCATAAATACTTCATTGTTAGATGTATTGATTAAAGGAACTTTATGACAAATTCTCCTAACTACAAAATAATATTGTTCTACATACTTCATTAGTTAGTAAATTAAATTGCATGAAGCTTCCCTGACTAACTATCTGACCATATTAATCTATTTAAGCTCTACAATTAGATAATATAGTTATTTTAAATAATAGAGTATGGTTTAGTTTGAATGAATAAGGGTGATGATGCTCGTGGGTTCATGGGGGTCATTAGTTCTCATCGTTCATGTTGGCATGAGCAAAAAAGCGTGAGATTTCCGCTAGCTGGAAATAAATCGACGTTGGACTAGGCATGATCTCGCATGCTACAGTCAATTTTTCATGATTTCATGCAGAGAAGAACGTATATAGATAGATTTGGAAATATTTCCAGAGCCTGAAAATCATGACACAAAAGATATGCAGAGTCATCAACATCCAGTGAGTCATGTAGAGCCATCAGCACCTAGCAAACCATCTTCGAATGGATATCCTGCTGGTTCTGGGTATCCTGCAAGCAATGGATATCCTGGATATCCTTCAGAGTCATCAAGAAAGTCTACTTCAGCTCCAGTTCAATCAAGTTATCCAGTAGGCTCAGGATATCCTTCTTCCAGCAATTCTGGTTATCCAGCAGGATCTGGCTATCCTTCCAGTAATTCTGGTTATCCTGCAAGTTCAGGGTATCCTTCTTCAGGTAGTTCTGGCTATCCATCATCAGGAGATTCGAAATATCCATCAGGGTCTGGTTATCCATCATCAAGTAACTCGGGCTATCCTTCAGGATCTGGATATCCATCATCAGGCAGCTCAGGTTATCCAGGATATTCTTCAGGGTCAGGCTATCCTTCATCAGGAAGCTCAGGCTATCCAGGATACCCATCAGGGTCAAGTTATCCTAATAATCCCGCAAGAAAAACCACTTCTAATACTGTCAATTCAGGTTATCCAAGCTCTGGTGGATATCCTCAAAGTGGATACCCTCAAGGTGGATATCCTCAAGGTGGATATCCTCAAGGTGGATACCCTCAAGGTGGATATTCTCAAGGTGGATATCCTCAGAGTGGTTATCCTCAGGGTGGATATCCTCAAGCGGGATATCCTCAAGGTGGTTACGCTCAAGGAGGATATCCATCAGGTGGTTACGGACAAGGTCAATATGGAGGACAGTATCCCCCTAATAATCAGCCAAAGAAACCTACTATTACTGATAGGATCTCTGATTTTGCTAAGAATATAGCTACTCAGTATCTTAGTCAAACAATAAGAGACAAATTATCAGGAAAACAATAAATAGTATAATTGAGTAATCAAATAATAATATCAGGGCATAGTTTTAGTTAAAATAATTAATCAAACACTTTTTTCTTTTTATCAGTCAATTATTTTAAATACTCAAGAGATATCCATGACTATTAGTAATAATTTTATCTATTACTTGTAATTAATATTTATAATAATATTATTTAAAGAATGGTATTTAAATAAAAAAACATTGAAAAATTACTTTTAAATCTAATTTTCATCATGTTTACTGTAGCGTTAAATTTTATTTGATAATCTAGAGGAAGATACCGAAGAACCGATTTTTCCATGTAAAATAGAATATTTCTAAACTAAGTTTTAAATTAACTGAAATGAAAGGAAGCAATTGTCTGGCATTGAGAGGAGCTTTTTTTTTAAATCGATTGGGAAATACAAAAGCTATAAGGTAAAGTTGAATAGAGAAGAAGAGTACCTCGGTAATGGGAGGGCAAAGGCTCAGTAAATGTGATTCTGTTGCAACGGCAATCCTGATTGGAAAGTCGTCGAGCTTTTGTACTTTATACGCAGTGTTAAATTAAATTACTCCGATGGATATCGTTCTCGAAAAGCTCTTTGCTATCTAAAATCTTATTTGATAAATAATTCAATCCTTTGAGTTCTCTTGAAGAAGTTGAAATGGAAGATATTCTCAAGTGCTTCGAGACAAGTCCTCCTGTTATTACGATCTTCTTTGATATACTTAATTCTTTTCAATGATTTTATTCCTTCGTCTAATATCCTTATCAAATAAAACCAAGACAATTCTAAGCTGCCTTTATAATTTTATTGCAATATATTAAGCTCAATTATTAATTTTTTTTAAATTAAAATAATTAATTAAAAAATTCATCCATTTTTAATTACTTTATAAAAGACTCAATAAAAATTTTTATAATATATCATTTCTATAAATAATTGAAAAAATTATCTCCAACAATTCTTGAAAATTAAATTATTTTAATGTAATATTTATTAAAGTTTTTTTAATTTGGAAAAATAAAATGAAATTATTAACTGTCAAAAAAGGAAACAATTAATTTATTTACTGAAAATAATTTAGAATATGTTTATATCTGTGGATGAAAATGATAAATTTACTGGCAACACAAAATCTAGGTATCCTAAGATACCAATATGCTGGCAGTAGGTAAAGCCATTCAAGTACAGACGATACAAAAGCAACCTAGACTTTTTTATGATTTTAATGAGTCTTCAGTGATACAACTCATTCTTTGAATCGACGTTTACTACGTCGGCGCGAGTACCAGCATTTATTTAAAACACGGCGGCAGTCCAATTCTGATTATTGGGGACCACCATCACTCTGTTGAGACGCGTCCTGTCGCCAACACTCGAGACAACTCTCTTACAGGAGAGAGAACACGTGTCAGCAATCGGCGCTGTGCTTGAAAGGACGTCATGTAGTGCGTTGTGTGAATGACAAATGATTGCGTTTAATCGATTATTCAAACTTTTATTACTCATGTGAGAGATGTTATCATATTTTAAAATTATTACAATGTTGATCAAACCATTTCTTGGAATAAGTGTAGTTTTGTGATGGATTCATTATCCCAGAGAAATAGATAATTAATTTTCTAATGTAGAATATATTGTGATCAGCTAATTATCATTTTTAGTGTCGAAGCATATTTTAAATAAATATTGCTATAAAAATTGATTGACAGTGAAATTGAACAACTGTGTGAGGTAATAGACTGAGAATCATCTAATGGAATAGAAAAATTTCTATCTACGTTGAGAGAATTTATGATAAATTAATTTTGTATTCATAACTATTTGTTGGAAATAGGTAATCATCAGAGTTTCGAGAATTCTCAATGACACTGATTAATAGAAAATAACAATGAAACAAGATTTATTCAAGTGGTTGCATTTTTTTGAATAAAACATGAACAATAAACTAAAGATAAATTCCAATATAAAATCGTAGTCCAGTTTGTTCTACATTTAATACAATAAGATAGAATTGTATTTTTTATGTAGTACTGGTATTGTTTCAATCTTTCAATTCATTGTATTACAGCTTGGAAGAAGCTTGAGCTAAAAATATTGGTAACTAAGCTTGCACTATTTCAAACAGTAGATAAAGTTCGACAGAAATGGCAAATAAGTCTGCACGTAATAAATGAGTTTTCCATTATAGTGGAAATTAGCACTCGTAAAAGGAAATACTGCAACACTTTTATTCTAAAAATAGGATTAGTTTTGTTTTTCCTAAAATTCCCTTGAGGGATTGTAGCCTACAAAGGACTAACAGAACAAAGAATCTATCTAGATACTTTGTTTTCTCGAAAGATCTGTGTGCTTTGTTCAAAATCTCACTGCCCTCTTACTGTTATCTACTTCCTTTATTTCCCTTTGGATGGTGATATCAATGATATTAGGTGGCACTCACAACATTTCAGCTGCTTCAACGCAATATTCCACTCTATGATGTCTGAACAAACGTATCATAAGCAGATTCCATAGCACAATATAGGAATATAACCTGATGTTTGCTAGTATAAGTGAAGATAAAGTTATTTAACAACGAAAGGTATTACTTAACAAAGTGCTATTAATCAACGTTCACGTTCTTTACATTCAACATGTACTTTCTGTGTATATATACACTGTATTGGATCGTGGTACATACTAACAAGGATCTCTTCAGATTTATGACTCTTGAATCTTTTTGTCCAAAATAATAGATAAAAGATGAGTAGTAACTTTTAAAGCTTCAATTTCTAGTCCTTGTCATATTTAATCATGATTAATTGTCGTGGTTATAATTTTCACAAATTCTAGCCATTTATCAGTTTTATATTTTCAATAAATTCGTTGAGAACTGCAGTGGAAGGTAAATCATATGACTCCTTATACTTTCCATATTTGCAAGAAGTATTTTGACAATGTTGATTTATTGTCTTAAGACACATCAGTTCCTGCAGTTTACTCAACAGATTTTTTGTTTGTTCAAGTAGTTCATAGAAACCATAATCGATCCCTTTTATAATTTATCAGTGTCAGTTGGGTATATCTGATTCTACCTAGATCTCCAACTTGAAACGTTTAACACAGCATTTATATTGATAACAAAAAACACTACCCTTTTTTTCATTATCAGTTAAACCGTCTGAAAGGCCATGAAAGTTCTTGATAAATTCTCTCAAAGTAAAAGAAAATATCAAATTTTATTTCTTTAAACTCGGAAATGGTTATTATACAAGAAATTAACTTTTCCCTTTGCCAGATGATTGCATACAAATAACTCCAATGAAGAATAATAGAAAAGCTGTTAAGAAGTTGTGCCAAGGTTTTAAAACTTAAAGAAATAATGTACAACATAATACCGTAAGATAAATTAAAATGAGTATTTGGCCAAAGAATAATCCTTGGTAATGAGTTGGCCACAGGAAATCATAAAACTTTGGACTTTCTCGGGTCTTGATAACTTCCCGAGAATCAGATTGAAGATTTCATTGAGCTGAGTCAAACTTTTATCAATAAAGTTGTTAAATTTTTAAACACAACTTAACAAAATGGAAGATTACCTAATCAGTCCCAATATGACCAGATGGTCATCAGAGTTAACAGCTCATAATTTTAATAACTGCACAAATATGAATTTAAGTTGCCATGACTATCCTTCGGACACAGACCCAGAATTAATTGAAAGGGTAGTGGAAGTGGTGGTGCCAATGTTTTTTGGTCCCATTGGAATAATTGGTCTTATTGGCAACTCCCTAGTTGTAATTGTTGTAGCACTTAATCCTGGAATGAGATCAACGACCAACATTCTTATCATCAATCTTGCCATTGCGGATTTGCTTTTTGTGATATTTTGTATCCCATTTACTGCAACGGATTTTGTTCTGATGGACTGGCCATTTGGCAACATCTGGTGCAAGATCGTGCAGTATCTTATTATTGTTACAGTCTGCGCCAGTGTCTACACTCTAGTGCTTATGAGTCTTGATAGGTAAGTGAAAATAATTAACCAGTTTTTCCTTTTTTTTCTTTTCAACCTCAATTAATAAAAGTTTCATTTTATTCAAATGACTTCTCGAATTAAGCTCATAGTCTTAATTGATGACACCTGTAGATCTAGAAGTCTTTAGAAACAGAACAAAAAAATACCTCGTAAATTTGATGTTTTTTCTTCGTTTTTTAAATTGATGGGATAATTAAAAATAAAAAATTTACTCTTTTACTGATAGAATTAGTTCGAAAAAGTAATTAAGTGTTGCATTAAATATAACTGTTTTCTATTTCAATATCATGTTTTAAAATGAGAAATTGAAAATAAAAATATTTCATGCCAAAATTTTTTTTTTTTTCATTAATGAAAGTTGTATAATTAAAAACAAATATTCTATTGTTTGAATGATAAAAAGCTACTCTAAGCAATATGAAAACAAAAAACAATTGTAATAAATATTTCAACAAACAATTAAAGCCATTAATCGCAATAACCACATTGAATTTTCAATTTTACTACATTGGCAATATCAAGGCTACTGCAAGATTAACAATTCAAATGAATAAATGAAATTCTTTCTATCTCGTTGTATTTAGAAATTTCCATTGATAAATGGTTGGTTGATGATCCATACTGTGCCTTAATTGGCTTCAATAATTTATAAGATAACCCCAATACAAAAGAAATAAATAACCAAAGCAAAATGGACAAACAGAATAATTTAAAATACCCTCGAAAATGTAACCATTATTATGGATTTCACGGTTAAATTAATATAGATCTGATTATTAAACCATAACTTGACACAAACGTCATGTAAAATTCATTGATTACACCCTCGAAAATTCTCAACAATTTTCCATGAACATAAATAATCACCTCTCACTTCCACACCTATCTTATCTCACCATCCATATTCGGTAAATACAAAAATCGATGGTGTATATTTGAGATAGAAGCAATGGCAGGATGAGAATTGTTTTATCCCCATTCTCAATATTCCGCACGTGATATCTTACCAGGAACAAAGAGAAAAGAGAGCGTTAGTCTAGAGTTACCTTCCTAAAATGGAAAGGTCTATTATGGCTTATTGAACAAAACCTTTACTTTTCTCCAAGGTATCTAGCTGTTGTGCACCCGATAGCTTCCATGACCGTGAGAACTGAAAATCATGCATTTTTGGCCACTTGCTGTGCTTGGTTCATCATTTTAACGGGATCAATACCAGCACTTATTATTCACGATGAGGTGAGTTATATGAAATATTTTCGGCAGGAGCTTCTGGATTAATTTTAATATGGTATTTTATCTCATTCGATATCTTTCAATAAAGTATATGAATTTTTTTATTTATAACTATTTTATCGCAGTAATCGCTCTTAATTTGGTTCAATGACTGGATTAAATGAAATATTTTAAACACAGTTATTAAATTCACTCGGATATTTGTATAAAAATTTTATTATATATAAATTTTAAACGTTTCATTTAATTATTTTCAAGCAACTATTATTGATGATGATGGTGGTGCTAAATCTTCTTGTGAATGGAGCATTTATTCGAACATTTATTAGATTTAAAAACATTTAATGATATTGTGAATATTTTTAGCTTGGATTATAGTCACAATGCTATTAGATGTTAATATTATTTCTGGTTATGTCAGTATAATAAATTATGGTGTGTAAATTAGCACATCATTATTAAATAGCTTCGAGTATTATTAAAAAGTGTATGTAGGATGAGAAAATAAATATTTGTAAAACAAATTGGCAATTATCTACACAACATGTTGGATTAATACCACTGGGCAATGTTTTTTTTGTTTTTATCAAGAGATAAACGGAAGAATTGTATTTATTAAATTGACAATAGTAAAAATAAGAATTGCAGAATATGATGTAGTATTAAAATAACCACAAAAATTGTTGACAATCGGATGTTCATTTATTGAAAAAAGTTTATTTTTTATTGCATCTGTTCAAACATAGTTTTCAAAACAAAGAAAAGTATTTTGAAAAAAATAATATTGGTAAAAATAAATTAATAGTTTGAATAGTTTTATGCAGAGAACAAAATTTATTTGAATGAAGTATTAATAAAAGTATCAAACATATGGTTGATTTCGTGCTGAATCTAAATATGAAGATTTAATAACTGAATTTTTTTATTCGAAACGATATCAATTTCCTTCTTAACCAATATTTATACACCTATTTATAGGAAAAAATTAATCAGCAATAGTTGAGTGGGATTAGACAAAAAAATTCTTGATGTTTGAACACTTTTGGTCATGAGCATGGTAAAAATCACAAAGTAAAGAACAAATAAAAAAGATTTAATGCTTTTTTGTATAAGGCTTTTGGAAAGGGTTTCTTTTCTCGTATCATTCTTTATAATTAGAAGGATTAGGATTTTCAAGGATTATGTTTGATAAGGGTAAAAATAATTCCAGAAGCTCCTTTAACGGTTTCTGAAGGTTCAGAGAAGACTCCGTAGCTCATGTGTGCAGATTTATCCCTCATTACAGGAACCAGGACATAAGCCAAACCAAACCCTATGTAGAATTCGGAGCGATGCTAACTGGCCTGTTTTTCAAGTTACTTTCTTCCTCGTTAGCTATGTTATACCTCTGACACTCATCTGCGGTCTTTACATCTGTATGTTGATCCGACTATGGCGTGGAGCACGCACAAGTGCTGAAAGTCGTCGAGGCAGAAGGAGAGTCACTAGACTTGTAATTGTCGTTGTTGGAGTTTTTGCCTTTTGTTGGTGTCCCATCCAGGTCAGTAGAATTCAAGGCAAAAAATTACTGAAATTACTAATTTAAGAGAATAAAAATGTTTTATTAAATTGTTCTAAAATGCTTACTTTATTTTTACAGCTTATTCTCGTGGCTAAATCCTTGAACTCTTATCCTGTAAATACGACGTCGGTGATGATTCAAGTGGCAAGTCATGTGCTAGCTTATATGAACAGTTGTGTGAATCCAATTCTCTACGCATTCCTCAGTGATAACTTTAGAAAAGCTTTTCGTAAAATTATCTACTGCAGACCTAGATATGATCCTACAGGAATTGGTCCACCAACGAAAACCACAAGAGCTGCCAGCAGCGGCGACATTCTTTAGGTAACGTACAAAATAAATTTTTCCAATATTTTATATCAGTTCACAGAACATTGACGACACATGGAACTATCTATTTTTCCCAGACACTTGTTGATTTATTTACTACAAAAGTTCCATGTGATTAACTTGATATGTGTACATTTCAAGTGCTTCCTTTTATTGCACATTAATTAGAAAATGTTACTTATGTAGCATCAAGTGGATTTAAGTATTTAATTCCAAACTTTTTACATCAAAAAAGTTCTTTAAGCTCATCATCACATTCTTTTATTCGAATACTTAAATTCAAGATACTTTTTTATTGTTATATATCAGAAGCTTAACAATAAAAAGCTTGAGAAATTTTATCAGAAAAAATATAGGTTACCATTTAGATGATAAAGAAAAAATAATATTTCGGTTGGCCAATAAAATTATGAAATTTTAATTCCAAGAAACCCTTATGTTTATATATATAGTCTAGAATTGAGCACGTCTACCATTTATGAATATTAAAAAAATTATAATTTCAAATACTGCGTTTGAATAACTGTCAACCTGTATTCATAATAACCATAATTATGAGCAAGAAAGAAGGGTGGATGATAAGGAACTCAACCGGATTTGGAGCTAATTAAACATTTGTTATCTGATGAATAATATGACAGTAAAAAAAGTAACCCCTAAGGTAATTGGAATTATTGTTTTAAAAATTCATATCTAAACAAAAATAAAAATTAATTATCTTCAAGGGTCGATATGAATTGTTATTGCTACCCCTTTTTTAACTTTACCACTCTTCTTTTATAGCTTAGATATGATCATAGATCACTGCAAGTAGGATACCCAAACTTTAAAACTATTCTTTTCTTTATAAACATGAACGTTAACAGCACTTGTAGTTTTTTAATAGCATCATTTCAACTTCAAATAGTACTCTGATATGAAGAATACAAAAAAAATCAATACTAGATGTAGGTTTCAATTGGCCAAACTGGCCCAATATTGAAACAAGTTTGATCTTTTTGTGACTCTTGGCAATTCTTCCCGAAACCATTGTAATTCAATGAAAATTTTTATTCTTATCTCTAGTTTTTTCTCAAGAATAGCACCACTACTATAAAACTTCTAATCATTCATTTGATTTCTCTTTCAATTTTTCATTTGAACATAAAACGGGTTCTTCCTCTTTGTAATAAAAGTGAACTTACACAGATTGAAAAATTGGACTTTTTTTGCACCACGTATGTGTCAATGACTTAATACATGTTGTCAGCAAATGTTGGAAAAGTTCTCGTCAATTTATTGTAGTCCAGTAGAAGTCAATTTGTCGCAAAAGTGTGAGGGTCATTTAGAAGCTCTTTGGTTCAAATGTTCCTTAGAGACAAGAAACAAAGGAAAAGAAGAAAAAATTGCATGCTATCATACTCTCAGTGGCTTTTTTTCACTCAGCGAAGGAAAAAAAAATTGCTTACAGTATTATTCTTACTAAAGTACTAATATAAAAAAAAATGTATCTCAAAAACTAATGTTCTTCTACTTATCATCAGATCCAACACATCATTGTGGAATTAACGTTTTATTCAGTTAAAATCCAAGTAGAAGGTCTTGTAGCATTACTTGTGAAAAAATTACTCTAGGTGTCTAGAAAAAAAATAAACACTTATTCACTCTTTCACTGTAAATTTCATGAGAACCTCCATCTTATAAAAAAATCAGACTCCGAGAATCTAAAGTATTTTCTTTTGTTCTACATAATTCATTATTACAATATTCTAGAGCTAAAAATTTATGTGTATATAAGAAAATATGAGAAATTCTGTTTTTTAATTAGTATCACCTTTCTTCATTCACTACCAAAACACCATAATATGTTGAGATAATTTATATTCACAAATGTTGAATAAAAATGGTGAATCACCATCTCTCTAAAGCAAGAAGTAATATAATTCAATTAACCTGATGACTTTTTGAAGCATCTTCTTGAAGAGTGAGAGTCAATTAAAATATTAAAGTGCTAACTCATTACTGATAAGACAGTCTATATGAAGAGGGTCGAAATAATATAGAGCTTTCAAAGTGTGTAAGTAATTTTTAATTAAATCAAACCAAGTCAAAGATAATTTTTTGTGCTAAACTTGGATACTAAGAATTTGAATAAAAATCCAGAGATAAAACTTTATCACTTCATTTTAATTTTAAAAAATTTTCTTATCAACGAATATCAGCTATTAATCATTGGAAACTAATTATGATTATAATCAATGATAAAATTAATAGACAATTACCGATGAAGTATAGTCATTAATAACTTCCCTCTTCATAATATTTAGCTGCAGAAAAACGAATTATTCTTGCCTCTTTTACCTTTATCATTATTCTTCATGTAGATTTCGAATACTTATCCGAGCTGATAATTAACTTTAGAGCGTTGGAGGTTTCATAGGATCGAGATTTCACATTTCTTTTTTCTGATTCTGATGAAAGGTTGGAATTTATATTGCCTAGAATTATCTGTGATTTCAAAGTCTTTTGACTTTTACATAAACCATATAGAGACATGTATATATCTGCAAGGAACTACCTATTGACTTGGAACTTTAATGAACTTCATTGTACAAACTAGAGAGCAAACCCTTGTTGAACTTGCCCGATAAAAACCCGGAAATAAAGTAGGAGCCAGCTGGAAGCATTTGCAAGGTATTTCAGTTATTTAAATCCAAGTTGTGATAAAGACAAAAAAATTTTTGGATTATCTGCATAAATTTTTAGCAAAACTTGTACAATCTGTCGATATCTTTGTAAATTAAACGCTTTAGATTTAAATTGAAAGTCATATTTTCATCTATTCCATACTATACAATGCAATCATCGTATCCAATAAATGAAGATAAGATTTATGATGACAATAAAGTATATATATATATATTTTACTCTTGTATACCCAACTGGGTTTTTACATTTCGACTATATACACTCAATACAGACCAACTTATATCTAAATGAACTTAAGTTTAAATTATAAAAATAATTTTTTTTTTGCACTGTACATTATGCTGCACGCAAGGGGGTTGCAGTTTTACATCCATAATCTAAAATCACTCTTATTTCTCTACATGCTCCCCTTCCCTCCAAACCTAAGTCACCGCCTTCCATACAACTCACACTCTACTTTTTCCACAAACTCACACAGCTCAAAACAGATGTTTCCCTTGAGCAATTCTACAATAAGACTTTGAATCTCCAATTCGCCTTGATCTCCCTTCCATTTAATTAAAAATTTTTTTATTTTTTCTGATTGTGGCCTAATGGCTTCACTACAGCACAACAAATGGCATAATGTCTCACTGCACCAACCACACAGCCTACATGACCAGTCCCTCCAGCCTTTTTTACCACCTCTTCCCACATTACCACACCTGATCCTGGCCCAGATTTCTTTATACCTAGAGTTTTTTATTCTTTGGTTCCAATACACTGCACCATTGTCACCAGGCTTCAAAATTGCATATATGGGGTTATATGTGGACCTCAGGATTAGATCCCACTCTTTATTTTTGTACCTTCTTTCCAGTTTGTCAAGACCGCAGGCAAATCGCGCTGCTATCGCACCCGCAGCAACTCCATTTCTTATGTCTTGAATTATCTCAGTATCCTCTATTTCATAGCAAAACTCCGCAAATGCTTTTCCCCATGCTGATTCTTTGTTGTTTAATATACCTCTTACCTCTTCGAGTAAACATATCTTCGGCCAGCGGTCATCGTCCATTTCTAATACTTCCCATAAATATCTACAGGCACGTTCTTTGAGTATGAATTCTATCTCTTTAACTCCTATCTCATTTCTCCAAATATACTTGGGCGTATTCCTAGCAACGCCGAGAATCGCCTTGCAATATCTGCTTTGCACCTTTTGAAGTCTCTCAATCTTACCAAGTCCCCATATCTCTACCCCATACACCGCCATGGCTCTGACAATTGTTTCCATCAGATATATCCTTTCACCTTTTAGGTCTCTGCCAGCTCTCTTGAACAGCCCCCATGTTGCGTTTGTAGCTTTTTGAGCTTTACTCGCCATTCTCTCCATATGTACTGTCGCTTTATTTGCCGCCGTAAACCAGTAGCCTAAATATTTAAATTCCTTCACCACCTCGATAGTATTCTCCTTAAAGTACCATTTCTCGTTGTCTTTACTTCTACCTCCATTTTTAAACACCATGATCTTTGTTTTCCTGACGTTAACCTCTAGCCTATTCTTGTCAACATACTTCTCCAACGATTTCAACATCTTGGTCAGCTCCTCACCACTTTCAGCCACTATTGCTATATCATCTGCATATTTCAGTGCTCTTACTTTTGCTTTGCCCATCACAGTACCACCTTCTTTATTTCTCTCCCATATTTCATCTATATCATCAATAAATATGTCAAACAGAGCTGAGCTGAGTGCACAGCCCTGCCTAACGCCAACTCTGCATAGAAATTCCGCTGAAACAACACCATTCACTTTGACTTCTGCTTTTGTTGTTCTGTAGATCTCCCTTATGAGCTTATGAAATTTTCCTCTTACACCAATGCTCCATACTTTTTTCAGCATAATTTGTCGATCCACGGTATCGAATGCTGCTCTGAAATCGATGAAGGCCACGTACAATTTCCCTCTTTTTACCTTCAGTCTGTTGTTTATTAGTGCGTTGAGTACAAAAATGTGGTCTCTGGTTCCCCTTTTCTTACGGAAGCCTGCCTGACTCTCTCTCAGTGATCTCTCTTTGTCCAGCCAACAGTTCAATCTTTCTGCCATTATACATGTCAGCAGTTTGTATCCCGAGTCCAGGAGTGAAATGCCCCTGTAATTCTCCGGTTTATTTTCGTCACCTTCCTTAAAGATTGGGACGATACGTGCTTTCTCCCATCCTGGAGGCAATATACCCTCATTCCATATTCTGTTTAAGCATTCTTTCAACAGTTCAGCGAAATGCTTATTCATCTGCTTCAAACATTCTATCGGGATGCCGTCTTCC